CCAGAGGAGGAAAGGCTTTGGAGAATTTATTTATAAAAGCCTTGATTTTTTGCACCCTCTCCGACAGCGAATATTCTCCCACCGATATACGCCATCATTCCCGACGTTGACAATAGTTATGTCCCTGGAAATCCAATTTCCATTTCCATATAACTTCGTCAATGGTCAGTTACGTGAATACGCCTCGAAATAAGTCAATCTTAATGTTTCAAGGCCCGTTGGTTCGAAGCTGAAAGATTAGACGACTGGGATCAGTGTGGTTTTCTGGTTTTGCCTTGCTGGGGAGATAATAGTCCATGTAACTTCAGAGAAGTATCTCCTGACCGGGCTTGGAACTGAAAAAGCATTTTCGAGACAAGGTTTATCGAGGGCTACACGGAGCACCTTTTATTGCAAGTTGTTGTTTCGTTGGCTCTGGTGAGATTGAGAGGTCCTCAGCCATCGAGGTTAACATTCCATAATTGGCGCAAAAGGAGGGGCTCTCTCATCGTGCATTTTTCAGCCCGTATTGCTAGAACTTGTTGTCGAAAAGTCCAAGATTGATGGAATCTCTCACCCGTGAGGGCAATGCAGGGTATGCCCCCCTCGCTGAATTGAAGACAGTGCAGAAGCTCCATAACCGGTCTCCAAACCTGAAATGGGCCAACCGTTCTCAGGCCCCAAGGCCCCAAGTCCGACTCGGGATTTGAAAAGATGACGGAGTCCGGAATAATGAGAAGATGCATAACTCCGTACCTGCTGGCTTGTCAAATCATTCCGCTCGTCGAATTTGGAGTGAAATCAATGGGGTCCAAGGGACTAAAGCCCGTCCCATGTGAATAACTCACGGAGCCAAAAAAAAAAAAAATGAAAATGAAAAAATAGAAAAAGTAAAAAAAAAAAAGGGATGAAAAACCACCAGGATGGAAACGAATCCCAAAAATGAGATTATCCACCCTTCAAAACATACAACCAATCAAACCAACAAATCATAGGAGCGGGATCCTCCTATGGGACTGATATTTCCACGACCTGCGCCTCTCCTGTCGGCACAACCCATGTCCTATTTTTATTTTTTTTTGGGTCCGGGAAGGGAACGGTCCCTGAGCTTCGGCTTTGGAAACTTTGTTGTCCCATTCGTGGCTTTCTTTTCGCTCCACGGTATGGGACTTGTCCTGGCATGCACAAGAAGGGGCAAAAAGGGAGAAAAAAAAAAAAAAAAAAAAAAAAATAGACTTGTATGTTTACCATGGGACAGACGGGCAAGCAGCTCCTTTTCTTTTTCTTTTCGATCCGTTTTCTTTTTTGAGGGTTGGAGAAGATCGCTCCCGCCCGAGGCCCATGAAATGCTTCCCAGATTTTGAGATGTCGGGAATACCACAGGAATGGAGCCTCTCTACTCTCTCTTTTTGTGTAGCCATGCATTGGCCCATGTTCACACGACATGCTCCGTACTATTGCCACCTCAGAGGGAGCTTGACTCCCTTTTTTTGGTCAAAGCAAGAATATTCACCGGCGAATTCTCCCACGGAGGATAAACCCACGACCAGAATACGGAGAATGCGCTTGAAGAATGCCCCGCGATTGGGTGCTAGTGACGGCTGCTTGATTTGGGCTTCAAAAATTTAGTTTGCCAACCCATCTCCTTCCCGCTGCAACTGCACATCATCAACCAGGATCGCTGGTGCAAGACTGAGGAGGAGAATCCAGATGCACGTATTTTCTTGTCACACGCGAAACCTTTTTTCCTTTTTTTCCTTTTTCTTTTTTTCTTTTTTTTTTTTTTTTGGGGTGTTTGGTATTTTTACAAAAGGGTATGTTACATCCTTCGGTCATGTAAGTAAAACCACCTGTAAAACCTTGAGAGGGCAGTAACCGCGCTAATTCCCCAAGGTTGCGGATTAAATCATCTTGAAACTCTTATCCAACAAACAACTGCGCCGCTCTCGCTTCACCTGGCTGCAGAAGGTGATGGTGTTCGTATAAAGAGCTTTGGGATAGCTATATTGCACACGCATGGGGAGTATATGTGGGTTTCACAGCAAGGAGGCGCAGGGCTAAGGAGGCTGTTTCCCTTGACCATACTTTGGTATAGTTCTTGATTGATGTGATGCATCTCTCGACGAACAAGGACTTGGATGTATGATCCAACGAGCAGCAACCTCGAATTAGCAGAGTCGACATTGTGTTTTGGAGGGGGTAGAAGTATGCCGGGATGTGCTGTGGGAGTGCATAACGGCGTTACAAGAATCATTCTACGGAGGAGTCTCGTATGCTCCGTAAAACCCCTGTTCAATAGCGTGTTTGCAAATCTCGACTTGGAAGCGCCTTCTCGAATTTGTGTGGAATTACACCGAAGCGATAGATAACAAAAAAAGGAGCTTCGAGAAAGAGACAGGGACGTATGGGCTGGAAGAGAAGTCCATCCAGCTGGAGTCTATTACTCCGAGTGCTAGGAAACTTTGCATTAATGCATTTTTACGATTTGGAACCAAAAGCTGTTGATGGCGCGGCTGTGATATTCTTTTGGACTTCTCGAAAGATGGAAAGAATACACCAGGTTCAGGCGGTACGACCTCGAATGCAGAAATTGAAAGAGGGGTTTCCAATTGCGCATCCTCTGTTCTCCCAACTGGACGCAAACCCAAGCACTCAACAAGTGAAAGCCTCAAATTGTGAATAATACAAAGCTTTGCGAGGCAAATTGTCCATTCTTCGAACGTGATTTCGCTGGGCTGTGGTTGTTTCTTCTTTTGATCTCCGATTCCTGGGAATGTGGCTGGGGTTGGGCGAGGCACATCAATGGATTCTGACAAGGAGGACTCCAGAGCTGCACACGAGATCCTGTGGATCACAACCTGCAGCTCACGATGTGATGGCTGATCTGTGAAGGGACAAACCTGAATCTTCCTGTGACGCAGAGTTGATGTCTTTGTTTCCAAAGGACCGTTTGGGAAGGTCGCCAAAATGGCAGATCAAGCTTTTGCTCCACCTTTCAGTCGATGCTCAACAGCTGAAACGGATTAGCTATTTCAGGAGCTTGCTTCGCCCTGAGCAGAGCACGTTCTCAAAACCTCAACACATTGGGCGAGGGAGCCAGGAAAGGCAACTAAACTTTCTTTGATCTTAAGTCCGTCGGGACCCTTGTCGGTTCGGAATCCACAGAGAGGTTGGAGCGCGAGGCGGGCTTTGAGAATGCGAAGTCGGAACGTCTTGTGACGATGTTATCCATATTATTGGCCAATAAGACCTGGTCAGGACAGAGCGTCTGGTGGTAACATTCGTACTCCGTACAGGCCAACGGTACTTTTTTCCATGCCTCTCTTTCTCGATGGGCTTATCGTTCTGGCAGGTTGCACGGAAGTCGATCACACATTGCATAACCGCTTCGTCCTTGTGCTAGCTTGAACCCCACGAATCCCGTTTGGGTTCTGAGTTGTCAAAAGATCCACACTGGCTTCGAGCTTGGACAGGGTCAATAATAATCCAAACGGGCAGAGCAGAGGTCACTAACTCAGGAGTAAGATTCATCCATTATTACTCGGATGTGATATTCCGCCATCAGGGTCCAATTCGAGCGAAACACAGAGAGAGAGAGAGAGATTCGCTTAGTCGACAGATTGGCTGAGAGGCAGTGATCAGGGCTGGCGTTGTGAAGCGGTCATCTGGGGCTAGTAATGTATGGTCATTTACGCACCTTTTCGTGTATGATACGTTTCGGCCCAGTACCAATCGGTACGGACAAGTCATCAGGGCTTGCGGGATCTAGGCCAGTGGGCGAAAAATACACTCAAAACCAACATTGCCAACATGTTATTTGTCCGTGTTGCTTTCGGGCTGTATCGCCCTGACGGCGCGAGTAATCGAGAAGCGGGTTTCGCTGAGACTTTCTCGCCCAGCGAGCTCCAGAGAAAACCTTGGGACTCTCGATTAAACTTCTTTGAGCGGAACAGCCTTTGACGACCAAGTTCCTTTATGGCTCCAGAGCACAGACGTGTTGTGAAGTCACTTCTTAGGTACGAAAGTATGGACAGACATACATACTTACTATGTATATTCCTTGCGCCGGACGTAAATCATGGCGAAGGAGCGTCTTTACAGGCACATATAAATATCGCGCAGCCGCGGACCCGATCTAACAAATAGCAGGACTCTAGATGTATGTCAGGTCGTATGTACTCCGTACTGTACGCTCTTAATCTTGGACATCGAAAAAGGCCGTTGTACCCACACTGCAGGGCCATGTGTTGATTCATTCTTGCGTGCTGTTCCTGACCCTCCTTCGACTTGATTAAATTGTCGCTTGGTGCTAGCCTCCCTGGATTGGACGCGGTGGTACATGGTCAATTCCTTCTCGTCTGCAAGAATTTAGGGATCCTTTCACACCTCCGCTGAACACCACGCTCCTAGATTTATATTCTTATTTTTATTTTTCGCGCCAAAGTCGACTCTGCTTGGCTGACGAGACGCGAGGGACAGTCCAATATCCGTTGAAGAAGAAGGGGTCAGAAGGCGAATCATAATCCGCAGAGCGTCCAAGGGTGCGTGCGGGAGCGTCACCCAGGTGTATCCACCGGGCCATCTTCCACGGTTGAACGGCGCGAGTGGCTCTCTGACTAGCGTTTGCTGTTTCTCGCCAGCACCAAAAGGAAACATCCCAACACCCTTCCCTCCACCGCCCGCCGCCGCCGCCGCCGGCCGCCCACCCACCCACCACACACGCCCTCCCCCAGCCTCCACATTTTTGCTTGAGTCCACAGTCGTTCACGCTGCCTGAACTTACAGCAAAGTATTATCGGACCAGCGCAGGTAATGTGATCACCATCTCTTTCGTTCTTGTTTGTTCCCTCTTTTTTAACTATCCTCTTTCTGTACCTTCTCCCATTTCTCACTTTCCTTCTCCCTTTGCCTTTTTTTTCCCGTCCCCCACTTATGGGTTTCGTCCCATATACCCAATCATTCTGTTTATGATTGTATGACCCTTGCCACTGCCCTTGGATTTTTTATTTTTTATTTTTTTTCTATTTTACATTAGCTCCATTTTCCATTTCCTGTGCCTTTGCGCTGCTGCTGCTGCTGCTTCTTGCATACGTTTCGTACTTCCTGCATGCTCCGGCTCTGCTGCTTCTCAACCTCCAACTCGCCGCACATTTGACTGATATCTTGTCACTACGTCGTTCCTTTTGCGATTCAGATTCAGCCAAAAAGCACAGCAAATCAAGAGATCAAAAAGAAGTAAAATAAAAGGGAAAAAAAAAGAAAGCGTGAATCTCCTACGACTCGTCACGACTGCTACGAATGATATTTCATGCTTGGTTGCGTTGTTGCGTTCTCGTCGCCTAATCTCTCGACCCGCAGTCAATGTACTCAGTCCACCAAGTACCAAACATCGAAAGCTCTTCCGGTCTCGTTTGACATTTCTGGGAAATACCAAGACGCGACTTGACTGACCGCTCCTTGTACGGTTTGCTCTCTTTTAATTTATTTCTCCCCTTCCATGCTTGAGCAGGCTCCGCGAGTGATCCACGGCGAGACGCAGTTCTCGCAGTCCACTGTGGGCAGCCCCATTTTCTTGACCTTGACCGGTTGTACCTCCTTTTGCGGACGTTGTTTTCTGACACGAAAAAGGACAAGGATACCAAACAAGTGCTTCCGTGTACAATTACCTACGATTGCATTTGAATTTTTCTGAGCGTTGTGTATGCTTTCACGTTATTGACGACGCCGGGTTAGATCATTTGACCTAGACTTTTGTTGCTGTTATATTGAATGAGCTCCGAAGAACGCGACACGTTGCTACTTTGAGTGGCATTGCTGAAGAGCCAGTTGATATTCGACGCGTACGAGACTCACGATCCATATACGATCCTCGCTTCGCCCTAATTTTTCCTTCGCGACCACCGCTCGTTTGAAGGACCTGCTATCCATTACCAATTTCTGTCCAAAAAAATTTCGTTTCGGACCGGAAAGCTGGAGCTGCCGTCGATATCCCAAGTTCACACCCGCAACCCCGTTGATATCCCGTTTTACAATCATCACGCGTCTCAAAGACCTCTCTTTGGTGCTGACAGGTTGCGATCTCTGTGTCTTCCTGACCCGCAGCTGACGGTCCTGGGAGGAAACCCATCAATCTCGGGCTTAAAGCACGACGTTTCTGGGTCACCTACGTCAATTCCCGCAGCAACACATCCTGGTGGTCCAGGATCTGAGCTTTCAAGCCACTCTCCGCCTCTATCTGAGCCGAAAGTATCTCAGTCATCATTGGCTGAGAGGACTGGAGGGGTCAATCACAGGCCTCCTTTGGAATCCACGCGCCAGACAGATTACGTGGGCGCAGGGGAGAGTTATCTCCAGAGTTCAACGAATTTGGGAACCATGAACCAAACTCAGTCATATATGGACGTACATTCGTCACATTTACCTTCGGCGCAGGCATATACGTCCCAACCCGGGGCTGTTGAAACACTATCACACTATCCGTATCAACAGCCTCCTCTTTTACAGCCTGGACCCACCGCTTATGCACCAACGACCAGCGCATACCCGTATGGTTATTCGAACCCTGTTACCTCCCCTCAGTCAAGCAGCCAACCAGTGACAAATTCCCTCGCTCCACATGCTCCTGCTCAGATTTTACCTTTACCTGGTAGGTATCTTCAAGTGCGGGGAGAATCTATGAATAAAGCATGGGCCGTTTGCTAATCAATATCATAGCTATGACGACTACTCCAAATCCCCACGGATATGCTGGATCTAATACCCATACTCCGCCTTATAATGTGCCTCATACTTTTGACACTACCGGCCAGGTAGCGCCTCCAGGAATGAAACCAAGAGTGACTGCCACACTTTGGGAAGATGAGGGTACTCTATGTTTTCAAGTGGAAGCGAAGGGCGTCTGTGTCGCTCGTAGAGAAGGTTCGTTCGCGCTAACTTTTGCAATTAGTTTTAATTTGAATTGACTGATGTTCTCCGCAGATAACCACATGATCAATGGTACTAAATTGTTAAATGTTGCTGGGATGACCAGAGGAAGGAGGGATGGTATTCTTAAGAGTGAAAAGGTCCGGCATGTGGTTAAAATCGGGCCCATGCATCTCAAGGGTGTCTGGTGAGTCTCTTGGGATTGCAACGATTTATGAATACTTAGCTGATCGAATTTTCAGGATTCCCTTTGAGCGTGCCCTTGAATTTGCCAATAAAGAGAAAATTACAGACTTGCTTTACCCGCTGTTTGTTCATAACATTGGAGGTCTTTTGTACCATCCATCGAATCAAACGAGGCCGAACTCGATTGTTGCAGCCACTGAACGAAGACGGATTGAGGCAAACCAGCAACAGAGTCGCTCTGTCCAAGGACCGCAACCACCACCGTTGCACCACCATCACTCCATGCACAACCCTGTTACTTCACAAGTTACCCAACCTTCCAGCCAGGCTCTCATTCCTGCCGGTCGACCAAGTTTTGAACGTGCCCACACATTTCCGACTCCTCCTGCGAGTGCCTCTAGTCTGGTGGGCGTGACAAATCAGGGCAGCTCTTATGATTGGGCTGGAAATGTCCATAATTCGCATGCGTTATCAATTGAGACGGGATTGGGTAATTCGAGGTCGATGCCAACCACTCCCGCAACAACACCTCCAAGCTCCAACTTGCAAAGCATGCAATCGTACCAAAGCCAGCAGACATATGACTCCAAATCATATTACCCTTCCGCCCCCTCCAGCCAGCCCCCCTTTACCTCACAACAGCCAACCGCTACCCAGAATATGTCCAGGTATGTGAGACAAGGCTCGACGACTTTTGAACGAGCTATGACTACCGGAAATGATTCGGACCTACGGCATACTAACAAATATCTACACAGCCAGGGAAATGGGCAAGTGACCCATGGTACAGCAGTAGGAGAGGGAGGACAAGAGCATGAGAGTGAATATATCAACGACACCAACGGTCCCTATAGCGGCAATCGTGGATCTTACAATTACAGCACTGGTCATTCTAGCAGCAATTTGCATGGAGAGCCTACCCATTTATCCTCCGATATTACGAACTCGGCGTCCAGCACAAATGGGACTGATAGGATAGGTTCAAGGCCAAGTGCACAGAGCCAGTGGACACCCGGTTACTCAACTCCACGCCTCGGACCGCCCAGCAGCCTATATAATGTTGTCAGTGATACAAGGAGCACTCCCGCAAACGGTCCTGGGGGAGATACTTACTCTGCTTCGTCAAACTCGGCGTCTGTCTACCCGTCTTCGGGTTTGAACGGTTCCGGTAAGCGTTCCAGGGACGATGACGATCAAGAGGAAACTTCCCGAGCCGACAGCCAACATTGCGAGGTTAGTTACGAGCACAAACGGCGAAAAACACTTACCGAAAACCCTATCGGGGGCCCCGTGGGCGGCGCATCGCTTGCTCTCCAGAGCTTGAAGAATGGGGGTATGCCACGCCGCCGTTAAGAACCATCGGGTACTCGCACCACCCTATGGTGATTATATGGTGAACCGGAAATTTACCATGTTCGGATGGGTTCGTTCTCCTCTCCTCAGCTCTCGAACCATCTTTTTTAGCGGCGACGTACCACGGTCCCTGTCATCATGTTTCCGCTATCACTTAGTGGTGTGGCGAGAAATTATAATTGCGAATTCAGTAATCGGACTATTTTTGAACGCTACCTCACGATGCATCTATTCAATCCGTTGCTGACATTATATTCCTCAAAGTCTCGGCTACTTACATCGTTGTCGGTAGCCGCGAAATCGAGAGTCAATCCCTAGAGTTTAAGGGACAGCAGCCCAATATATCGCTTTATACAGTTACTATGCCTCCCCTTTACTGCCGAGTTTCTCGGGATATTAAATGATCGTGATATTCAGCCTAGCCATGTAATCAAGGCGATGTTGTGCTCTTTTCTCTTGAAGACCGTGGTTTAAGCACCGGCTCGTTGAAATATTTGTCTTCGCGTTTTCACTTATTGTCTCTTCCTTCTCCACACTAAACTGTCTCAACCTCTACAATTCACCTTTTGCTGTTCAATCCTCGCCGCTTATCATTCGTCATTTATAAAACAAAAAAATTGATGATGATGATGACACGAATCTCCTTGATACAGATGTTTTGTCTTCTGCTCAGCAAGCCTTTACTCTTTAGATCGAGGCTGGTCATCTGGTTTTTTGCACTCGAATTTCTACTAATTCTTCACTTTGATGACTCGCATGAGGAAAACGCTCGATGAATCTGCTACCCGGCTCTGTTATGTTCCAGTCAGCGAGTTGTTCAAAAAGCGACTACACTTCCGATGCATTGGTGATGCTTATGAACTGGAGCGAAGAATACTTTTTGTCTTTTCTATGAAAGAATTCCTCTTTGTTTGTTTTCTTCTTACAAGCCACTCTTACCTTTCTACTTCAAGAACTCCCTTTTGTTTTTTCTGATCGGTCCCTTCCACTGCATCTTTTTTGTTCCCCTTCCAACTATACTCTCGTATTTTTTTTTTTTTTTTAAAGTCTCTCTGATGGGCCTGGTTGGTGCAGATTTTGGATTAAGGTGCGGTATTTCCATGTTCGTTTTATCCTTTCGCCATGTCATAGATCAATGGGTGAATGAATGAATGATATCATGGCCTTTTCAATTCAAACCATCCTGTGTTTTTGTATTCTTGTAGTTATCTCTCGATCTGTGTGTTGTTGGGCATAACCGGCATTTCACTCTGACAGCTCGCAATGCCATTGAATTTCTGATCGTTGTAGCCTCTGTAATTGTTGAGTTGAGTAAGGTTACAGCGATGCGACACGTGATGCCTTAACTAGCTAGGTAATTCCACGTGAGCTGCAGGTCATCTCGGGGGATCGCCTTCCGCCTTTCGAAACAAGCGCGACGGGTGGCTAGGCTTGATTTGGAGAAATAAAAACATGACATGTGCTCGCTGCGTCTCTCGCTTCATCCTTAAACGTCGTATCTGATCCAACTGAGAGGATCGATCCTTGCGAGGTCACAGTGCTATTTATCTGGCCAGGGGATAGCCGGTTCCTGATGACATCGCAGTTTTGGGACACTAGGCAGCCCCTCTGTTCAACCCGTTAACCGCCACTTCAGCCTCCACAGGAACTTCGATGAACAAAAAAGCCCAAAGCTCAGAATTTTTTTTTTTTTTTTTATTACCGATGCCAACTGTTTACTGATATTGTGGTGCCTGTACTACATTGGTGAAAGGAACTTTAGACCAAAACAAGTGAGGAAAAACGTCAAAAATGCCTCAACCACAATTTACCGTTTCTCCTGCGCTCCGCGATATCATCAGCAAACCTTCTCCTGCAAACATCGACCAATTCGACCCCTGGAACTCTTCTTCAACAGGCCACCAGCGAGCTGAGAATCCATATACTGGCACTTCCTGGCGAGAAACGAGGAATCAAAAGCTCGCCGCACAGCTTAAAGGGACGGCAGGCGATACAGGCGATACTAGGCTAGATCATGAGGGCGAATGGAAGTGGGTAACGCCGGAAGAGAGAGAGAAAGAGATACGGAAGAACGAGAAGACAGGGGATATTAGGTCTTTTTTTGGGGTAAAGAAAAGAATTCAGAGAGAGTCCGCGGATGAGAAGAAAATCGGGCAAAACTTGATGGACAGTGTTGTGCATGACGTGCCCTCCTTCGACCGGGCCTTTTCTTCAGAGCCACTAACTGAGCCTTCACGACCCTTCCCAGAAGCTATGCCTTATTTGCCACAGCCAGCACAATCGTCGCTGAGGAATAAAGGTATATTTAGCAATTTGACCATCTACATCAATGGGTCTACCTTCCCCCTAATATCGGACCACAAGGTTAAACAGATTCTCGTCAATAATGGCGCGAGCATCTCTATATCTCTTGCAAGACGCACTGTCACACATGTCATCCTCGGTCGTCCAAATGCATTGAAAACCAGAGATCTGGCTAAAGTAGGGGCTGGAGGTGGTCTCTCTGCAGGGAAACTACAACGAGAGATTCAGCGTATAAGTGGGAAAGGCGTTAAGTTTGTTGGTGTTGAGTGGTGCGTATTTATTGATTTTTTTTTTTTTTGTTTCTTATTTATTTTTATCCCATATTCTATTCTTTGCATTCAATCTCACTTTATTTTTTCGTAGGGTCCTGGAAAGCATCAAAGCAGGTCGCCGTTTGCCCGAAGCGCGGTTTGCTAATTTGCATACAGCATCTGTTAAGCAGAGAAGCGTGATGGCTGATTTTGCTGTTTGAAGAGCTGTAGAAAGCTCTTTTTTTCCCACTGTATCTGGCTGTTTTGCGCCCTGCGGGTCACTAGAAGAACAGATACTCGCTCCATGGATAGATCCGCACGATACATTGGTGCTACAACACTACGGGTTGTTGCGACCACTTAATCTTAGGGCCGAGGTGCGGAGGTGGGAGTCAATCCCTCGCTCATTGAATGGCTCTATTCCTTTGACCCTCGAGTTGAGCAAGGAGGAGCATCCAACTTGCCGCCAGTGAGCGAAAGGAGCGTGTTGGACCGTGGCGACTGGCTTTAATTGGTTGTGCCGGGGTGTCTGCCTTAGCTCAGCTCCGCCAAATCCGGGAATGGTATAGAGTGGAACACACCATCTAAGTTGTATTAGTCTGTTGATAATGTCAAGGGGCATTGGACCGTGATTCCGTGCTGCTGCTAGCGTCTGAAGTCGGAATATTTGCGACGGCCTTGTACTTTGCTCTTATAGCTTCCGGCTTTAGGTCTTTTCTAGGTATGAGAGCCCTTGCCGCTTCAGGACTTATAACCGGCACGTATCCGCCGTCTCTCATCGCAAACCTTCTTTCTCGTAGAGTGAAGAGGTACATTGTAGAATAGGTCAAGGAATAAATGATCTTCGCTCGGAAAGCTTGATACGACACCTTGAGGTCAGGCAGGATGTATACCGGGTGGCATTCAAAGTATACGTTCATTAAGCCCCCTGACTTCGTAGCGATCGGCAACAGTATCGATTATTGCTGGAGGCGTGGGAGTTAGACTTAATGTCATAATAGTTGAAGTGTCAGAACTCGGTTACCTTTAAGATAGATCAGTTTCTGTGGAAATCTGCGTGTATTCGGGATAGTGACTGTGTTTTCCTTCCATGAATCAGGGCTTAAATCAAGGCGCCAGAAGCTGGGAGGCATGATGGTGGTGCCGGTAGCCCTTTTCTTAGCATATTTAGGCAAGAATCGATAACCTGGGCAACCTGTTGTGCTCTCTTTGGTTGCGCGTTTATCAAATAATCCTTCCAGGAGTTTGTGGGAACTCTTGGTAGCCGTGCGAAACCACCAGAATCGACCGGGCATTCTCTACTCGTCTACAGTTGCGAGATGGGACACCCCGAACCAGTGGGTACCCGAGGGTCCTCACCACGAAGTCCCCAACGAAAGAGTGCCGCACTCCTGCAGCACTAAGGAATCTCCTCAAGGCGCCAGTTCTGGATGCTATACGGCAATTCGGGGTAAGCCATGATGTGGGTTGCGTAGGAGGAAACAAATTTGTTGTGACTGGAAGATGAGTGGTCAAGAAAACGGCTTTTCTCACGGTATGCGGTGATGCTGGGATATCCTTGTGGAGCCTAGCCGGGTGTTCTTGTGTTTTGATGGACGAGGTACGGAGTTTATGCTTAGGGTTCGAAAGGGTTGTGTAGGCAATCTATACGCATCACGTGATCGAGGTGCTGTTTTGTTGGATTAGTAACTAGTTGGTTGGTTGGTTACGGAGCAGAGTACTTGACATGTTTCTCCACAATCGAGGTTCTGACCCCACACTTGGTGCGTCCCCCAGGTTTATGAGGAGACTTTCGGTCGCATGTGGAAGAGCATCAGTCTCAGGCTTCGAGCACTGGAAACCCAATCGACGTCCCGAGGCACTCGGAGGAATAGCCAATGTCGACACGCGCCTATCGACGCTGCGGCCTCATAAGGATTGGGGACCAGCTCTGCTGGTGCCTTCCTTACCAAAATAAGGGCGAACTGGACTATTTTACAAGATTCCCCATATTTAGCACCAACGCACCACAAGACCTCACTCTCAAGGTCTTCTCGTTGCTTTCCTAAGTTTCCTTCGAGGTTCGGGTGCACGTAGTATTTCTAGCTGTGGAATTAGTCTGTGAAGAGCCATCTCCTTGTTTCTAATTTCCTCGAAGTCGATCTTCATGACGATGGACGCCAATGGACGTTGGCTGCCGCGTGAAGGTTGGTTGCTGTCGCGCCGCCATACCTGTCCGAATAAATCTTGTGGCTAACTTGATATAACTTAGGATTCATTGCGGATGTGGTGGGTCGCGTGATCAAGAGGACTCTCTTCTCGCCGTCTTTGACTCTGCCACTCCTGCTCCTCGCGCAGCACACTCGTAGGGGTCAAACCCTCAGAAATGAGCAACCCGGCGTCTTTCGAGCCCTGAAAATTTTGGTGGCAATTGGCCTGTATCGATGGCTCAATGGCTGGCTTAGTCGTCGCGCCTTAAACAATGCAACCTCAGATAGATACAACTGGAATTCTGAGATTGCCATCGTCACTGGAGGAAGCGATGGAATTGGTCGGAGAATTGCGCTTCTACTCGCTGCGCGTGGGCTGAAGGTTGCGGTTTTAGATATCAAACCGTTGAATTATGAGACGCCGGCGAATGTCAAATTCTATCCCTGCGACATTTGCTCTCGCGACCAGATCGCAAGCGCTGCTCGGAGAATCCGAGATGAGATGGGTGAGCCCACGATTTTGGTCAACAACGCCGGAGTTCTGAAAGGAAAGACAATACTGGGTGGAACGGACGAAGATATCCGCCAAACCTTCGAAGTGAACACGTTATCCCACTACTGGCTGGCTCAAGAGTTTCTTCCGTGCATGATTTCACGCAATCATGGAATGGTTGTTACGATCGCGTCGCTGGCCGCCTATGTTACCACCCCTAGTATGGTCGACTACTCTGCCAGCAAGGCTGCAGCTCTTGCGTTCCATGAAGGGCTCGCCACTGAGTTGAGGACACGTTATAACGCTCCGAAAGTCAGGACTGCGGTGGTAAACCCGGGTTTTGCCCGCACGTATCTGGTTAACGTGATAAATCCCGAGAACACTTGGTTCAATCCCCTCTTGGAGCCAGACAGTGTCGCGGAAGCCGTTGTGCAGCAGATCCTCACGGGATCCAGTGGCCACATTGTCATGCCTGGCTCAACCGGAGCCCTTGCGAGTAATGTGCGGGCATTTCCTCATTGGCTGCAGAACAGAGTCAGGGACAAATGCGAGCGTTTAACGAGATCACCAGGCGAGCACTGATGAAGCCGACGCTTTTCCCTAAACGCGGGGAGATAGGTTGATGTTTTTATCATTGACTGGATCGTCTCCGCTCCACTTTTCCTGACCTACCTTCCTCTATGAATGTATCGAATAGACTGGTTGAAATAGTTTACCACGAGATATTCTTGGTGTGCTGAATGTGCATGAAGACCCCGAGCACCCGATCGGCAATTACTAGATATGTAACTAACTACCAGCGAGAGACATTTTGCAGAAGTTCTTATGATGTGTGTAAGTGTTTGTCCGGTGTAGGGGGAAGTCTCTCTATGCTTTAGAAGCGAGACACAGGAAGAAATATGATTAACTTTTGATGGTTTGGTTTGGGTGTGAGACATCTGGAGAGCCGTTGACATTTCAATTTTTTTTGCTTTTTCTCCTCTTTTTTTTTTTTTTTTGCCCCCTTCCCCCCTCCCGCAAGGCCGGTGAGGTGCAGACTGGGCGCTGGGCCGTTCTCGCATGCGTTGCGGTTGATGTGCAGCTGCAGCCACACCCTATTGGTCGGTGGTCAGGTGAAGCGGCGCTGGGAGTGGACAAGCTGACTAACTAACGCCGCCACACACTTTTCTCCTCGAGCTGAAGGTCCCTCCGCGACGTCCACTCTCTGCATTCCTCCTCCTCACTCCCCGTCGTGCAGTTCTCACTCTTAATGACTTGACGAATTTCATTGCTGTACTCCGTACTCCGTACTCTTGCTTTGTTGTGTATATATGATCCCTGTCGGTATCTTATGCCCAAAAGTCATTTCTAATGATTCTTTACGGCCGTGTTTTTGGTTAGCCGGCGGGTGTGAACCAAGGCAAACTTCCCGAGACAGGGCCCATGGTCCACCAGCCACCACCTCGACAACCCAAACCATCAAAACAATCCTTAACTAGGCAAAACAAAACACAGACTTCGCATGGAGTGCTGAGAGTCCACTTGGGAACGAGGCCAACCTCCATCGTCCCCTCCGATCCTTTCTTTTCTTTCTTTTTTTTTTCTTTCTTTCGTTTTGATCTTAAATTCACTCCCTTCGATCCATCATGCTTCGAAGTTTGTTGGGGAAATCAAGCAGTCGTTCCGCCACATCCAAATCCAAGTCCGACCGTCATCGCCGTCGTGATCGCGATGAGCGGTCAACCACTTCCTCATCTCGCCACAAGGCGAAAAGCACTCACAATTCGTCCACGCCCTCTTCTTCCGGTCGAAAGTCTGCACGAGGTGACGATCGTGGTCTAGACGTCGATCCCGCACTATCTACATATTCTTCCTCTTCCCGTAGATACCACCCTGAGAGTGCCGCGAAGTCGACGGTTTCAAGTAGTTATGTAACGGCGGATCCTGGAGACCCTGCGGATGATGCATACGATGGCGGAGAGGAGCGACCAGAGTATAAGTATGGCGGCGGCGAGATGGGCGGCCCGCATGAGATTTACCGCGAAGAGAGGTCACTCCGGTCGCATGCGCGGAGGCAAGAGCGGCATGCACGCAATGAAAGTTACGAGCGCTTGCGGAGTAGAGAAAGTGATGGGGAGCGAGAAGAGAGGAGGCGACGCAGGAGAGAACGAGAAGCGTTAGAGAGGATGGATGAACACCCAGAGGAACCGAGACGACACCGGGGGAGAACTGAGAGTGGAGATGGCAGTGAGGAACGGCCACTTTACTCTTCTTCTCGGGCCGCTCCGGATTCGATTGAACCCCATATAGCGGAGTCTTCCTCGCCTAGAGCTGAGACATTCACGACGCCGACTTCCATTCCTGACGCTCACCCTTCAAGTCGACCAGCCGACCCAGCGCCTCCGCCGGCAAAATACGGTTTGGCAGCTGAGTATTATAATGACCAGGGCCAGTCAGTTTCTACGCAGCCCGGCGTTAGACCGGAATCACCAGTGCCCCCGATAGTCGCCGGAGCGCAGCCACATTTGACGTCATCTCTCACAACTCCAGCTCCTCCTGTAGAGCCTAGTACAGTTGGTCAAAATGGTGCAGCCTCACCCTTCTACGATATAACTTCAACGCAAGCTAACGAGTCGCATCCTATTATAGACGTAACAGCTCCACTAGGCATGCCACCGAAACCTGAAAGCACTCCATCCACTGTCTCTCAACCTACCTATGGAATCGACCCTGCTTTGCTGACTGATCACGACCAAGGACAACCACCCGCTCACGGCACGCCTATTGGTCAAGCCCAAAGCTTTACAAATGGACAGCAACAGCACCAATATACTTCTTCTTCACATCAGGGAATGGCAGCACTTGGAGCAGGCGCCGGAGTTGCAAGCGCTTCTGGCCTTGCGTACAACGTAGCCCACAAGCCACATCATTTTGCCCACGCCCAGTACCAACCGGGATCATTTGAATATCATCGTGAACGTCATGGTCCATTACGCCGGTTTATTGATTTCTGGAAAGATCCCGAAGGTGTTGCCCAGTTTGAAGAGTATTCAGAAATCATTGGTGTCTGTAAGTACTGTTTTGAACCGGGCACAACGTCGAAAGATGCTCCGAGAAAACACAACCATCGACGCCGGTATTCATACGAACCTCCATCCAATAGAGCTAGGGTTGATAAACATAGCCGATATGCATCTTCGGACGATGAAAGTCGCCGAAAACGATCGAACAGGAGATCATGGCTTGCTGGAGCCTTGGCTTCGTACGTTGGAAAATCGCTATATGATAAGACTAGGTCCAGCTTTGGCGGCTCCAGCGCTATGTTGAGGGAGTCACCAAGTCCAACGTCGTTGTCGATTACTCAGAGCATATCATCATCTGAGGCCAAGGGTCGTACATCCCTAGGTGTTGCGAAAAGCTCTAATCGCAGCTATTCTACAAGTCTGCCAGAAGACACATTTACTGAATTCAGGGGAGGGAATGGTACTTACCGCCTTCCCTCTGAAATCTTCAGCCCTCCAAAATCCCGCGTTTCGAAGCAACATCGCCAGTCAGAATCGGGCACCTCCTCATCAGAAAGGGGCCCAAGTTCTATCTTGACAGAAGCTGCTCCTGGGACTTCCATTGCTGCCGCCGCTTCTTCATCTTCGGGAGCTGCTCGAAAGGCTCGAAGTGGTTCCCACAGAAAGTCTCGAAGAAGGCGATACTCAACCTCCAGTTCTTCAGGTTCTCTCGTGGACATATCTCGGCCATCTGGCAGGTCTGGGCTGGCAGGACTGTCGTATTTCTTTACGGCCCCGTCAGAAAAGCGACCGAAGGAAAAATCCAAAAAGCCGAGAACGAAGAAAAGAGGATTTTTTGGTTTCCGTTCTGTATCTTCGTCTTCATCGGATGATGCCGATCTCGCGTTCGGGACTGGTTTTTACAAGGTACCTTCCCGCAAGTCTAGAACTCGGAGGCAAGATGAAGATTTGGATACGAAGTTGTTTGATTTGGAGTCTACCGCCGCTTCATTAGCTAGCGCGGCGTCTCGCATGAGCGGGCGCCGTCGCTCTGATGTTGCAGCGGGAAAAGCAGCACGCCGCCGTAGCCCAGGGGGTCGCGCTAAGTCTCAGTATACATCTAGCGACAATCCGCTGGATGACGAAGAATGGGAGTCGATGTCATCATCGGAGTCGAGCTTAGATTCAGCCTTAGCATATGGTGACTCTTCAGACTCAGGAACTTCAAGATGGGGATGGAGATGGGTTAAGCGTCGGAGGGAAAAGTCGAAAGCATCCGGATCCACTACCGGTAGACCCGGTCCAACCGTGATAGAAGGTGCACCCACCGAAAGTGACACTGGCCTGTCATCTATGCATAAGGTCCATCCCATTACTACATCTGACCCTTTTCGATTCGATGCTGCATCGGGGAGTTTGATTTCGAGTTCTACTCCAGGTCATTCACGAGAGCCCTTGTATGCGTTCCATGCAGAGCCAATAAACATCGACCAACCTCAGCCTATCGCACCCATTTCGCAAAATATTTACCAACGAGCCGAAACCATTCCAGCTCAAACCACCCCAGTTATTCATCCCAAATTTAACACAGTATCACTAAGCAGACACGATTCTGCTTCGTCAGTGGCGGAGCCATCCAACGAGCCCCTCGACTCTTATAGAAATCGACGTAAAGATTATGATGAGCGGCATTCTAAAACTTCCCGAAAAGAAAATGGTCATCAGAGACGCGATTCTTCACCGCTTGATCCAATCAAGCGGCCTGACAGCCCCGAATCAAGACAGCACAAACGCTCCACTTCTCAAGTTCAGTTTGATTTGACTGACGAGCAAGCTGAAAAGGAGCTTCGACTTCAAAAACTCGAAGAAGAAAAAAGGGCTACACGCAAGGACCGTGTCTCTCGACCCTCCTCGGACTATGGTTCTTTTAAACCGGAATCTAGCTCTCGTCGAGATACACAACCCACGTATGTGGAAATTCGCCCGAAAGACTACGATGAATATAGCGACAAGCAATCAGATTATTCACCGTCTACTACTGTAGGCGCAACAATTGTCGGGGCAGCTGCTACATCCACCATTCTCAACGAACTAGACGATGAGCGCAGTGATAAGCGCAGAGAGGCACGGCGAGAGAAAAGAAGAGATGAACGACGTGGCTACACTGGTTCAGACGAGGACAATAGGACCACATCCATGGTAGATCAGAAGCAATATGGATCAGGTGACGAGGATGAGTCTGTCCGGAGAGCTCGGCGAATTGCGAGAAAGGCTTCCAAGCGCATTGTCTCTTCTCCAGTTTATGAGAGCTACGTGGACTACTTCACTCCGGAAGAAGTGCGACCTACTAAAGGCTCCCCTCGCTCAGACGCTAGTTCAGAGCACTATTCAGTCAAATATTCGCCTAAGATTCGATTTGACAGGGAGATAGCCAAAATGTCCGAAGGCGTGGATACTAGCCGTCTTCCGTGGCCAGTTCCTCGTCTTAACCTGATCGAGCCGACCCCTCCGCATAGCGCTTCCGGTTCAGTCATCCTCGAAGACGACAAGTCCCATGGTCCTTCTGAAGAGCCTGCGCCTTCATCCCCTGTAATCGACGATTTCTCGGACTCCCGGAGTGTATCTCGAGAGGTAGAGGACATTCAAGACCCTGTGGCCACCAAAGAAGATCGAAAGACGGACAGTGATCATATTCTAGGCCTAGGAATAAACGCTGACTCAGTTTCCGTCGATGAGGTTGCAGAAACTCCAATGCAGGAGCGATCTACCAGGGATGGAATATCCGAAACACCTGAGGTGGAGAATATCGAGGATGAGGGTGACGACAGTGCCAGGTTATCTGAAGCAATTGCCTCTCAACAAATGCCCGGTGGGTTTGACGATGATATCGAATTTGTGGCTACCGTCTCTGCCTGTGCCAAAATGGCCGGGTTTGACCCTTCCATCGTTACTGATGATCCGATATATTATTCTCGCAACTCTCCTTCCGGCTCCCAATCTGAAGAGATTCCGTTCAGGGCGATACTTGATGACATAGATGATCCATTCACTGAAGGGAGCACCCGGCCATTCCGTGGGTTTGTGGAAGCCGAATCATTACCACCGTCAGATACAGAGGAGGATAAAGCTCTTGCTCAGAAATCGTCATCTCAAGACGACACTAAGGACGACGGACCTAAGGATGAGCGCCCGCAAGAAAAGCCCCGCGATTCTGCACGTAATGAACCAGCAAGTGCAAAGGACCTCCAACAGCATCAGTGTTCAGAATATCCACAGCCTGAAGTAAATTATCGTGGGGAAAGTCGTGAGTTTTTTGATGCCGAAGAAGGACCGGTTCAAATTGTCGACAAAGACGGTGGAATGAAGCCAACGAATCACGAACACACAAACCAACATAAACGATCCTCAGAGGGCCCCGGCCCCAAGTTTCAGCCCTCCGAGAACCTGGAGCGGGATCAAGTAATGGGCGGGAAAGCAGGCGATTCTACCTTACGAGACAACTTCAACCAGTCTGAAGAAGACGCTGAACCGATAAGTAAAAAGTCGCGACGGAAATCGAGGAGCAAGAAAAAAAGTGGCATTGATGCTAATGATCTAGATGCGGGGCCTTCGATACCGCATGCCCGCGATGATGAGAGACAGGAAATTGTGGAAGCTACGTCGGCTGAGTTGAAACCAGAAGACGATCCTCTTGCAGACGATCCGGTATCCACGGCAGCTTCTAGGGACATAGAATTTGTCTCTCAGCTTCAGGAAGAAAATCCTAGAGAGCATAGCGTCCCGTCACACATCTCGTTGTCTAAGGGTAAGAGAAAAAAGGGGAAGCGGAAGAGCAGTGGCTTCTCAGCACTGGAAGAGATGCCCACATCTTCGGAATACCCCGAGGGGTTGATAGTAAATCCCACTGAAGTTGACTCAAAACAAGGCGCCTTTCTCACAGATCTTGATCGTGATAAAGGTGCGTCGCTGCTAAGTGAGCACCAAGACCAAGATCAGATGGTTCCCTCGTCCCAGAAACAGAAGCGTAAGGACCGTAAGAAGGACCGAAGGAGTCGCTATGAGGAGATTGTTGACTCAGGCAAACGAGCAGAAACAAAGGTATTGCATGCATTCTCGTTAGCGGCTAGACTTGCTAACGATGTACAAGACGGATTCCACCGCGACTGAGCCCACGGCCAGGGGTGACGCCTTTACCTACAATCAGGATTCGATTCCCAAGCCTTTTTTAGAAGGTAGCCCCGAAATACCATCAAATGATGCTACTTCGGGGACTGGTAAAGGTTATCAGCCCACAGATCCGCAAATTGAGCCTACGACACCTGTCGCTTCAATCTTTGGTCAACGAGTCCGAAGCCGCTCAAGTTCCCCTTTCCCTAGCCAAAGGTTTGAGCTGCCACCACACTCACGTAGCCGACCCGTTTCACCAGCAGCGAGTAGGCCAAGACGTATTTCCGTTCGTGGTGATCCGGATGTGAATCCGCTCGCAACCCCATCGCCAACTGCAATACCGCTACATTTCCGTCGACCCGTTAGCTGTCATGGCTCTCCCACAGCTGGATCAGAGATAGCCCCATCAGTATCCCCAACCGCAACCAAGGCCCATAAGCGGCCCAAGTCAACGGAGTTTAAAACTGACCGGGAATTGCGCCCCCTCTGGCTCGTTGAACGACATAGCTCGGCTAGAACAGAGCAGGCGCCCGAAGGGCCGTATCCTTCCCTTCCGTCAAGCCGAACAACGTCCCGAACTCCTTCAATGGAGGACTTGAGAACCCATAATGAGCCACTGTTTGCATACGATCAGCCGCTTCTGAGTCCGCGTCGTCAACCAATGTCATTGCATGTTGACACGAGTCAGGCACCACAGAATGAGGATGTTCTAGACTCCAAGCAAGCAACACCGACTGTAGACACCTTTCAGCAGGTGCAGAAGAGGGATAAGCTAAAGTACGAATTTCACTCACCATCGGAACTTCTTATGGAGCCCTTTGATGTGGCAGTCAATCGTCTGCCTCCGTTCCCACCATTCCCAAGTTCTGTACCTTTTCTAGACCCGGATCTTCCACCATTGCCGGACAGTGCGCCGCCAAGTCCTATTACTGAAGCTGAATCATGGCACACGCCTGGTGATAGATCCAGCATAAGTGCACAGTCTGACTCCACTGTCATCCCGGATTTCAATTATGAATTCCCTGTTCCCGTGGATGATGTCCAAGGTCCAGAATCCGTAAGCCGTCCATCAACAGCTCTAAGCGCATATGAATCGGCGGTCGAACATGAAGAGCCGGGGGATCATACCCCCGTTCCTGCTTCTCCAGTATCCACCATAAGAGCGCCTCTTGAAGAGCATCCCATCGAACTAGTTCACATGGACCCCGCGGCTCAAGACCCTTCCGAAGAGGCTTTGACTGGAATCGAGGCACAGGCCGAACGTGGTATACCCGAATCACCGAGTGAAGACAAATTTGAAGAAGCACATAGTGTACTTGGCCAGGAAGATGAAACACAGAGAGACCCTGGGTTCCCAGGAAGCGTGAAATCCATAGACGCTGGAAGAACACCTTCTGCGCCTCCGGAGGAAGCAAAGGAACATATCAGTCTTCCAACTGTTGATGGCTCCGCCATGCCTGATTCAAAAGATGATCTAGAAAGGGCAACGTCCCATTTGAAGGATACTGTACCGGGCCGGGAACCGACGCAGAGTGCGGAAGTGGCCTTGGCCCAAGCCCCCGACTTTTCCCAAATAGACTCAGTCAACGAGGCGGATGAAAATCCGGACATTGCAGAGCCTCTGGCGACTGATGCTACAAGTGAGCCTTCAATACCAACCCGTATCGTTGAAATGGAAGCACCTGCGGTGGACGGCACCAATCTCCCAGAATCTAGGGAGACCGCTTTTCATGAGAAACCAGAGGAGAAAGTGGATGCTGCTTTACCCATGGTCCTGGAGGAACAGGAACAAGTGTTGGCCTCTCAAGAAGCTAATGAGTTTGAGATACCTGCACACCCTGATAATCATCCAATAGTAGAATCTGTCGAGTCTTCCGTTAAAGTGGAGATGGTTGACATTTCAACCCTCTCAGAAAGCGGCGAATACGGTGTTTTGGAACCCGAAGGAGGGAAGTTTTTATCTGACGATGCCTTGGTAGACTCAATTCCGGGAGATGCGCCTCCTGTGTCAACTGAGCCTTTCACTTTGACCCAGGACAACGCCAGTTCTGGTAACCTTAACGTCAATGATGAAGCTACCGAAAAGAACGACGATTTCTTTATTCTCTCCACGAAGTCAAGGAAGGGTAAAAAGGGAAAGAAGAAAAATCGAGGTCCAAACCCGGTCTTCGAAAACAGCCAAGAAGAAGCGGCTTTGTCTGGGAAGAATATAGTTGAGGACGAGCCAGCCGACACTGGTGCTGATGAGCTGAAGGGAATACCGTTAAACGATACCCAGTCTACCCTGGACAACGTACAACTGGCTACTAATGATCCTGGACCTGCTCTCGAAGAAACGACTAAGAGTGGGCCCCCCGACTTTATCCCGGTTCCCAAGAAGAAAGGTAAGAAAGGCAAGGCGAAAGGCAAGGGAAGGGGGAACCAGCCAGGAACGACAGAACCTCAACTCGTAAATGTCGGTGTTCCAGAAAAGCCAGTTGAAGAACTAACGCCTTTGCCATCCCTTTCCCCTCGCGATGACGCACCCGAGGATAATAGCGGAGTAACTCTTCGAGATGCACTGGTTTCATCTCCTCCAGCCACAAGTGAACCGCAAGAAGAAATCGACCCTGCATCTAAACAAGAAGTGGGTGAATCTTTGGCTACGGAGAGCTCTCCGATCGACGGAAAGGGTGCGCAGGGTGAAGAGCAGGGCGAGATATTACACGATAATGCCGAACAAGTGGTTGAACCGCAGGATCCATCGCAGCATGACAATCAGGTCTTAGCTGAACCCCCAGCACAAGAGCAAGCGGCAGTTATGGATGCACCTATTGAAAATGCTGCAGATACTTTTAACCCCCAAATTGAAGACGCCGAGAAACCCCACAACCGTGAAATCCTAGTTGAGGAAAGCCCGGCAGAGGAAAAGGTTGCTGCAGGGCCACATGAGGAATCTCTGGCCGAACAACCCCATCCTGAGGGGTCAGATTTGCAGACTCCGGAGGATTCGCCGCCGGCAAACATTGCAACGGAGCCAACCGAGGCAACTGATATCGATTTTGCGCCTATACTTTCTAAAAAGGAGAAGAAGAAAAAGCGCAAAAGTAAGCAAATTCCCGCCGCAAACGTTCCCACACCTCACAATGCCGGTGATAAAGACGGAAAACCTTCCGAGATCGATTCGGTTCAACGTTCCGACCCTGAAAAGCCCACAGATGGTGATGTTGCGGTAGACAATACAGCCCAAGGCACCATTGAGGCTACCATGGCCACAGAAACGGACTTTGCACCGACTCTTTCAAAGAAGGAAAAAAGGAAAAACCGGAAAGATAAAAAGGTCGCAGATGAAGTTCCTTCCGAAGATAAATCGCCTGAAGAGCAAGAAGTAAAATCTCCTGAGACTGAGACAGTGCTTGAATTCTGCAGAGCATCCGAAACGGATGCGTCGAATGAGAATGTTCCGGGCGGGCCCGCTGATGCCGTTGAAGCAAGTGAAACAAGCTTTGAATCAGCTGCAACGAAAAAGGCGAAGAAGAAAAGCAAAGGGAAACCACCATTAGCAGATGCTCTCCAGAACGAGCCGGAGCTTATGGAGCTTGACATGAAAAAACCCGATGCCGAAGCTACTGCTGAAGCGATGGAAGAACCATCTATCGATCCTTGTGCTCCGTTGACGGATCCTATTTCTGAGCAACCGCTTAGCGAGCCCGTAGAAGTTGATGAAGTTGAACCTGATCCAGTTGTAACAACAAGTGATCTATCAGCTGAGGCAAGTGCTTTGCCTGCGGCTAAAATTGTTAAGGACGACGATAAAAGTGCCTTGGATGTTGCAGACCCTCCCGAAGCTGCAACTGAACAACCGGACAATGAGGATGGTAGTTCGTCTATAGATGCCGCGATTTCGGGATCTACTGAAGCTCACCAAGCAGATCACGGAGCTTCCCTTACAAAAAGGGGCAAAAAGAAAAAGGGAAAAGGCAAACACACCGTGACAAGCAATGATTTGGCCGATAAAGACACCCAGCAGCCCAATGACGTTCCTTCAGATATGCCCCTAGCTCCTACAGACAAAGTCAAAGCGCCGCAACCCGAGACAGATCCTCTATCGACCAACGATGATACGACGCTACCTGCAGAGAAGCTTACCAAAGTTAGCTTTACACCCATCGCCCGAAAGAAGAGTAAAAAAGGAAAGGGCAAAGGCAAGTTTCATGTCGCTGATGTGGTTGAAAAGCCAGTCGAGCCTGTTAAACGGGAACTCGTAAACGAGGCGGAGATCTCTGCAGAGGCACCCGAAGAAGACAAGCCTGCTACCGCAGACATTCAGGACGAACAGTCGTCCACGCATAAGTTATTCCCTGGGGAGAAAAGCCCGCGCCTCGAAAGTGCCCAGCTTCTTATTCCAGAGGAAGGTCAGGGCCTATCACTCAAATCACTGGAGGTTGCGGAGATACCAGTTCCTGAGGCAGCTAAAGATAGCGACTCTACCTCGCAACAACTTCAAAACCCTGCATCTAGTGATGTCCTGAATGATCCTGAAACCAACAAGGAAGATCAGGCTCTGATCGAACCTTCAGCAACGAGTCTCGCTTCCCAAGACGGCGAAATAATAAAACCTACCGAATTGGTAACGAATGACCCATCCATTGAGTCAACAGAGCCTTGTAGCATGCATGAACATGAACTTCCAATGTCAGGACACCCTAATTCAGACAAGCCCGATATTCTCCCTACCTCTGAAGTTCCTGCAGGTGTTGCTCAAGATTCGGATACGAAAGTCCTCTTGGAGCACCCTTCCGTGCCGGAGCCTTCACCAGATGAAACTCCAACTCCGTTCGAATTGCAGGAACTGCAGGAAACGCTGGCTGAATCTGTAGATCCCGACACAGTGCCAAAGGAAACATATCCTTCCCTGGTGGACTCAGATCCTCCGCGCGCAACAGAAATGGGCGATATTGATGGTAATTGGAACCAACCCAAGTCAAAAAAAGGCAAGAAAGGAAAGAGAAAGAGTCGGACTTCTACTCTAACAGTGCTGCCCGAAATTGAAGAGGCTGGTCAAAGCGAGCCCGCTTCATTAGCCAATGACCCGTCGGCAGCAGATGTTGCAGAGGTTCATTTAACACAAGACGAACCTGGCCCATCGCCCATTGAGCCTAAGCATGCACAACTTCTGCCTGATGAATTGGGACCTGACACCGAAGCTGCAAAGTCAGCCAATGAGACGCAACCACATGTGCCAAGCCTAGATAATGAGAATGCAGACTTGGACGCTTGGTCCACCACAAAGGCCTCAAAAAAGCAGAGCCGGAAAGACAAGAAAAAACAGAAGACTCGTGCAGCAGCGCAGGCACTGCCATTAACGAAGGATGATGCCCCACTGGAAACTCCTGAAGTTCCTACTGAAGCCAAACAAGGCGATAATGTGCCGGATTCAGGAGCTGAGAAGCCGGGAGAATCTGGATTTCAAGGGCCTGATCAGATTCACACTGAGTTAATTGAGGACCTATCTGTCGAAAATGTACAGCCCACCTCTTCAAAACCGGTCGACGGGCCGGAGCATGAAAACCTGTCACTCGAACAAGAAGCCGAACCCGACTTGGCAGGGTCTGAATATCTCGTTAAAACCAATGAAGACCATCCTGCACAATCCGCTGTTCAAGCAGGCGGATTTCCCGCTGGATCCCGAGAGGTTGACGTTTTAGATAGAGAAGTCGAACAGACAGAGAGAGGGGATGCAGCACATCCGTTCGAAGAAGCCAAACCTGGGAAGAAGGGTAAGAAGGACAAGAAGCCGGAGTCAGTGTCTTGGGAAGAGGGAGAGCTACCTACCGAGATCCCTCCAGCAAATGCTGAAACTTCCCAGCAAACCCTAGCCGTGGATGTTGCGGAGGGAGAATCAACAGGTAAAGAACCTGAGTTTGAAGAGCCAAAATCTACCAAATCCAAACGGAAAGCAAAGAAAGAAAAGCGGAAACAGCGGGAGTCGGTGGCATGGGAAGAGGCGGTTCCATTTTTGGAACCCGTAGACAAAACTGAACCGGCTCAAGCCGAAATTGATGGGACGGAAGAGCCTGAGACTAATGTTCCCTCAGCTATTAAACCCGATTTTGAAGAGCCAAAGTCGAGCAAAGCGAAGCGGAAAGCTAAGAAAGAACAGAAAAAGCGAGAACTCGACTTGTCTGAGGCCCCTTTAGCAACAGAACAGCCCGCTGAAGGTGCAGGTCCTGAGAAACCTTGTGATCCCGAAAACGAGCATGGCAACGCAGAAGAAGGAAAGGCTCCAGAAATTCCCGAGGTGGGAACGGAAAATCATATGCTCGAAGAAAGTCGGGGAGAAGGATTGAAGATGGGCGAAGATGTTGAAGTGGAGGCTGGAGACGCAGTTGACAAACCTGAAGCGGACGACGGTAAAGAATTTCAATCTTCCAAGAAGAAAAAAAGAAAATCAAAGAGAAACGCTAAGACGACCGATTGGACTGATGAGATTCCCCGTGAGCAGGTTGTAACGGAGCCTGCTGACCGAGATCCTTTGCGATCGTCAGTTGCAGATGTATCCAAAGAGCACGTCGTTCCCGCGCCCGATGTCCAGAATGAAATCGAAAATTCACCCATCGCTCCCGACAGCACGGTTGCACATGAGTCGCCTGATGTCCCTCCGGAAAATTTAAGCAATATTGCCGATAGTTTCGTGCCATCGTCTACGCCGCAGCAGGCTGCAGCAATGGTACTCGATGTTTCCGAAGTCCCATTGCTAGAATCACCCCCCAATCTTCAGCAAAACAGCCCTAGAGAGCCTACACTTTCTACCACTATCGAAGATATACCTCTTGCACACATTACGGAAATTCCACTTGAGGACCTCGAAGCCGCACCCCCAAAATCGTCATCGTCACCAAAACCAATTCCTCTCACCGAAGATAGTACCACTTCTGAAAAACAGGAACAAGACAATGCTTTAGCGACGGAAGCAACAGCCACAATGCTGGAAACTCAAATTCACGATACAGAAAATCAAGATTCAGCTGGCGTGAACATAATACCTGAGTATTCCTCTGGGATGGCTGATCACCAACAAACCAATAGACGGGAACGAGCTGCTGAAATGGAGCCATTTACAACGGCCAGAAGTCCTGAAGTACCCATTGTTAGTAATGAGGATAAATCTCTGGATTCTATCTTCGGAGAGGTGCCTGAACCACGGGCGGCGGAGCAACTGAGTGAAATTGAACCAGGAATATCAAAGCTAGTAACCCCGGAAAATGCTCTGGCCGAGGACCACTCTCAACCCAAATGTGAAGAAAGTCTTGGGAAAACTGGAATACCTGAACATGCTTCCGAGGAGCGAGACATGAACTCTCAGGAGAAGGGGATTACTTTGGAAGAGGATGTCGGTTTGTCCCAGATTGAACATCCCTCACAGACTGCACCACTAAGCAACGAGGAAACCAAAGACAACATCCGGCTAGGTGAGCCTACAAATCCAAAGCGCAAGGAACATAAGAAAACCAAGAAAGACTTTAACCCTGAAGGCACTATCGTCCTGTCCAAATCTCCTGTCACTCCTTCTGAAGTTGCTGCTACGACGCACCATCCCACTAAGTTATCTGAAGAGTTAGACCCTGCTTCCCTTGAGTCATTTGCTCGTCCTCTGTCGAAAAAAGAGAAGCGAGCCAAGAGAAGGAAAGGAACAGATGTCGGAACGGAAATCCCCGAGGGAAGAGTATGGAAGAATGAGCAGCTATCGGAGTCAACGAAGCCAATTGACACACACAGTCTGCCCATTATAGAGGCTACCGATGAAACTCCACAGGACATTGTTCCAGGAATTCCAAGCGCGAAAGATCTTACTGGACCCCAGGAAAAGCCAATAACACATTTCCCATCCTTAAGGACAGAACCCAGTCAGGAGACTGGGCTATTGAAAACGGACCCCGTTTATATGCAGCCTGGATCGAGAGAAAACCCTGAAACCGATCAACCAGAAGAAGACAACATTCCGGAGCCACAAATGCTGGTCACAGGAACTCAGCGCGAAGATTCCACAAATATCATTGCCCAGCCCAATGAGGAAGCGGACCCTGGCATTCAAGTTCTCCCTGCAATTGCATATAGCCAACCTGCTGAGCAGCCCATTTCCGAAGTTCCGGCAAGTTCCACAATCCCTGAGGGTTTCACGCCACACATCGAAGTTGGCGAGTCACACGGCCTACCCGTGTTTGAAAACCTCGACCAATATGCTGCAACACCTGGAGCTGATATTGAGATAAAGGGGATGATAAATCCATCTAATCCCCCCGAAAATCAGCGGCTAGAAGATCTTGAAGTCTTAGCTAAAGAACGAAACACAGTAGTGCGGGATGGGGTTACAGACCAACCTCCACCTTACAAAACGTTCAAAAAGAAGAGGAAAAAGAAAGTTCAAGAGCATGTTAAGGACGGCGAGATCTTGGAAAAGGAACCTGAGTTTGATGGCATCAGTGCAGGGACAGAAGGTTCTTCGCAAATGTCCAGGTCACCTGAAGAAGCGGAAGGGATAAAGGAAAATACGACAGAATACCCAATCGATGATGAGCGGGATACCCCTATTTTGGATGAGCAAACTGTACGATATATGGAAGAAGAAACCTCTGCATCTCCAGAGGCTGAAGCTCCAATGGTCGAGAAACATATTGCTATCAAGACAAGGGAACACTTCCAAAGAGATGACGACTCACTACCGTCAATTGACTGGAACAACCCTAACCAAGGTATGGATGATATACCATTCCATGATGAGGCATCAAAGCCAGATACTTCCTCCCTTGATTTCCTGTTGTCGGGGGATCAGATCCACAATCAAGAAGACATTATTGAAATGGATCAATCCCATTTGTTTGATCAAGCCGAGGAGGGCATTGAGGATTTCGATGAAAATGCTAAGCCGTTCTTTAGGCGTTTCGAACAAACCACCGGTTGAAAACCGGAAGCAGCTCACCAGACAGCTCGCGATAAACCCTGTGGGAACTGAAGCTTATGAAAGCAGCAGTGTCAGTGAGACCCTATACTCTGTTCGCGGCAAAACAGAGCGAAAACGAAAGAGCAACAAAGGGAAGCAGAAGCAGCAACATCTCGACCGAAACCCAGCATCCGAGGAATTAAAAGTCCTGGCGAGCACTGATGACAAATTGGCCCCTGAAATAACCAAATCTGCCGTCACACCCGATTTACCTCTCGCGCCGAAAGAACAGCTGCAGGAAGACAAAGTCACCGAAGAACCTCCAAGCAAGCGAGGCACCTCACCGTCACCAAATCGCGAAGTTGGTTCCGAGGATGTAGCTGATTCGGCTTGTCACCACGACCTTGCCCATGAACAGCCAATTTCTCAGTTTGGGGAAAGTGTAAACACGATATCCACTCAAACAGCAGCAGGAACGGTGGCTAGCGTTTTCCCGCATCTCGAGCGGGTTTCGAGGAAAAAAGGGTCTCACAAAACATTGGCGGGACGTAGCGGAAAGACTGATATCAGCGAATCGGCACGACCTATTGAAGACGGCCGACGACAAGGGGATTATCGTACGAAGGTAAATAAATATGATGGTAAACCTGAAAACGAATGGCGAAAACAAGAGAAGCTGCAAACCCCAGAACTATCATCGAATCAACGCTCAATCAGCTCCGAACGAAGCCCACAGCCAATTCGTGATGAAGATGATGTCGCAGGTCCCACCCTACAGCCATCAGTGTCTTTGTTTGGCGGGCCCTACGGACTGGGTGAACGACCGCGCGCTGTATCTCCGCCAAAGACACCTCTCGCTACCATCAGGGAACAAGTTCCAACAGATTCGCCTTCTTACACTCGTCACCGTGATTCCTCCGATGTTGGTTCACCAGAGAGGGGAGTGAAGCTTGCAAGACTGGACCGAAAATTAAGCCCGGTACCTACTCAGTCAGTTGTCAACAAGCTGAACATTGAGCGTCGGCGGGTGCCCCATGAATCGCCAAGTCCCACACCAAAACCTGCGCTTCGCTCATTGTCGGGGCCGTACGATAACATCCTCAAAACCCCAGAGACCAGTGAGGTAGTGCGGCGAGCAAGTATCGTCAGCCTCGAGAGCCTGAAATCCGCGGATTCGCTGCGCCTTCGCCGAAGCCCCGGCAGTGGCGATCTCCGGGCTCAAAGCAAACGCGAGCCGTCCGCCCGGAAGAACAAATCGCCGACGGCCCAACCAGAAGAAGACGACGTAAACATCGAGGCGCTTCCTTCGTCCTCCACCTACGACCCGGTCACCGACAAGGGCAAACTCCCGCTGCGAGGCATGGCGGCGGATGTCTATGTAAGTCGCACCCCGCCCTGGGCTCGATTTTTTGGTGATGATTTCTCGCACCCCAGATGGTGAAATTTGATGGAACTGACTTTGCATCTTGTTCTCAAAAAATAGGAAGGCTGGGGCGATGTACCCGGCTCCCCGCTTTCTCCGTCACGCCCACCCAGCGTCCGTCGTCGGCGCAGTCTGCAGCATCTCCAAGACCTCGAAACCCGTCTGGATCAACTAGTATCCGAAAATCGCCTACTCTCCTCTGCGAAGGCCACAACCGAGAAAGCCTTGGAAACCCTAACAATCACCCAGAGACAACAAGCAAAGGCGCTCGAAACGCGCGATCGAGAAATTCAAGATAAAGACTCCGAGATAAATCAGCTAAAGAAGTCTACTCAATGGTTGAAGAGGGAACTTGCGAGGCTCACCGAATTAAACGAGAGCCTCGCAGCGACCAACGCAAAACTCCTATCCTCTCAGGAAAATGAAACAAACCAACACAATGAAGTCGCGCAACAATGGCAGCGATCACGGGAGGAGTTGGAGGATCTCAGAGCGAAGTATACCCAATTGTCTGCCGGAATGGAAAGCATAGTGAGCAGTGAAGTCGATACGGCTCTGGCGCTGAAGAACGCAGAAATCCGTCGGCTACAAGGGGACTTGCTGGAGGCTCAAGATAAGATAAAGGAACTCCAGGAGAAGATCGTCTCCTCGTCGCACGATAACATCATTATCTTTCGCGACGAGGACTACTTTGAGTCTGCTTGCCAGAAACTTTGCCACCACGTGCAGCAATGGGTTTTGCGGTTTTCCAAGTTCTCCGACATGCGCCTGTGTCGCTTGACGAGTACGCTCCGAGACGAAAAAGTCGCCGACCGCTTTGAAAACTCAATTTTGGATGGCTCTGACGTTGATTCTTACCTAGCCGACCGTGTAAAGCGTCGGGACGTGTTCATGTCTGTGGTCATGACGATGATGTGGGACTATATCTTTACACGCTACCTCTTTGGCATGGACAGGGAGCAGAGGCAGAAACTGAAAACTTTGGAGAAACAATTGTGCGAAGTGGGTCCGCCGGCTGCCGTTCAACGATGGAGAGCCACCACGCTGTCGCTGCTTTCCAAACGACGCTCGTTCCAAGAGCAACGGGCCCTGGACACCGAAGCGGTCGTTCAAGAGATATACCGCACCTTATCCAAACTCCTCCCTCCCCCACAGGAATTAGAGAAAAGCATTCTTGATTCTCTCCGGAAAGTGATGAGGGCAGCTGTCAACCTTTCCATTGAGATGCGCACACAGAAGGCGGAATATATCATGCTCCCTCCGCTACGACCAGAGTACGACACCAATGGCGACTTAACGCGCAAAGTTCATTTCAACGCCAATTTAATGAATGAGCGGAGCGGAGAGACCACCTCCAATGAAGAACTTGAGGTGCAACAGGCCGTGGTTCGCATAGTTCTCTTCCCATTGGTTGTCAAGAAGGGCAGCGATGAAGGTGAAGGTGACGAAGAAATCGTTGTCTGTCCGGCTCAAGTCCTTGTTGCGAGGCCAGGCAAAGATAAGAAAGTCGTCAGGGTGTTGAGCGGCGACCGGCTGTCTGCCAATCCGGTGAGCCAGTCGATCCAGAGTTTCCCGTCGATAGATATGGATACAAGTAACTTGATATGAGGCGTCACACTCATTTCTTGCTACTTGTTATTCTTTGTTTTTTGAGATACCTTTTCTTGACCTAACAGGTATGATGGCGGCGTTTGGGACCTGAATGGCCATGGAACTTTGTACTGTACACAGTTGGGGTTATTTCGGTCTTTATTTTGCTATGGGCAATTTTGTACTGACGATTGACGGACTGGACTCGGGAGTGGGGTGATTCTTTGATGATACACAATGTTCTCTGGTTTTGCACCCTTCCCCCCCCCCCCCTTTGTTTGTATTGTATTTATTTTTTATTTTTTATATTGATGTCGCCGTTTGAGCCGGCCTGATCTGATGATGACGACGATTGACGACTTGTGAGATACCGGAACATGTAACTAATAATAATATTAAGGCCTTTTTTTTATTTTGCGCAATTAACAGTAACCGACACAACAATCAATCTAACCAGCGGAGCTTGCGATTCTCATCTGTGATTTGCGAGCCAGCTCATCTCTGCTGCTGTCTGACGTGTCTGGACTCTGCACGCAGGAACCGAAGTAAGGCGGTCTCGGTGGCCGGTTTAACGAGCCCGCGACTAACGGCCAGCCACACAACGTCATTTCGGATCTCACCATCGCCTCGCCCATCCCGCAAGCGAAACACCCACCATCCACCCAGCGCCAACCAGCTCCTTTTCTCGCCAGTTGCAGGCGCTCTTTGGTTAATGTCAGTACTTATGACTATCTGCTGTCTTAGGATCCTCGAATTCTTCCCTCCGTAATGTCCAATACCAACACTCCAGCTTCTCCCACGGCGCGGGGAAGCTCGCCCAACCCTGGTCGTGACGTACAACGGGCATATCAGGGCAGTCCCCATCGAGTTTCACCCTTCCCAGAAACCCAGATTGGGCCTCAAGGAGCAAGTAACAGGCATGGTAAAAAGAGAAAACACCGACACCACAAGCGGCGACGACATCGACGGCCTTCTTTTGCCCCGGCTACCGTTGAAACTCCACCCGCAGGCTCCCCAAGTAGAGAAGCCGAGGGGATACCTGAAGAGGGCGAGACTGCGGCCCCAACGGCCCCGACTGATACCCGCCGAGCATCTTTCTACCGGCTGGGCCAGTTAGGAGGGGCCACTTTGAGTGATACCAGCTTGGATAGCGAGGCATTGTTGGATCATAGGTATGAGTCGTGCACCGATCAGGGTCCGTACCCGTGAGCCCAGAGAATGGAGGACTAACACATTCTACTTGATTCTCCAGGAACCAACCGATGATGCGCACTCGCCGTGAGAGCAGACTTGCCCAAAGCTCCCGTCCAGAGTATCCTCCTCTATCGTCTCTCGCTTCCCCTGACAACCGCTCTCGTCCAAGCGCAGCTCGTCTAGGTGTCAAAACTTCAGACGAAAGCGAACCGGAATCGGATGAAGCGGACGATCGAACCCCTCTCATCAGGCCTACCTCACTGCACAATACCAATTTCGTCCGGTATGGCACGGATGCCCGAGATATACCGCGACCCTCGAGACGGTCTTCTGGTAGGAGCGTCTCTCACTCGCCGAGGGACGCATACGATTCCAAGAGGTCTTATGATGTGAACAATCCACCTTCAATGCCCGGCAGCCCGAAACCCGGTGCGGAGATACCGTATGACGACTCGCTTATTACAGGCGAAGAGTACAGTCGCTCGAAATCTCCGGGAGGCGGGGGTGCGCCCGCCTTTCCGCGAGATGTGGTCATCGATATGGAAGGCCCCGACAGGGCTGATCAGATTGGGTCCGCTCCACCATCGCCTCCGGTTTCACTTAAGCGACGTCGGACCGTTACTCTTCCCGTTGAAGAAGACGTGTGTTTCCCGACTGGGGCGTTATCGGACCTTGGCGAAGAAGAGTTTACTCCGCATCCACCGATAGAAGGGTATACGGCAACGCCACGACGACGGAGAAGAAGAGTGTGGCCAGACCTCTCGGTTCTGGAGGAATGGAGCCGGGAAGAAAAGGAAGAGCGAACGGAGGGTATCCGAGCAAAGAAGATCAGCGAGCCTGTTCTCATTGGCGGAAGGCTGCGTACTCGAAATGCCCCTTGGAGACGTGAAGAGGAAGAAGCACCCTATCGATTCACCTATTTCAACGAGGAATTTCAAAGCACCATTCACAGCCAGACCATCTCTGAGCTTGTGCAGCCCGGTCAGACTTTTAAAGATTTATTTTTCCCTGAGCCGCCTGAGCTGGAATCAGGCGATGAGGAGGAAGAAGACGAATTTCGTCCATTTACTTTGAACGGAACTCGAACAAACTCGCTATCAATGCCTGGTTACAACGGAAGAAGCGACCGTGACAGTGCGGTGGCTGACTCGAGAGAAGTTAGCCCAAATCATGCACCTGGATCTTCTCCTACGCAGAAGGAGAAGCGTTATGGTCCGCGACCGACGTTTTGGCTAGACGTGCTTTGTCCTACGGATGCGGAAATGCGTATAATTGCCAAAGCATTCGGAATACACGCCTTGACCGCGGAAGATATAATGATGCAGGAGGCACGAGAAAAAGTAGAACTCTTCCGTCATTACTACTTCATTAACTACCGGACCTTTGAACAGGATGTCAATAGCGAAAACTTCCTTGAGCCTGTGAACATGTATGTCATAGTGTTTCGGGAAGGCCTGCTCAGCTTTCATTTCTCACAGACACCACATCCTGCCAATGTGAGACGCAGGATTCGCCAACTGAAGGATTATTTAATTTTGAACTCTGACTGGATCTCTTACGCTATTATCGATGATATCACTGATGTTTTTGGCCCATTGATTCACTCCATTGAGGAGGAAGTAGACGACATTGATGACACAATTCTACGAATGCACTCTGATTCTAAGGATCCAAATGACACGGCTCCGCCGGAATCTGCCGTTTCTGGATCTGACATGCTTCGCCGAGTCGGTGAATGCCGCAAAAAGGTCATGGGCCTTTATCGCCTTTTGGGCAATAAAGCCGATGTCATCAAAGGCTTTGCGAAGCGCTGTAATGAACAATGGGAGGTTGCTCCGAAATCAGAGATTGGACTATATCTCGGCGATATTCAAGACCATATTCTAACAATGACGGGAAATTTAACACATTATGAGACGTATGGAGTCCTGGTCTTGTTCCCCTTCTGCATCTGAGCTAACTCATATTTGATCCTAGTTTACTCTCGCGGGCTCATTCGAACTATCTCGCTCAGATAAACATCCGCATGAACGAACGACAAGAACAGACCGCCGATGTACTCGGCAAACTCACTGTTCTTGGAACTATCGTACTTCCTATGAATATCATATGCGGCATGTGGGGAATGAACGTCAAAGTTCCAGGTCAGGATGTTGAGAATCTCCATTGGTTTTTGTCTAGTACGTGAAATCTCCTCTCCTTTCAACTTTGCCCCCGAGCCGGGACATAAAGATGTGATGTGTATTAACCGTCCTGCCTTTAGTTACTGCTGGTCTAGTTATTTTTGCTTTTGTTTGCTTTTACGTCGCAAAACGAGTATACAGAATCGTGTGATTACCCCGCTGGGAGCTATTTTTATCACGGCCTCTCCCTCACCGGTGATTCTTACGATGCCATTGACGAATGTAACGTTTCTGATGCTAGGAATTAGTCCCCCTCACCGCCACTAGAGATAGGCTACTCGCATATTCTATTTGTATAGCTATCTTCTTTTGAATATAGGCCAAATATCGGCGTTTGGATTCTGGGCGTCCCACCCCCGAGTTCCAGTTCCTTGATTGGTTGCGTGTCTCTTTTGATCTTTTCTACATATTCTAAAATTTCCATGCATGCTTCTTTCGAAGCCGGTTCCTTTGGATTGGTGGAGAGATGTGTATATATACTAATTCCAATAGTTGTAGTTTCCTCTGCTCAGCAGGCCCGTTTTGCTTAACTTAGTACTGGACTAGCTATGACATCATTATGGAGAATTTTGCGAACATTTGTCTCTCAGGACCGACAGCCATCTGTGCACAGCTTTTAAGTAACCTCTTGAAGCAAGAAAAACAGATGAGAGTACGGAGTACTCCGTACACTAATTTTAACAATGATTGTGAAGTTGTACATGCATACAACTATGATCTTTGACAAGCAGAAGTTCACCTCCAAAGGAGTAACGAGCACTCTCACAACATCAGCTCTCAGAATATGTAAAAGGTTCAAGCAAAGTTAATCGAATGTTATAAAGCATGTTGGTATGATAGCTTGACATATATTCCTAATGATGTATGCCTTGCCAATGTATAATAAGCTTGGAGTAAGAATGGTGTATTCAACCCCTCCAATATGCCTCCTGCGGTGCTGTGGTATCTTGATATCCACTGCCAATAGCAATAACCAAAATATCATTGCACTGCCATCCCCACAGCACACAATGTCATACTCAACTTAACCTTTTTCTTTTTCTTCTTCTTCTTCACACATTCCACATTAAGTAGTTTTATTTCATCACTTTTCCTTCTTCACACAAATGAAATTCGTTGGTGCATTTCTCGCAAGGGAATGGCTAGACTGTCCTGGTAAAATCCCATAAAATGCAAGACAGTGGGTATGTATGTAGGGGGTATAATTAAAAGGAAATTAGAAGTAAAAAGAAAAAAGGTCCCCCCGAAAAAAAAAAAAAAGAAAAAAGAAAAAAAGAAAGAAAGGAAAAGGAAAAAAAAATACATAGAATAGTGTAACAATATTAAGAGAGAGAAAGGAAAAACGGAAGAGAAAAGAAAAAGGGTGAAAGACGATCAAAAAGTGAAATCCAAATCCGTTTGCACCCAATCCGCCCTGTCCTGGCCCAAGACTTGCATCTCGCTGCCTTTTTTCCAGTCTATATAGTTGTAATTTGCATTGGCATCGCTTTCGTTAAAAGAATCAAAGGGAGACGAAACGTCCCCTCACTTTTTCCCTTGGTTGGAGAAGAGTAAAGTACAGGCGATAGTATCGTTTATCTTCCTCCTTCTCGGCTCTTTCGGGGTTAAGATGAGTCCTTTCTGACGATAAAGACTCACAAAGGGAGTAAAATTAAAACAGGGAAGTATAGGGTAAGAAAAGTCCAAGATCTAAGAGAAGTCCCACCAAAAATCAAAAACAAGAGGGGCGCTATGAGCCAAGTGACGAGTAGTTCTCGTCCATCCCCATGGGGAAAGGAATCGCTATGCTCCACAGTTGCAAAATTTCAAAGTTACCCAAGGAATAAAAGGGAGTGCTAATAAAAAGTCAATGAATAAATGTTGTCACAATCAAGTGGGGGCATCATGTGTAAAGAATTCAGCGTAAGAAAGGGGTAAAAGTTCTTTGAGGCTTCAATAGGAAGAGGATACGATCAAGGCGGGTGTCCAAATGATTTAAGAGACTCATAATAGCCGTATAAGTAGCGTGGCCGCCGCTGGCGGAAGGAACGATAGCCATCGATGATCACTCAATGTGCACTGAATCATCTGGAGTATGGCCGTCATGGTCTCGAGAATCATCAGCATCGCCATCTTTGTCGCCGTTACTGTCTTCATCTGGTAGGACATTGATCTTGGAACTTATGGAAGCCGACTTGGTGCCGGAACTCAACGGCAACTGATACTTCACAACTCCACGGACGATCAATTCAAATGGGTGCTGAAGAACACGCTCCCATCTTAATGATCCTCCCTCCTCAGTTTTGTTTCCTGGTTTTGTCAACCGTACCTGGCCAGTGGAGTTGGATGCGATATGTTTCCAAGGCGACGGCTCGAAAGTCAATGGCGAGGCGAAATGGAAAATCCGACCTAGTAGCATGGTCTGCGGGTCCCTAACGTCATCGTCTGGCATTGGATCGGTTCCTTTGTCAACGCCACCTGTAACGTTGACAGTAGCGATCGAGGCTAGATCCTTCGAGGAATGTCCCCGCTTGCTGCTCTCCAGATTTCTCGCATTAATCGCCCGTTTCTTACTCTCTGTAGTTCGAGGCAATTTTTTTGGATGAGGTCCACGGTCTCTCCAAAAAGAATCGCTGCCGACGTATCTGCTTTTCGCGAAAATATTTACGTCCATATCGTCGATAGTGAGCGCAAATAAGTTCGGGTTAACGGCTTCAATATCCAAATCGAGCATGATTGTCTGCTCTGAGGCTAGAACGTTTTGGATTTCCCTCACACGAACGTTCTTAAGCGGCTGCGTGGCACCGATGATGAATAAAGTCGATCCACTGGTGAGAACAAAAAACAGCATTAAAAGTAAGGCACACACGCCATAGCGTGCCCAAAATCCAATTCGCCTCTGTCCAAGATACTCCATCTGTCGGAGGCTAGAACCGTTTGAACGTCGCCCATGACGGCCCCGAATACCTCTAATGGCACCAACTAAGGGAGTCCGCTCATCGTCAGCGCCTTCAGCGTCGAAATCGTACCCGTAAGTGTCTCCGTCCTTTTTTAGCTTTCGACTGCGACCATTACCAAGAAAGTGACGAGAGGACTTGGGGTTTTGGGACGGCTGGAAAGCTGATTGATCTAATGCGCCCTGATGGGCACCATTTCTTCCATGTCGCCCTATATGATAGTGGCGTGCTGTATGCAGCCCATGCCCTCTCGAGGTGCCTCGACCAGCAGAGCGATCTTCGCCCTCACCATCCATGGTGTTATAGGAAGTATTTGTAAACTTCATACTTCTTTTCCCTGTGATACCGTGCAGTGAATCTCTGACGCCAGGACGCATTCGATTTCCGTACTGGTCTAGCTGGCCAACCGCGGACGCCGCACTTGGGGTCCGAGAATGATATCGGTGTTGTCTGGATGGATGAGGGTCAGGAGGGTTTGATTCATAAACAAACGTCTCCGCAGAGTCCGATGAGTCTGCGTCTTCAACAGCGCTTGCTACCTTGGCTTCGAAAATATCCGCTTTCGACGATGCTACAATCCAAGGTTAGCTTCTGCGGATTTATTCAAGCCTAACGATCTGTAACCCTACCTGTTCCAGTGGGTAGAGTTGGTTTACGAGTTTTCTTCTTTTCTTTTCTCGGTCGGATAGTCTCATCGCTGGCACGTAGTCGAACTGTGGCGCTGCCGTCTTTCCTTCCCAGCCCACCACGCTCACCAGCACCTCCACCGAGTGAGACTTGAGGTATAGAGCTGACAGTTTCCGTCTCCACAGTCATATTTGTCATAGAAGACTCTCCAATTTTCCCACGGACAGAGTTCAGCGAAGTAAACGACCGTTTCGCAAGGACTTCGTCAGACCTAGGCTTAGTAGGGCCATGCTTTTGTATGTTGTCCGTCTTCGATCCGGCACTTTTATTACCTCCGCTGTCACTGCCACTGTCCCCAGAGGGTTTTACAACTTTAGCTGCTTCACCGGGATCTTCGCCAGTCGGCGGGTCAATCGCAGTGAGACCTGGGACCGTACCCTCCTGGACTGTTTCAAGGACAGGTGCGGTTCCACGGCCCACGCCGCGGGTAGGATTCTGAAATTGGGCATCTTCTGGTGCTTCAAGACACTTGTCCGCAGATAATATGTTATCGCTTCCCGCAGGATGCCTCTTGCTTGCAGTGTTCGCGGAGATGTTATCATGGTCTGCACGTCTGGGGGAGATTGTGCGTTGCAAAGGAATTCGGGCTGGTAGACCAGGAGGTGGTGACTTTATTCGATGGAATTTAGGCCATTGTAATGGAGGATCTCCCGATTTTGTAGGCATGTTTGATTTATTTGGTTGGGATAGGTCTGTCGAAGCATCTGTAGTAGGCGGTGGAAGATGTGGTTTGTTTGAATCAACAAGATAGCTTTCCAAATCACGGGCAGCCGGCAAATGGGTTCGATTGATCGAAGTAGAGCTTGAATTTCGACTTGGACCCAATTCCTGGCTATTCCTGCGAGATCTTGGAGTGGTCCTTGATGCGGATATTGGATTCACACTTCTAGGCGGCACTCGATTCGGAGAAGCCTCTCGGGAGGAAGTCACAGAACTTGTGGATGATAACGGAGCGTGTTGTCCGGTCGAGAGATACTTCGATAGCTGTGTTGCACCGTTCGATTGCACGTCACGCGTGGAGGGAGGAGCCTGGAGGTCTGACGAAGGTCGGCCTTGGCCGCGTTTCCCGTTGCGAGTGGTGGCAGGAGAAGGCATCTCCCAATCAGGGTTTCGTTGATTTGACATATTTTCAAACGGCACGAGGGCGGAGACAAACTAACTCACTGGTCGTACGAAGCCAGGTCGCTCCTTGTTGGAGGAGCAACAGAGTATCGAATCCGAAGGGGTGATTCACGCACGCAGGGACCCGCCTGCAGTTTGCAAAGTAAACGGATGCACCAGCTACCAATCTCAGAGCTTCGAGCCAAGATATTCCATCCTGAAATATGCTGCAGAAGAGGGACAGGCGAATCGGACTTCGAAAACTTTTGCGCGCTTTTTTGGTTGGTGAAATGGCAAGGGGTGAGGAGATCGTCCAGCACGAGCCAGGATCGAAGGGCCTAGCGACAGAAAAGCCGTTTGTTGTTATTGTTGGACTGGGCTTGACCACATCATCGAAAGTTCGTGATTTTGTTGAAGGTCGATGGTTGCCGGGAAGAAGTTGGGCAGACGAGCAGGGAGAAAAAGCCTCGCCGGATTGGCCGGAGTGATGGACCAGGCCACAAAGCGTCGGGTGTCAAACGCCACGTTCCTGGTGTTCCGTAATTTATGATCCTGTTGAGTCCTTGTCTTCCTTGCTAGGCTCTTAAAGAGCTACACCGGTTGGCGGAGATGGCACTGCTGGGGTGGTGTGGATTGGCCGTTAGCGTCGATGAGACCAATAAGGGTGGCCCACGTCAAAGACCGAACGATGTCAATTGCTGAACAAAACCGGCAAGTCCACGGTCCTAGTGAGACGTTATAAGAAGTGAAGCGGCCAGACGAAGGACAGCGAAGCTGTATCAGGGGGGAAAAGGTGATTGTGAGAGGTTGACAACGAATCGAAGGAGTCCAGGTGCCTGAGCACGGCAGAAACAAGGAGTTCGACGCTGGGAGAAATTGCACAACGGCAAATGGCCCCTAGACTGCCCTGGGAAGACGTTCAAGCCTTTGTGGAGAGATGGAGCTGCAGTCTGACGGAGGGAAATGGAAGAGCAGGGCCGATGATGATGACGAAGGGCGGCCATGGATATGGTGGTGGCGGTTTTGTCAGCGTCTCGATCGTGGCCGAAAAGTGACCTCAGCGGACTTTCCCTGGTAATTTCAGGCCCGTTTGAGACGGGGCGTGACCGTACGTTACAGGTATCATATCCGAATACGGTGTGCCTCTTTCCGGCAAGAGTTGTCGCATGTGGCTGAGCGTGGCATGGTGCTGTCTCAAATTACATACCCAGTACGGAGTACAGAGCAGATTACTCGGCGCCCGGATTAATTGCTGCCGACAGTACGGAGTGTCGCTGCTTTAAACACGCATCGGGACCAAGACTCATGAAAATGAGAATCTTGTCGGAAAACCCTCATTATCAAGCAAGGATTCCTAAAACGTTCCATTTTTTTTTTGAAGTCCGTGTGACACACAGACAGAGAAAGAGGGGAAGTATATGTGCGGGTTTTCGTGCGCGGGCCTTGCCGATTCCCGCTCTTACTCAAAAACGGCCTGTATTAGCGTGTAACCTGTGCAACAGTCCAGAAACCGAATGATCGGTTATTTACATACCGTTACATTTACTGACCGCCATTGATCAGCAATCTGGAAGTACACCCATGTACTCCGCGATGTCCACCTTAAAAAAGCGAGACAGCTGGAGTGACGCCGAAAGAGCGACTCTTTTGGGCGGAATATTCCTCCACCTGACGGCCGCTTGAAGGGTGATGATACTCAAGTGATTAAAGGGCCCGTTCGATCGCTATCATCGGGTGCCCAGAACTGCCATTTGAAACTGAGTTCTGGGCCGAATGGGAACAACCTTCCAACTTTCCTGAAAAATCAACCCTTTGGTGTCAAGGATGCTTGCAGGCTTCTCTCACGATGTGTCCAAATCTCCGCATCCTCAACTGTCCCAAACACACCGTGGTTAGACCGCCTGTGGTTCTAAGGCCGTCTCTCTTTTTAGCCGACGGGGGCCCAGAACCTCGCTGCCCAGACATCTAGACTTTGCCCCGTGCCCACTCCCGCTTGGCTTGGACGATTCGACTTTTGGATCCCTAGGGACTTCATAGAGGCGGGGATCCCATGGAGGAAAATACGGGGCATGACTTCTTGATCATCCCTTTGTCCCTCTCCTAGTCTCTGTCGCTGCGAACAGATCCTGGACAGGAATCATATTTTCAACCCAACTATGAGAAGGAACCGAGAACGTCGGCGATTGCCAACTCACCGAATACCTCACTGCAAAAAGCCGTCGTCAACTCGACTCGACTTGCCGTCGCTTAATAGTCACTGCGGAGTGCATATGGAGTGGATTTCCGGCAAATAATAAACAAAGTCTTTCCAGCCATGACGTCGTTGATTGTCAAACTAGCAGCGATTGTGCAGAGCGGTCGAGGACTCGAGATAACCCTTACTTCATTTCATCCTTTCTTGGATGGCACTTGTTTTCGGGGGAGGTAACTAGCCCATTTGTGAATGGAAATGATCGTAAAACGATTTCAAATCGCAGGTGAACATCTGAAAGTTGGATTCCGCCTATTTCCAAGTCGACAAAGCTTTCCTCATGAGGGGATTGGCCATGCTGAAAGTTTTTGAAGAAGTTGAACAATTCGCATGCTACAGATTCCCGTTTTTGCTAACCCAGTCTCCATAGTTAAGTACGGGGATATGCCAGCATAGATACATGAAATTCTTATGAGTGTTGTAGGTATTAAAGCTGCCGATGTTGATTCATGTGCGAGGAAAAGCAGAAGCAAAGCGAGAAAGACTTGGCGAGAGACAGTCCTTTTTCTTGTTCATATTCTTTAAAGAATGATCACTTTTCGCACTTTGGGTTTCGTCAAGGGAATATCTTCCGACAATTTCTTCAAAAGTCAAAATCTTGGGCCATAGGAGGCCCTGTTTGCTTCTTTGACCCTCGAACCGGCAATAATAATTATGTCTAAAATGTCGGCGGCAGAATATTTATGGATAGCTCTGTATGTATCTTACTTCCTCTCTGTCTTGAGTCCGTGTTCACTTCTTGTGTCATATTTTGATGAAGATGGAACTTAGTCTGCCCAAGCATAACCTTTGCCTTCAGTACTACTATTACCTGGGGGCACTTGGCCTCATACGTTTTGACGAGTGCATTGTTATTGTATGATCACATTCCCCCTGGCCTGTGGAATTTTGTCAACATACTCTCCGCAGGGAGGGACGAATGGATTCTAAATTCGGTTGGATGTGGGGACGGTATAGTTATACCTCTCTTTAAGAGCAGAATCCCCATATCTCAGTTACGAATTGAAGAAGTCTTCCTTTTGTTACGTCTCTAGTACTTTCGCACGCGCACAAATTTGAGTTTTAGAGGCTCTTGTGATGCTGCATGTTGCCTTGGTTGCTATTCAATGCGTATGGCTCTTCCTACAGCTCAAATGTCATGCGTCGTCGCCAAAGCAGGCTCGACAGAATACTTCCATGGTCTGCACTCTGGCGGGCTGTTATGACCACGCGCCAGCCTCCAGGCAGTGCCATTGGTGTTTTTGCAATTCAAGAAATTATGCGTGTGGCATTATGGACCACATATATAATGGTTGCGAAGGGCTGGATCCAACAGGAAATGATTGTCTGCAGCCAAAGGAAAAACTTGTTGACCCCCCCCCCCCCCCCCAAAATAACGCAATTTGGCTCACATGGCTCTCCAGGATGGTACTTCATATACTCAACACCAGCCCTAGTAGTTCTAGCAAATAAGGCTATACCGACTCTCGAGGCCAGGATTACAATTGGACTTTGTACCGCCTTGAAATTTCGACGGCTTTAATTTACTTTACATCTGTCCTTTACTCCTCTAACCCACAAATAGGATATGTTCTGGCAGCCTCTTGCGACTACTTTTTGGTCAACTTCGCTGACCACCTTTTCCCTCGAGTGATTACCCGTAGGAAGAACAATTTCACTGCCCGGTAAAACCCAGTTGAACCTATACTGCATCGACGAACGGCTAGCATGGCAATAACATAGAATAGTGCTAGATATGCTATACCAAGTGTGCTTCCCGACCGTGGGCACGGAGCCTCGTCTGAGCCACCTCCAACACAGCATTGATTCCCCAACGCGAGGCTGCTGAGCCGCTTTTCCCTTTTGTTATCGTTTCACCCTGTTTTGCACCTTGATGGCCCCATGGTCGGCAGATCAGACCTCGAAATCCATGCATCTCCCGAAGTAATCAATTACCTGTCGTCCGCTTTTTACCATTTTAGGAACGACTACGTATATGCGGCTTGTTTCAACCCTCTCCCAGTCTTGCCTCCAATTAACATGTAATTCACTTTAAGGTTGAAGTAATATATCCGTTAAACCATTCACTGATTCAATCAATTCATGGTCATAAAGTTTCGATGCCCAATCATAGATGCCTTCGAAACCAATACTCTTGTGGTCAAAGCACCAAGGGAGCTCAAATACTCCAGTAATTGGCGATGATTAAGAGATGGGCAGTTGTGTTTCAGGCTGCCTGGAGAGCAATTGAGCGAACATTACCCCGTGCGGCGAACGAAAACGTCGTCCATTTCGAAGTCCGAAAATGCTTGATTGATAATCATTTCCGACCTGGATGGGATGTGCCGCATTCACCAAGGGTCAGCACTGCGTCTCGTTTGCCAATCGGAGACCAAAATGCTCTTTCAGAAAGCACGAGGCTCGCATCGTGTATCCGGTCTCCTTCGAAATAAGTCGAGGATCAGTAGCAGGGGGAGGCGCTTATCTGGCCAAACAATCTGTGGTCGAAGGTACCCCCCAGACAGTGTGGAGATTCGCGTCGCTACATAGTTCACAGAAATGCGGGCAGCAACCATGGTACGCTGGTAGAGTAGTACAAAGTATATCCTAACGTCAAGCTTCTCTTGCCAGTAAGGAAAGTAAGAGCAAACAATGATGCGAGACGAGGCGCTTTGTTTGAAAGCGCATATGCTGCTGCTCCGCGGCGTGCGGAGCGTGACCAGGGTGCACGCTGAGGCCGAGGCGCACAGCTGCTCACCCGGTCCATCGCTTTGGAGAGCAGCCAAAGAGGCGAAACTTATTGGCTGAGAGCAACGGTCAAGGCAGGAACCGGGCGCGAGGCTCGGCGAAAGGGTGCATCGAATAGTTACCCGCAAGATGAGCTCCTTTGCAGATGGACGCGGCGCCTGGATAAGCAGCCTGTGCCTCCCAATGGGTGAAATAGGGCGTTGTCTCGGGCTCGATGGGAGATCGGCCTGCCCAAAAATTCCCGAAGCAAGAGGGCATATATGATGTCAAATCCTCCTTGGGACTCAACATTCAAATCCTTCTGCCCCTCCACACAGTCGGGTCCCTCCAGTCGCCGGCTCCCCAGGGCAAAGGGGCAAAGTGTTGATTCGACCGGCTTGCTTCTCCGCGGTGATCTCCGTCGAGCAAAGTGGATTCTCGACGGCTGGCTTGGCCATCGTCATCGCGCGGGTCATGCTATTGCCAGCGAGTGTTGAGTTCCATACCACACGGCCGTCGGGCGTCCTCTAAGCGACGATCCGCCTCTCATCTTGCGCCCACGGCCGAATATTATCCTGTTGTGATCCTCCGCCGTGGAGAACCTGATTTGTAATTACACCGTCCTGACACCCGTATCCATCCCCGTTCCGCGCTCTGCCTGGTGGTATTATGACAGTACATACCACCCCCAAACCACAAGCCCGCCCCTCTCTCCTCTCTCGCCCCGCGCCGTCTGTCGTCTCGTTCAGCCTTAATTCTTCCCGCGCAACTTTTCTGGCGCCCTTCAGCTTCGTGTCCTTTTCAACGTTTTTCTTTATACACTGCCTAGTGACCCGTCAATTGAAGTCTATTGCTGTCAAGTCTCGCTTTTACCGCTACAGAGCCTCTCTCCGTCGGCCTTTGTCTAAAGAATATCATTCTCCTCCCTCTGCGTAGATGAGTTACCCATCCAGAGATCGGGATCGTGACTGGGACGAGCTCTCTCGCCACTCCGATCCGAGAGCGACCTATTCTACCTACAAACGTTACGTCATTCCAGACGACAATTCAGCAGCTTGTCGAAGAGACGATCTCAGTGACCGTCAGCTCGCAATCCGGACATTGGACCGGGAAGACCGGCGCACTATGCCCCGACATTACGATTACGAATATAGCCTTGACACAGACTTCGACCGTGGGTCTCCCTTTTATATACAAGTTTTCACTCCTAAACCAAAAAACCCATTCTTCACATCAAGCCCTGCTGACAAACATGGATGTGCCAGCGGTCTATCGAGCGCCCAGCTACGCCAGCTACTCTCCCAGATCGGATTCGGAGTACCAAATAGTCCATCGTTCCGAAGCGATGGATGACCGTTTTATGGTCCGTCGTGATCCGCGAGATGATGATTTCTACTATCATAGGCGGTTTCGTGAATATGACAATGGACGATCATATCCAGGATATGAAGTGATTAGCTATCGCACTGAAAGCCCGCGACCATCGCGCGGACGGAGGCGCAGATGCAGCAGTGATGACGACATAGTTCATGTCCGCCGGAGCGATAAGGAAGAAAGCCCTCATGGCTATCGACGGCATCTCGCCGAGGGTGCCCTTGTCGGTGTAGGCGCTGCGGAATTGATTCGCCATCAAAGCAAGAAAGCTTCAGAAAAGGGCAAAGAAAGCACTCTAGCACGCTTGGGTAAGGATGTTGGCGCAGGGACGCTTGGTGTCCTTGCTGCAGACGCCATCGTCAGGGCTCACAGCCGTCATCGTAGTAAAAGCCGCGCCCGGAGCAAGAGTCGCCATCGCTGCGAGTCACTTGACCGAGGAAGGGATCATCACCGTCATCGATATCGCTATCATCATCGACGCTACCATAGGCATGGTAGTCGCTCCTCCTCGACCTCACGTTCTCGGGCACGCACCCTTGCTGGACTTGGATTAGGTGCGGCTGCCATCGCTGGAGCCGTTGCTTTAGCCAAGAAACACTCCGAAAAGAGCAGCCAACAGAGGTCGTCATGTCGCCGGAGTCGATCGCATCGTCGCCGCTCCTCTTCAGCTTCTTCGTCCTCCGATGCACGCGACCCCGACCATCGCAACAGACGAATGGCAGAAGCCGGCCTTGCTGGAGCGGCAGTTGCTGGCTTAGTCGACCACGTACGCAGCAAATCTCGATCAAGGAAAGGCCGCTCGCGCAGCAGAATTCGAACCGGAATCCCTATCGCTGCAGCTGGCTTAGGAAGCGCTGCGATTGCTGCCGCCTACGAGAAAAATAAAGCCAAGAAGGAAGACAAGAAGGAAAAGGAGACACGGCGTGCACGCAGTCGATCTCGGTCCAAAAGTCGAGCACGATCGTCTTCGGAGAGCCAGGTCGGTGTTCCGCCACATCTGATCGAGTATGGTGATGATCCGGTATACGGCCGTATCCCAGCTTCTAATTACTATGGTCGAGCCGAAAGCCCGTACCATACACCGCGAAACCACACCCACAGTCGCAGCCGTCGCAGCCCATCAACAGATAGCTGGTCATCATCTGATCGAGAAAGCGGGAGGAATCGTCGCGACAAACGTAGAGAGAGAAGTCGATCTAGAGACCTTGCAACTGCCGGACTTGCCGCCGCTGGTGCTGCGGGGCTTGCGGCCCATAAATATGCACAGAGAAAAGAGCGAAAGAAGAATGAGAGGGATAGAAGTAGGTATTTTTTTTCCCATCCGTTATGTTTGACCTCTTCAGCTTCCAGCATTCTCCGTTTGGAAGCTTTTGTCAGATAGTTGTTGATGCAATTGTAGGGCGTGATGAAGGGGAAGCCCGTCAAGATTCATACGATGATACCTACAGCACCACACCCTATCCTCCCTCTCCACCTCGACCAAGTGCTTCTTTGTACCCGCAGGGCAACTATTATCCTCAAACAACCCAATTTCCCCAATCACCCAACCAGACGACAGGACCCCCACCAGGTCATTATCAATATCCTCCTTCAAACTACCCACCCCCTGGAACAGCATCAATGCCGCCACCAAACCACGTTTCGCATAATCCTGCCGATTACCCGCCACCTCCAGGTGCGCCTCCACCTGCCCAACATTACAATTATCCAGTTCCACCAGCACAGGATCCCTATGCGCATTTGCAGCCTCGGGGTGATGAGAATGTGAGTGCTGTACCGAAATCCACCCACCCTACTGAACAGCACCAATTTTCATATAAGGGTGGGTTTAGGTAGCATAACGCAGAATACCTTCGTACTAACATATTCTTTTGCAGGTGTAAGCGAAACCAGTGAACTCAATCAACCGGATGGCCATACGTTCAGCACGTCAAAAAGCCCTTCATACGCGGATGAGGCTCTTGTAACAGCAACCCTTCATGGGCGTCCTAGGTCTACAAGCCAACCTGCTACAAAAACAGTCCAGTTCAACCTCCAGCCGGATTACGCCTCGGATGACCTCTCCTATGAAAACGGCTATGAAACAGATGATAGTGATTCCACTATTGACGGCTGTAATCATTCGCGCCATCTTCGTACACCTCGACGTGCTCAAAATCGTTCTATTCACTCCCGGTCGCATACTCCCGCCCCTATTACTTCAAGGCATGTACGGAAGCATGAGGTCCGGTCATCGCAGGGCGACCATTCGGACTCCGAGAGTACAGTTGATTTACCTGACCGCTTTGATTCGCAAGGGCATCTTGTCAGAACGACATGGTGGTAGTATGTGAGGATGCGTGGCTTGGTTCTTTCGTTTTTTGGCTAACTCCAGAATTTCTTTTATATCATTCGCTTCTAGTTTTTCTGTCGAATTTGATACTTTGAATTATTGGATGCAATATACCTAATTGTTTCTTGATGAAGGTTCAGCTTGGGCGGCAATTGTCGGGCATGTTAGTGATCTAATGACTCTGGCTGATGAAGGTTATGACTGCATGATTTTGGTTGTAGTTTGAGCAATCTAGTGTTCTCTAATACCATTGATCTTTATATTCTCTTTGATTTTCATGGAAGACCCACTCTTGAAAATTACTCGGATTATTATTCAAGAGAGAAACTCTCGTTGTTCCATTGGTACCCTGTTGATCGACTCGTGTTCAAACCCCCAACTGTCACAGGATTGGCAAGCTGCATCTAGAATACTCATTCATACAAAAGTCGTATGACAGATAACCGTCTGATTTTGCCTTAGATGTCCCACCATAAATGCAACCTAACTCATGGACCGTGAGGAGAGCTTGGTAGCGCGTGGGGAGCAATTACCCTGTATCTGGTATGTCCACAACAGCTCCCGGGTTTTGCGCCCCGTAAGTACCCTAAACCCACACTGTCAAATGATGTATGCATGCCTGCATCCAAACACTGGCCAGCGTCGGTCCAAGTTGTGAGGCAAAGACGAAGGCGGCAAGCTCGTTTTGACTCTAGACAATGCCACTAAATGTCCAGGTGAACAAACATAAAACAAATCAGTAGAGAGTGTTGTAGCTCTGAATTATGGATTGTGAATCCTTCTGTGAGTACATATGTAGAAGTGGAAGCAGACCATGATTGCGCTTGGGTCCAGCCAAAACTCCGCCTGCAGCTGCGTGTGGACTGGCTCTGCTTGCGGATCGACCAGGGAATACTGGGGCTGAGTTTGAGCTAGGTGGTGGCAGTGTGCCCGGGGTACCAGTTGTTGCTGTTCATGGACGTACTGGCAGGCGTCTAATGAAACAGAGTTTGGAGAGAGCTGTGCGACACTGCTGGTAGTACTGGCCATGGAGGAGGGCGATGGGTAGCAAAGCCTGTCGACAGTTGCAATGAGTTGACCGGCTCGAAGCGAAGTCACTGTGATATATGGTCAGCTACTTGCCGGATCGGGTGGAATAGGGATTAAAACACAGATCAGGCGGCCAAGAATAGGTACGGCTTTCTCACACAGGCTGCTCCTCGACGAAAGTATTTGAAAGACTTGCAAAGAATCTAACAACGTATTCCTGATCTCCTCGTTTTCAGCATTATTTTCCGAGCCCGTCCAGATGACTGCTAGCCCAATGGCAGCGTGGAATGCATGGAAGCTGGCCAGGCCAGCTGTGTCCACTTATATGGTGCAAAAGCAGGAGACTCGGATAGAGTCTTCTGGATTGCTAAGAGACCTTTGGCAGAATCAAGCAGCGGTCACGCGACACACGTGTTGCACTGTTGGTTTCTCCTGATAGATACCGGTTCAGTGCCGGAGGATGAAGTAGTAGGAAGAGTTGATGAGAATAGCCGAAAAGAATATTCATATGCGCTACATGGTGATTTGGAAGTGGTTGGACATTCGAATGGGAAAAATATCTCGTTCTCCACGCGTCTTGCTGCACCTCGATTTCCTGGTCAAGTTTCGCTATAACGCTCAGAGAAGGTTGTTGAAGTCCGAATATTTCATATCCTACAGGCGATATCATACAAGCGAAATTTAAAGTGGAGACACGTCATTGCGTACTTAGGTCCTGAAGGAAATGGCACAGGCCTATCGTCGACAAGATCACTATCGTTGGCCTCTACCGGTAGACGAATGTCCTGGCTGAATTTCTGCTGATCAAGGTTCCCGAACGACATTTTTTCTCATGTATAATATCACTAACGCAGCCCAACAACGACGGCGTTTTTCAGCTTCAACAGTACCAAGCCTAAAATGATCGGGATCTAGATGGCATCCTATGGCAATAGCAACGTGATGGCTTACCCCAATAAGCACCCAGCATCGCTGACTGTTGTGTGTTAGCGCATATATTAAAAGCACCAGAGCTTGGAGACTATGTAAAGAGTGCCGTCACATCACTTCGTCTGCCACTAGACATTGCATCGCAGCCGTTCTATAGCAAGCTGACACTACTCTGGTGTTGGCAGCAGCAGTGGCTTCCCTGCCGATATCGAGAAGTAGAAGATCATTTTCGTCAAGACCATTTACTGCAATCGATAAAACCACAAATAGAAGTGCCAGCCTGGATAACAATGCTGAGTTAGCATCTTCCTGGAAACAAAGTACTCTGTTTCAAATGAAGGATCATGAAGAACATGGAAAAGCTACATCATGGTAAGTAAAAATAAAGGTATCCTGTCGTCAAAGAATGGAACCTACAGGGGAGAAAACTTGAAAATATGTGTTTTTTAAAAGATCACAATACTTCCGAGGAGGTAGGTGTGCTATAAGCTCGCTGAGACTTGCAGATATCTTCCAGTTGAATGGAAATCCACAACGCTTCTCTTGAGTGGTCATACTCAGATCTTCAAAATTATGCTTTCACTGATCCTTGGGGCCACTGGATGAGTTGGCTGCTCTACCGTGCCTAAGCTATCACATCCCAATCAACCGAATCTTTTTGCGTGCCCAGTGTAACTTTTTCTAATAGCAAACACATCTCGCTCGCCAGATCGAGGAAGAACTCCCACGTCATGTAATGGTGCAGGCTGCCCATGGGCTATATAAATGGCGTCGCCAGCCTCGATCACTCTGTCCATTGGTGCGTTGGAAGAGAATGATAAGATTCGGATTGTTGAAGTCGTAAAATCCAATTGTCCCACTCTTGGCCCCCATGTGAACCACTAGTACACCGTATAGGCAAAATTTGTCGGGGGGCGTTTCATCTTGACCAAGTTGAAAAGTTGTGCTTTTGTCCATAAACCCCTGTCAAGTGGGAGAGGTGAAATTTTGAAAGTGGCCATCGCAATACACTTATACGCATTTGGAGAGAGTGAACATGGTGTTTGGCAATATTCCTTGTTAGCCTTGTCATGGATTTTACATCTCTCTCTGCGCGAGCTGGCGGGAGACGGCATTCCGTACTAACTTAGGGCGGAAATTGTGTGGATACGGTGCGAGAGTTTGTGGCTATGATTCTTGCGACTATCGCACCTGAGAATAACAGGCGAAAATAATGCTTCTTGTCCGGAAAAGCTGCCCGGTCAGAGTCCTCTGACTTGGTTAACATTCTTGAGATAAAGATCACAGAGTTAACTTTGGTCAGGTTCTCTGCCCGGTACTGTTTGGCGGTTGATGAGATACAGAACCTCGCACAAGTTAATGAATGTCAAGCATTTAGAACAGCAATATTTTTAATGTATAATCATAGAGAGCAGTGTACTGGTTAGGTTGCAACAATTTGTAGTCAGGCTCTCTACCAACTACTAGTTTGTTAGCCAGGAACTGGAGAGACTTGATAGAGAAGACTCAATTTTAAATCATCAAAGTGATCTAACAGGGCAGATAACTGACAAACTCTGTCGCTGCACGAGGGTGAAGTCATCTACTATTAGTAAAATAACGCTAACCTGAAGCCTAACACATGTGGTGTCGCCATTGAAATAACTGTGTTATTGGAAGGGGGGCTTTGGGTGGTGGAAACCTGATTGAGGACATGCGGTATTCTGCAGGATCATGACAAGTTCGATGTGACCTTCATAAACGGACGAGTACTCCATATACAAAGCTGGGATAAAAGAGCACGGCGAGGTCGCTTTTCAGTGCTAAGGTGGGGCAATTTCCGAAAGTCAAGATGAGTATGAAGAAGAATTACAGAGAGCCAGTGCCGAAATTTCTTCGCTTACTCTGCTTTTGGGCATCAAGTAGATATTCTGCAAGACAGAAATTCTGAGGATAAACTACTCCGTAGCGGAGAGATGGACGGATTGGGTACTCTCTGCATTCATGTAGATAATGACCTTTCCGCGCACTCAAGCAATATCATCTCACACAAAGCGTATCAGGGCTAGGATGCCGGGTTTCCGTATTTTGTCCATCGGAACAGGTCATAGCGCCCATCGCTGTACTCTGTGTAGTGGTCCCCAAGATCAATACACACAACAAAGGCCCCGATGTGTTTCAAATGATGCTCATGACTTCCATTCCTATAACCAGTCATTTGCCCTAATTACAGAGCTTTCGCCGCCATGCCTTGAAAACAAGAAATAAAACGGAAATGAAAAGCGACATGACATGACCATGATAATTTCGATTTATCAAGAAGGAAAGGTTTAGAAGACGAGAGCAGCACCCTTTGTTTTCTTATCACCACTGTTGAGTTGAAGACGATAAATTAGCAATCTCTCTGCCCAAAGGGGCTGGGGTATTCCACGATAACTTGGCCAATAGCCAGGGATACGTACCCCAACTCGAAGTGCTTGCATCGCTTCAAAGCGAGCTGTGCCTTCGTCTTGCACACGGTGCACTCCAATCGCAAAACGACTTTCTTGGTGGTCTTCGCCTTCTTTCTGAACACAGGCTTGGTCTGACCACCATAACCGCTCTGCTTGCGGTCGTAACGACGCTTACCCTGAGCGAACAGGGAGGCCTAGAAATATTGAAAAGGGGGTTTTAGTAACCGTCTCGTCATATCCTAGTAGAGTTTCTTTCCACACGAATCACGTCTCCGTAGAATGCGACATCCTCACCTTTCCAGCCTTGTATTGGGTGACTCTGTGCTGGGTGTGTTTCTTGCACTGCTTGGACTTGCAGTATGTCCGGCGGGTTTTTGGAATGTTGACCTAAATCGAATGCGCCAAAAAGTCAGCCACCATGCCTATCACCCATGTATAAAGCCTTATGTTTCTGATTTTGATCGATCCGGAATGTCCAGTAAAATATCAAATCGGAATGTTGTGAACGGGGCTGTAATATCGTATACCCAGATGGGCAAGGCGATGGGACGCATCGAATCGTGAATTTAGTGTGCTGCCCGCAAAATTTCGTGAATAGCTCCGGATCATCCTCTGCAATCGCAAATAATCATTGTTGTATCGAAATTTTGGCAATCGGAGGAAAAGATCTGGCCATATCGGCTCCGTTCACACGCTTCCCACTTCCCTAATCTTCCCAAACTCCAAATGCGCGCCCGCTTGAAGGTGGTTCGATGTCGATGGAGCTTCAGTCGATGTCCGCATCTCCCCGCGGCACGCCGGACTCCGTCTCTTCAAAAAAGATTTCGAACTCCAAGTAGCAAAGAAAAGGCTATCTTACCATTTTGACTGATTTGGCCGGATCACAAGCTTGGTGTCGTCGTTGTCGTCTCGGTCGTTGAATCACGCAGTGCGGAGGTTGAAGTGTGCGTTCCCTTCGCTTATGGAATTTCCACACCGCACTAACCGTATTCGGCAACCACCACTGCGCCAATCCTTCACTTCAACTTTCACTCTGATAATTTTCCCCAACGACCACACTCATGCCTGCGTGGTTGAATTCCTCTGAATTTGTTCATTGCAAGAATAAATTTCTAGTCTCTACTCAAGGCTATAGAACTCAGCCAATTCGAGTTCATCTCGATGGTTAAATATTTACTCCCTTCAATTCTCACATCATCCGCAATCTCTTCCAACTCATCAATATGGAGTCCTCGTCACCACCTTTCAAAAGGCGGAGACCCTAGAGGCTATATGCTTATCGTGGAGACACTGTATCATCGCATTGCAGATTGAACCCGGGCATTATGAAGATTTTACCGTGTGAATTAGGTGATTCAGCTACCACGTCGAGCACCGGCAACTTGGCACCAGCCATTACCGTGAAAATTTGGTGCCGTTGTGTCAATCAATTACAGCTATGCGGCCTCAGAGCAGACCGGATAGAGCCTTCCCAACCCAAAGACTGTAGTTGATTTCTTGCCGTTCTCTGAAGCTCGATGGACCAACTGTCGTCGACATATCCTACACAGAGAGCCAACAGCAGGTGATACGCTCCTGATTTGTGTCTTCGGGTATTTTGCCAGAGTTTGCGAAAAGGGAGAAGATAGAACTTCAGGCAATGGAACCTTTCATCATCGCACGAAAAATGTCAATCTTGAGCGATTATTTAAGGTACTAGGAATATGTGTCATACTCTGGTTATCTTTTCTCAAGTTGTATTGTCGCAGCTAGAGTCAGATTTTCGCCTCAGTGTACAGAGTAGATATTTCACAAAATGTGACACCGTCGCGATTTTGTTGATGTGCTCTGTACCCTGTAATTTCCTCGCGTTATCCACAAAGTATAGAAAATGACAAAAACTGTTCTGAATGCTGTGTATTTGGCATTTGCCTTCTTCAAGAGAATACTCTTTAAGTAATATTTTCATTCCTATTTACCATTTGCATGGATTATGACACGACTCGGTTTTCGTCCCAGGTGTTTGTCTTCCTACCAAGTAGCGCTTAATAACACCCCACCTACTGCGCAATGTGCGTGCTGTGCCGCAAGGTTGAGTTGGGACCCCGCCAAGTTGAACCCCGTCGACACCACATTGCGTCAGAAGACAGCATATTCATTTTCTGTCCTTTGTTTTCTTCCGGTCCTCTCTAAGCCAGTATCTGCATCTTGCAGCATTATTCTGTTTCATCGCTCTTCCAGAATTAAAGCAACCAATAAAAAAAACCACTAAGCGCCGCAAAGATGCTCATCAAGTAAGGGCTCCGGTTCCCGCATTCCGACCAAGGGAGATGAAAACATGGAGAACTGATTTCACTTCTTTCACTCCGACAGGGTCCGAACACTCACAGGCAAAGAGATTGAGCTCGACATCGAGCCGGACTACAAGGTATGTAGTCTGCCTCTTTAATCCTTCCCCGCCTTCCTGCCCTGCCCTGCCCTGCAAGGCTACAGCCGACGCGCTTCCTTTCCACCGGTGGAAAGGCAATGAGACTATTCCTTGATAACCGACAAATTCCTCACATACACACAGGTCTCCCGTATCAAGGAGCGCGTGGAAGAGAAAGAAGGAATTCCACCAGTCCAGCAGCGCTTGATCTTTGGTGGAAAACAGATGTACGTGGAGCATTCCGATCCTATCTCCTGGGCATTTTCTCGCTTCCACTCTTCTCTCCTCCTCCTGCCTTCCCCCTCCTTTTTTTTTTTTTTTTTTTTTTTTTTTTTTTTTTTGCCGCAGGGGATGCTTTCACAGAACTATCTTTTTGAGAAGACCATATCGTTCTAACTTCTATACTCTCTCTCCACCAACAGGGCAGACGATAAGACTGCACAGGATTATAACCTTGAAGGCGGAGCGACACTTCATCTCGTCCTCGCACTCCGCGGAGGAAAATAAATATCGGAGATCCGCCAACAGGCAGAGAAAAGGATGCATGCAGATAAACGCTTTGGCCGACCGCATCGGTCGAAAGGGAGCATTGATAGTCGGGCTTTTGTCCGCATGCATAACCCGGGTCGGAGACGTTCTCGTGTCCGAGGCAGCCCCGGCGACCACAAGCCGCGCGGTTTCTTTTCTTTCCTTTTTTTTTTTTTTTTTTTTTTTTCTCCATGATGTTAACTTTGGGCGACATGCATCTGCCGGAAGGCCGATTCCCACCGTGATTTTGGAGCGTAGGCGTACTCGGACATATGTTAAAACATTCTTGACCCTTCGTCTTTTGCCCGCTTCTCTTTTGTTCATTATAGCTGGCGAATTGTTGGAGGGCTCTAACATTGCCTTTTGTATTGGAGTACATTGATTACAGGTCTTTCGCCGCTTATTGTCTTTAGATATACAGGCGATGCATGGGAGTTACTAGCAGCTCTCGTCGCCCTTCAGCAAATACACTATCTGAATCGAAGTGTTAAGTAGGTATAGAGAAGTTGGACATCATATCAGCTTTGCTTTTCATTCACCACCGGATAAAATAATAATATGCAAGAAGGCAATATTGTACACCAAAACCAAGCAAAACGGCTAAAACCTCAAAAACTTTTCCATCGTGTTGCTAAAACAACTCATTCGAAACGACTCATAAGCGCTTTAAAAGCTTAGGTTCACGTCGAAGAACTCCCCATTGGACCATAGAATTCTCTGTCCATCAAAAGAGGAAAGGAGCAACGGGATAAGTGTTCCGAAAGTTCTAATGCTTTAGAACGAATCCGGAGGTAAACCTCGTCAAACGCCAGCCAGCCAGTTGAAACCGTTATTCCCAACTACTTCGAAAGTAAAGAAAACGCCGGCCGTAAATGCAGTAAAAAGGACAATGCCGCCATGATTGTCATAATCGCATGAAGCGTGTCCTGGGTATCGCGACTGTCGAAAGGAGAGCAACCGCAAACGCCGAAGCCTGTACGCCCAAATCCTTTAATAATATTGACAAACGAAGATAATGGAACGAGATCCGCCCTATATCTTAAGGAGGTGCGGGCTATCCAGCCGCCTATGAGATGCGCTGCTTCTTCACCCTGCTTCCCTCTGGCACAGCGTCCGATCCGGCCAAACCGGAATCGAGAAGACGCTTCGAAGAGGCCGACAGGCGAGCTGGGTCCGTCAGCATCTGTGCTGGCAGAGGGCCTGCCCGTCTTTTCGGAATGAGAAGAGGATTAGGTGGTGGTCGCCGTCTAGGTGGTCCGACAGCCTTGGGAGGGGTCAGTGGCTTTGCATCTGGCTGAGGAGTCGCGGTCGAAGAGCTGGAATTTTGCTTCGGCGTTTCAAGACGGGGCGGCTTCGCCGTAGCGGGTCTGGGCTGTGGTACTCCGGAAAGGGTCAATTTTGGTTCGGTAAGGGGCAACCCTGGAGGCTTGGCTGTGATGGTCTGCGGGCGCCCCAAACCGGAAGAATTTGGCCGCGTTAGGGAACTCGCTGGCCGTTGCGAGCTGGTGCTCGATTCCTTTATCCGCTTCGGAGGAGATGCGCGTGCCGCCGGCACCTTTCGATCAGTGTTTCGTTGAGCAAGTCGTTGCTCATACTTGTAATCTTCGACGAACGAGATCGGAGCCTTCTTAATCGCCGACGCCCGTTTGTTTAACTGGTGCGTCGGGATGCAAAGTCGCTTGTTCCGCTTGGCAACGGGCAACGCCGACTTTTTAGGCTTGGTTGTCGTGGGCAGCTTTGGCTTCTCGAACGTCCACCGCGAGGTCTGGGAATACGGCGTAAGACCCTTGTCGTTCTGTGTACGAGCCCGGACGAACACCGGCTGCAGGCCGCCCATCTGGCGGTCGTAGTTGGCATACTTCTGCAAGCTGGTTGGTTTTTCTTGCGGAAGGCCCAGCTTCCGGGCGTTGACCACTTTGGGCGAATGCTTGGCCTTCTCGGAACGAAGACCATTCATGGCCTGCTTGACCCGTTCAGCTTGCAGCTCGAGCTCCCTCAAGGCCTGCTGCCGCAGAGAGCGGTAGAAGTTGAACCAGCTTTCCGGGTTGTCGGGAAGCTTGACATCCCTCCAGAACGGGATGTCGCGCTTGATAAACTCGATCCAAATCTCGCCTGTATATTCCTTGAGCTGAGGCGAGTTTGTCTCGAGGGCATGCTGTGATTATTAGAATTAGTCGAGCTGTCATTTGAGGAGGATTTAGAAAGCCAATCAAAAGGACAGGTAAGTGAGACTAAGAGTAACGTACCAACTGCCTTGGGTTCTCGACCTTCAGAAGGATAGGTCGAACGAGCCCATATGGCGCATCTCCAACGTCGTAGATGGCTTTTATAAAAGGCTGTTAGACCAAGTCTCTTTTTCAAAAAAATAAATAAATAATAATAAAAAAAAAAAAAAAAAAAAAACCGATATAAGACTCAGGGGAACCAAACTCACCTTTGGCCTGCTTCACACAGGCTCTGCGAGCCATGTGGAGGAGCGACGGAACAACCATCTTAGCAGAAACCGGCTTCCTTTAAAAAGTGGCTACTAAAACAGGAGTGAATGATACTCAGCGGGGTCGAGGCCTCGGGATCAGTCAGGAAAAGTGAGTTTGACGAGCGGAAGATGGAGGCATATGATGGCAGAGTGAGAGTGGCAAGTGAAAGAAGAAAAGGGGAGAAAGAAAAAGAGAGAGAAAGAAGGGGAGAGAAGATATACACTTGTGAATGCATGAGCCCAGATGCCATCAGGGCACATTGACTCCATTCACCGTGAATATCAGTATTACTATTGAGATGTCGAGACGCAGGCAGAACCCGCCCTTGACGCAGCTCGCCAGCCTGCCGTCGCTCACCGCCCGCCGAGTTCTCGACACTCATTGGCTGCAGCTAACCAGCAACCGCTCCCGTCACGTGAAGCTCATGCTGACTCACCCCCCTACGGAGTACTCCGTGCGCCGAAGGTGCCGCCAAGGTTACGCGGAGAACAAAGAAGGCTACGCGACCGCACTGAAAATCCTCTCGGGGAGAAGTGAAGGACTCCAAGATCGAGGAAGGTAGTGAAATTTAGACTATGGATTCTTCCGCGCAGTGGGGTGGCCAGCCAAATGTCAGGCTGTCAAGCTTTATGCAACCCCCACATTCTATGTACCACCCTTTGAAGCTGGAGAAGCTCTTCGGAGTTGCCAAGACTGCTTCGGAAAATCCAAACTCGACCTCATGTCTCGAAGCATGCACCGAGCAATTTTTCCAGACTCCGTGCTCCGAGCAGGAGACGAAAAGCCTAGTTATCCCACAAACCAGTGGCTGCTGGTGAACCTCACTGTCAGAACCACAGTTTTACCTAGTTAGCTAGTATTGGTTTAAGCTCCCTCCTCGCGAACCCCGCTCTATGTCGCACAGTCGAGCAAAATCACAACCCTGGTGTCCTATGCAGAGAGCCTTGCTTACAAAATTAACAGGGGCAGATTAGTCATTCTAACCCACCTCCTCCTCGATATTTATCCTGGGTCTCTCACAATCGTAGATCTCTGCAATTAGCTTTGATTTAGCTGTCTGTTGATATCCAAGTTGATCATTGCACAGCCTGTGGTAACTAGGCCATACTGACGGCGAATTTTGCTCCTGGCACGTGTTGTCCAGTCTGTCATATCAGTTATTTAGCTAGTTACTAGGGAATCTGGATGTCCCTGTTCTGAGTTAGCGCAAGAGGCTCGTCGTTCTGTCCTCACCCCATCCTCACCTCTCCTTATTGCCTTTCGCCCCCTACCTCACCAATCCCAATCATCCTGTCTCCCCACCAGTTGCCTGCCTTCCCAAAACATAATCAATTCAGTCAAGTTTACATGATGGCTCAATTCGTTCTGTCTTGACTGGGTGTATGTGACCTGATGCTGAAATTCTTTTGGGGAGGTGGGGGCGGCCCCTCCCTCCATTGCACTCTTTTCAGTTTCTTTTGTCTTTCCTCAAGTGGCTCTTCATCATCCCCTAAATCAATAGTAATGGTCGCCTGAGAGTCTCTGTGAATGTTCGGATCAGTTGCTCTGCTCTTCGCTTCGCTATTGATTGTGACCCTAGCTTTGACAGTAAATTCGTGTGACAACATCTCCACTTCATCGGTGCCTGCATCACGAGAAGCGCTGACATTCACAAATCGCGCTCGCTTTTTAGCAATTTCAAAGGTAAGCTGACCCTGATTGTTGAAAGGGAAGCAACAGATATGCTGCTCTCGAGACTCGCAATGTAGAACTCGCGGCTTCGGCCTGCCGTCCCAGTTCACGCCATGCCGATGAACCCCTTCGTAGCGCAGACGTAGAATATAATAAGAATGCTCATCCCACCAAAGGTTCTTTGGTTGCTTGGCTTGAGTGCCCAGGGCGAAGCGAGAAGCACAGTTAATTAGAACACAGTCAGTGTGTTAAAGCAGCCACCAAGTCTTAAACTCATTATAAGCCCCAAGTTGTGGAGCCATCTGATATTGAAAACGGTCGCTCGATTCAATTTTCAATGGAATTCCATCGTCATCCTTGCAATGCTCCCCATACTGCTTGAAAAGCTTTCCGGCTTCGCTCCTATCAAACTTTCGAGAAACCACTCACCGATGGCGATCACGCACAAGGCAACTTTGCCGCAGAATAGACACACGCTGTGTTGTACCAGAAGGCGTAGATGTTTGTACTGAGGACAATGACGCGGGTGTTGGTTGCATTGTCTTAGATGAAGCTCTGACTGCAACAATTGAGTTAATAATTGTTTCCAACAATAAAAAAAAAAGTTAAATCATCAACATACGTGGAAGAAGAAAGTTCTCAACAATGTACTCTGCGAATTTATAGCGCCCTTGATGCTGTTCTTCCGATTCGGATCCCAGGAAGCAAAATCGTCAAAGAAGGATAAGGCGGTCATAATGTCCGAGTCAATCAAGTTTTCCGCTCCCGAGCATATGTTTTCATAGAGGTACAAGAAAAAGAACAGTAGAAACGCATCTTTGGATGCAACATGTTCAAACGTTGCCTGGATAAGTTGCTGCAGGCTTGTAGCCTTTCTGTGTTGTTAGTTCGGGGCCATAATGTTGGATCAGCACATCAATGAGAGTCGTCGCTGTTCCATGTTGTTGGGCTGTTAATGAAAAAGGGTGCGAGAAATCCAATACCCTTCTAAGGATGCTTGACGCTTATGCTTACGCTTACGCTTATGCTCAGGCATTATCAATAACATTGATATAAGACAGTAAAGACAAGTGTGATGGAGAAAGGAAGGCCACCACAGTTTGCATTAATACACATTGTCAACTTATCGTGGACGTGCCTGGTTTATTAATTGGCTCCCAACTTTATGCCATAACATACTACCACTCCATATGCTAGTTTATCTTGGCATACGGAGTGCAGTTCGAAACAAAAATAAGTCGGAATCGTCAATCTAATTTTGTAAGCTCCTCAAACCTAGAATTACTTTGGTCTCGGAACGAGCTTGCATGCAGTCTTTGAACAAACATTCAGGTTAAGACCTGAGGAAGTACATACTTTTTCAGGTAAAAGACAGCCGTGATTCTGCTCATTTTGTGCTGAGGCTGCTGGGAGATTATGTAAACCAACACGGAGCATTAATCGTGTTTCCACTGCAAATGAAGATTTGAGAACGTCATGACCAGGTTCTAGCTTCCAGAAAGACAGAATAATTGTTGAACCAGCAATTGACTGCCCCTTTTTCTCTTTTCTTTCTCTTTCTCCTTATTTTTCTGGTCAACCCCTTGCTGGTTGACTGTGCTTATCTCGTTTGGCGGGTACATCGTGTATTCCGCCCGTTCAAACTGGGATACAAAGCCGTCGAGGGGCTATCATATACTTGCTTGTCATCATTTTGATAATCACACCGCGCTTCAAGCGGGGTAATATAGTATTTTTTGCGCTACTTGCTGCTTATGTATGATACGGAAACCACGGCGCTGCTCCCTAGGCACTCCCAGTCCTACAAGCACCCTTCTGTAGAACGCAGCGGCAGAGTATGCGAAATGAGGAAAGCAGACCACGATGTCGAGGGCCGCAAGGTCACCGCCGAAATTGGCGGGGAGGCACAAATTGCTACGGTTGCAGAGACAAGGATGGACTTTAGAACCGCTATCAAGCTTTACCCGAAAGCAGCTGCATGGTCGTTGTTCTTTTCCCTGGGAGTGATAATGACTGGCTTCGATCCCCAGATCATGGGTAACTTATATGGAGTCCCAAAATTTCAGGAGGACTTTGGGTATATTTTCAAAGGAAAATGGATAATCTCTGCCGCTTGGCAATCTGGTCTTAGGTTCGTGACTGGTGGAATCGGCCCTAGTTCAAATACAATCATTGATGGTCGTCTAGCATGGGAAGCCCGGTTGGTCAAGTCGTGGGTGCTTTAGCGGCAAGTTATCCAATGGAGTGGTTTGGGCGGAAGTCGACGTTCTTGGTTCGTTGGAGTGGTTATTCAAATGCCGCGGCTGTCACTTGCTAATCACATTGGGAGTATACCTAGACTTGCGTGGTCCTCACTGCGGGATGCGTCTTTATCCAGTTTTATGCTCGTTCTCTCCCTGTGTTGCTGGTGGGTGAGCTGCTCGGTGGTCTCATCCTCGGCTGTTATGCAGTCATTGCTCCAGCATACGCTTCTGAAGTTTGCCCGGTCGCTTTACGAGGTGTGTTGGCCGCGTACATAAACTTATGTTTTGTCATCGGCCAGTTTATCGCGAATGGCATAGCTGCCGCCACCCATGGACTAGATTCGCATTGGGCCTATAGTATTCCGTTCTCCATGCAGTGGATTTGGCCAGCGATTATCCTTTTGGGTATTTTCTTCGCTCCTGAAAGTCCCTGGTGGCTGGTGAGGAAAGGAAGACTTGACAACGCTGAGATGTCACTTCGGCGGCTAGCATCCCCAAGGGTGGACGTCAAGGCGACCTTGGTAAGCAAAATATGATGCAATGATGCCCCTAGCTGGCATACTGTTAACGGCTCCTGATAGGCAATGATCATTGAAACTGATCGGCTGGAGCAGGAGATGGAGGCAGGCACTACATACCGGGATTGCTTTAGGAAGATCAATCTTAGGCGGACTGAAATTGCTATCGGCGTTTATACTATCCAAGTCTTTAGCGGAATATATCTCATCGGTTTCTCGACTTATTTCTTCACTTGTAAGTCTTCGCTTTCGTCTAGAAACGACCTCGGAGAGGTTTGCCTAACGTGCCACAGTGGCTGGCCTGTCAACAGATAATGCATTTAACATGGGCGTAAGGACATTATTCTTGTTTAACCGTGGAGAAATATTGCTAATCGCAGATTTAGATCGGGTTCCTTGGTGTTGGATTCGTAGGGACATGTCTATCGTGGGTGCTGCTCTCATATTTTGGTCGAAGAACAATCTATGGCAACGGCTTGGGGGTAATGGCTATTATTCTGTTTAGCATTGGCATTCTGGACTGTACCCCCAACTACCTTGATCGACCTGGCGTGATTTGGGCGCAATCGTCGATGATGCTGGTCTGGAATTTCACTTATAATATATCCGTCGGCCCCATCTGCTTTGTGATCCTATGTGAATGCTCGGCGACGAAGGTTCGTTCCAAAACCATTGCCATCGCTACGGCTATCCAGGCGATTTTTGGAATTGTCATGACTGTTGCCATTCCACATATGATCAATCCGGACGCGGGAAATATGCGAGGGAAGTTGGGATTTTTCTTTGGAGTAAGACTACTACCCTGTGATTTTCGCCGCTGCATATAGCCCAGTGCTAACTTATGCACAAGGGTTTATCTATAATTTGCCTCCTGTGGACATGGTTTAGGGTACCAGAAACGAAAGGTAGAACATACGAAGAGCTTGACATTATGTTTGAGCGCAACGTACCAACTCACCAATTTAAGGATTATAAAGTCATATAATCTATTAAGAATATTCAGTGGTTTGACTCAGGCCTCTTTGATGCACGTCTTGCAATCCAGGCCACCCTTTCAGATATTTTATCATCCACATTAGTTTAATTTGGGGGAAGCATTGTGTTTCCCACCATACGTACAGCACTCTAGTAGTTATGCAAAACTTCCCAGTCCATCTAACGCACTCTGCTCATCTCCCGTACCTACATCGGCATCCTCCTCATCTCCTCCAAACTCCAATACTTGCTCATCTCCTCCGCCCCTAATTCCCTCACCTCCTCGTCCAAATGCCTCCACAACACATCCCCAAACCCATCCATAACCGCCTTCAGCTCCTCTAACCTCAATTCCCTCTCCCTACCCTTACACTCCTCTAAGTACACATTCAACTTCTCCAAACCCGCATGAATCTGCCTATGCTGGTCGATAAGGCCCACGCCCTTCCGGAACGCGGGCATGCGCTGTGCAAGGTGGGGAAATATGGACTGCTCTTCTATAGCGTGGTGAACCTCGAGATGGGCGCAGAGATCTAGGCCGATAGTGAGGAATTGGTGGATGGAGAGATGTTTGGGGCGACGTTTTGAGGTACAGGCGTTATAGAGGATGGTCCAGGATTGGCGGAAGTTATTGTGCTGTTGGGATTCAGGTGGCACGTTTTAGGGTGAATACGAATATATATAGTACGGAGTAGCTGGCTAGGAAAGAAATGCGTACGTACGAACAAATCCATGCGCTCCGCGAGGCGGTTGTAAATACGAAAATCCGCCGGGGACAATTTGGAAGAAGATTGAACGCCGTCTGGGGTGGGCGTCGAATTGGACATTGTAATTCAAGTTTCCGTTGTACTCTTCTGGTCCACTCAAAATTATATTATTACTTATAATAATATACACTCTCCATTGCAGCAGTACTTCATATATATTCCAGAAAACTTCATCACCATCCTTCGGCTTCTCCATGCAGCCCCAAGCGATTCAAGCACTACCCCACTTGGTGGGTTAACGAACTTAATTGGAAAAAAGGCCGAAATCCGAGATTTGTAAGCTTCGGACTTATCGAGTTATTAAGTATTGCATATCGCGCACAACCTTCATGGTGGAATACATGCAGAACAAAGGACTGATTAATTATATATTGGCTGACAGAAAAAGACAATTAGTCCAAACCTCTCCCAGAGGAAAAGGAGAGATCCAAATGATAACAATAACAAAGGAGAATATTCGTCCACAAGCAGGAGAGTAAAATAAAGCACAGGGTATCTGAAGACTGTAATCATATCGGACAAAGTCGATCAAAACATAAACATCGGAAAAATGATAAGGATAGACGGTTAATGAGTGTTAACTTGGACTACTGTGCCGGTTTGGTTTTGACATTGCTGGCTTGCTGCCCATTTGGCATCTGGACCATCCAACTTGGCGGGGAGATACCAGTTTGGTCATGAATGGTAGAGAATAATGGAGGCAAGCTTTGCATAAGGTTGCGGATTGGAGCGGTAGAGTCTTGCGAGCCTTCGCCAGAGCCTAAATGGACGCGGTTAGAAGCAATGCACGAGGCGTTTGAGGAACACGGCATACCGGTATTCCAGACAGTGATCTTTGGTTCCATGCCATGAACTGCCTTTGCATTGGCGTTTGCAAGCTTCTCGTACGTATTGTTCTGGATCATCATGTACTGGAGGAGGCCTTGTGGTCCGCCGAAGGCGTTAGCCATTGCACTGTAGGCCTTGGCCATCTCCATCAGACCCTCTGCCTCCTTTTTCTTTGTGATAAAGGCTGCTTCTGCTGCCTTTGTCTCCCGATAGTCTGTGTACACATTAGCAGCTTACTTTTCGTGATAGAAATGATCGAACTTACATCGTGCATCAGCCTCCATGTTACACTTGTACAACTGTGCGTCTGCATCCTTTGTCTGCGTATAGAAGCTGGCGTCGGCATTTTGCTGTGCAGATTCTCTAGCGACCTTGCTCTTCGTGACCTCCGTGGCTCTCAGCCTCTCCAACTCCGTCTCCGCACGTTTCGTCTCAACTTGTTTCTGCAGCTCGGCATCCTTCACCTCAGACTGACGCTGCGCGGCAATCTTCTTAAGCCGAATGTCCATATCAAGCTCCGTCTGGCGGTTGGTGAGCTGTGCATCTGCCTGTGCCTTTTCACTTCGACGCTTGGTCTCCAAAACTGCCGTCTCTGCGTCGATCTTGGAAATTTCCTGTTTAGTCTTGCCCCTCTTCTCAGCTTCTCCGATTTCACCCCTCATCCGGGCTTCTGCGACATCGATCTTTGCTTGGTTGAGTGCACCTTCGTGAGCTTTTCTACTGAGGTATGTGAAGTATTCGCTTCCGGGAGCGTCCTGGAGTTCTTTGACGTTGGCATTGTAGCTGTACGCTCTTGTTTAGTGCTATGTCACGCAGGAGGAGGAAACGGAAACCCAGCTTACATCCGCAGACCAAACTGATCCAATTCGTTCTGAACATTGTCAATGACGTGCTGTTTGAAGACCTGTCTCTCCTTGAAGATCTCCTCCATGGTCATACTGGAAACGATGACACGGGTCTCGCCCTCAATGATGCCTTTGACAATGTCCTGCACATGATTGCCTTCGGTTCGCGTAACTCTGCTCGGAACGTCTGCATCTCCGGAGAGGAGAAGAGCATACTTCTTGAGGGCTTCAGTGTTGTTATCAGGTCCAATGGTGAAGACTGCTGGCAGGGAGAACTGGAGCTTCTCGATCGTCATTGCTTGCAGATTGAGGGAGAAGTCAAAGGGAGAGATTGAAATCCGTCGGCACTGGGAACTATTTAGCATTACAAGCATGGCCCAAAAGACAAGCTACCGCACCTTCTGCCATGGCAGCACGAAGGCTGTCTTCTTGATGAGTACATCCTTCACCCCACCCCCGGTGATAACCAGGTATTCATGGGGCTCCGAAACGTTGTAGCTATTGCTGTGTCAGTAAATCACGGTCATGGCCGAGGATTGCATGGAAGACTGACAGCATTGTTGCGATATGATCTTAGGAGATTGCGTGAGTCCAGGGTTAAAAAGCGAACTGTAGTTTGCAAGATGCTGAAGGCGAACCAGAAGCAACTTCAAGTGATGTCAACCAGCAGGAACGAAAGGGCTTATCGCTGCTGCTTTATACCCAACGCGCAGCACGATCTCGACGAAAAATCACCGGAGGTGTTCCAATCTATTGAGCAATTTCTTGCATTTCACAAGGCACACCAAAACGGTCTACAGGGGTTGAAATAACAGCAAGGCGCCGGGGGGTGGGGACCTCCGGGTTGGTCGAACTGTCATGGGACAACGATTGATCCACTATGGTGCCTAGGCTGTCTTTGCATGGAACTGGAAGTTAATTAACTTGATAACTGACTCCAACTCAACCCCAGACTTCTGGGATGCGACGAGACGCCCAATTGGCCGTGTCCACGGAGCATTCTACCGCCAATCGACCCGACACGAAGAGAAGATAGGTGCCTTGGTGGCCAACGTCGTCCTCGCTTTACGGAGCTTGGGGTCGGTCTCGGCAGCCCTGACGTGCATTCACTACCTGCACCTGGGCACGCTGGAGGAAGCTCAGTCGTTGCTGGATGCCCTCACCATTGTAAGTAACCTTCGTGACGGAATGACCTTTCTACTATTCCCAACTTGCATCATGGAGCCTATGGATAGGGCGAAGGATCGTAGCACTCGGCTAATCAGCGGCCGGCTATCTCCGAGGGCGACTTTGAGAGCAAGACTGGCATCATGCTGGGACCTCTCCGCTCCTCCATCGATTTATTCCGCGTCTTCCACACGGGAGAGTCCGGCATCGCGCGCGCTTCAGAGTTCAGGGGGGCTGAGCGGCGCCAAGCCTGCAGCGGGCAGTGACTTGGTTGAGCCGCAGTGGCCGGCCCAAAGGGGACTAGCGTGCAACAGCTGCTGCAACACTGCCCTTCGTGTCCGTCCGGCGGGCGTCGTGATAGGTCTGTCAGCCTTGCAGCGCGCCGTCTCCTCGATGCCGACTTCCGTGACTTCACGAGACCCGTGGTCACCAGCCCCGCGATCCAAGGACTGGGACGATGCCACTTGATCCTTTCCCTTTCACGATCCTCCAAACGGAGTAAACAACCCTCGTGCATTTGCATGTCCTGCCCCGAGAACAGGGCGGCACTTGAGCCATTTTTGACAGTGCCCTCCCTTCAGGCTTAACGATTTAATATCTCCTCTGAAGGACACAGTCTCAGAATCAACACGTCTATTTTTGCCGAATCGGCAGATTCAGGCAATAGTTTCAGCCTTTCCTCTCGCAAATTTGGTGAGATCTTCCGTCATGGGTCATATACCAGACGATCCAGCTCCGTCATACGAAGAGTCAGTGTCCTCCAGGCCGTTCAGCGGGACCGACAGCAAACATGCGCCGGACTTTCAACCTGCAATGCCTCTTGCTGCTCAACTTGCCAACACTCGGACTCGGCGCATCAACGCGATCCTTGAGACATACGTTGATCCGCTGCTCATATCACAAGGCGTGGCAGGGCTCTACAAGACAATATTCATCCTTGTACCTTCTACGGTGTCCAGTCTCCAAGATGCCGTCAGTAACGCCTACACTCAACCACCAGAGCCCCAGGTCGTCGGCTTCCCCGCCAACGAAGTGGTCAAACTCATTCGATTGAAAGGTGAAGAATATGCTATGGAGTTTTGGCGGCAGCCAGCGGTCGTCGCAGAGCTGGAATCCTCGATGAAGGCAAGACTTGTGTCTTCGGGGCACAGACTGTTCGAGCCGAGCGACGTTCCGGCGGTGAACCCCGAGCCCTCTCCCAAGGTTCAGGAAACAAGGAAGGTTGGGTTTTGGGGGAAAATAAGGGGAAGGGGGGTTAATGACGACGAGATAGAGGACCGAAAGCTTGGTTGGCGGGCCGAGGAGCCACAGGCTGAAGGCTCTCCGGGAAGGATTCCTACCGGCCTGGTCAAGGTTTCTGTGCAATGGAAAGAGATTGCATTGCGGATTGCAAATGACATGGGCCTCTATGAGAGTAAGCGGGGTCCTGCTTTGTGTATCGTCGTTGAAGTAGGGACGTAGTACGAGCGATGACCTCAATTGAGGTGTCCCATTCCATGGGTCCGTCTGTAGCCCTTTCCATGGAGCAATGAAAGAGACTTCCCAGCACCTTCACGGTCCGATTTGTCTTTTTGGCTTTCATTCCAAGCGTTTCAACGTTCCGGCTCCTGGCCCCATTGGACCCCAGGTCACGTGAAATTCTAACTTTCTGCGAAGGTTTCAATGGTGGGATGTTTGGAAGCGTTTCGACCGAGGGGTAACAGCCGCGAGAGTGTTGGCATTAGCGAGAGTGCCTTGGGTGTTTTACATTGTATATTAAGGTAAGCATTAATATATTGAGTTATTGAAACGTTTTCAAGTGTCCTTCTGTTGGTTACACCGGTTTTGCGCCTTGGAAGATGGGGCGATGCAGCTGAGTCTCATAATTCGAAGCCATATAAATATTGTTTCTATTTTATACCCTTGGAGCTATGGCTCCTGTACGATGCGGATGACGGGATGGCTGTTAAGTGCATTTTCGCCCTTCATCGAAACGGGGCCGTTCTCAAGGATTGTCTGCTGTGCATCCCATTCTTCAACGCAGGTCTCTTCTTCACCTAGACATGTATCTGACCACGTTGAACTCCCAGCGCACAGTGGCAAATAATTCCCTAATATATCCTAGACTCTATTCAAATTCAACTGGAATAGCCTGGATCCAGAGGAATTATACACACGAAAATAAAAAGCGAAAATGCCTGCAGCCCCCGGCGGTACACAGACATCACGCCTCCATCCTATATTGAAAGCAGTCTCGTCGCTCAATCGACTTGTGGCTGACGAGGCCTCGTACCACGCTGAGCTGCAAGAGCGCCATGAACAGATCTTGAAAAGAGAGAAGCTTCTTGAAACGCTTAAGGAGGACCCCGAAGAAGAAGGGAATTCACTGTGGATGCTGAAGCAGGAGGTAACTTTTCCTTCTTTCCGTTGGCTTTCTGGACAATGATTAAATGTAGCTTCTACCTTGAGAGATAGACTTTGCTGACTTTGATTTATTCAATTAGCGTATGGCATATGATGAAACTAAGAGAATGTTACCTAAGATGGAGCAGCTGGTCCGAGAAGCCGTGGAGAGACTTGAGGGGCTGATGGTGAGTTCTTCTTTTTCAAGCATACATCGACGAAGGCTCCATATACCTTGGCATTAATCACGTTATTTTCCAATACACAGCAAGAAGAAAGGGGAAAGGAGAATGATGCCAATGAGACAGCTCTCCATGAAGCAGCCGAAGCAATCCAAAAAGCGAAACAAGCAGTTCCAGCCCTGGTTGGGCCGAGAAGTGAGGCATGAAATCAAACATATTTCGAGTTTAATATGTACATGTTTGGATGCGATGGAGTTATGTCCCATCCAAGGCCCATCCTCTATGGCGAGGTTACGAATAAATGCATAAGATCTTTTAAATGGAAAGGAAGTGTGTTCTATTCTGAGATGATGCTAAGATATAGCTATCACTTTCCATATTACTTGGATCTAACCCAAGGCCCGTGGACTCCACAATAGCAGGGGCATAGATGATGCGCCCACGAGATCTGAGAGCACATGCGTTATCCCTATTGCAAGCAGCACCCCCTCCGCTCTTACTTATAACCCTAGCCTTCATATTTCCAAGAACGAGGTCGTCGTAGTTCCATGGGCGCCGTGCTCGAGCCTTTACCACTCAAGCTTTTTATATCTGAGGACGGGACTTTCCAATGAGCCCGAGTCAAGAAGCGTATCATCGATCCTTTTAGAATTAGCTGGCATGTTTTATCAAAACATGGCTCCAGCTGTTTCTTTGTCTGTCGTCTGTATTCTGTGAAACCTTGCGCCAAACTACGTGGTGTCCATTTTGTCTTCAAGTTTATCATCCGAAATTTCTTCTCCTTCCTCCAAATCATCCGCTGTCTTTGATGGAGATCGACCTTCAATTGCGGAGTTTTCTCCACGATTCCCGGATTCATCACCTGAAACTTCACCCTCGTCCTCCATATTCTCGTCCTCAGATTCTTTCCTATCATCAGTCCTAGAGATAGTAATTCCCTGACGGAGTGGAGTAATTCCAGGTGTCGCAGAGCTTTTCAATTTTTCGGGGTGAGGCTTTCCAGAGGCCGTAACAACATCCTCCATGGATTGGGATGGGGTCATGCTGTCCTGATCGGGACGTGGAGTACCGACCATGCTGACTCTTCCTTTAGATGCCACCTCCCCCTCGTCCCCTTCTTCTCCTTCTTCCATTCCTTCACGTCTTTCTACCTCTTCCTTCTCATCTCTAATCAAACGACGTAGATTCATTCCCTCCTCAACAATTCTCCCGAATTGCTCTCTGCGCTCCGCCCAGGTCTGAGCATATTCCCCACTTTCCTTTTCCAACTTCGCGATTTCGGCATTAAGCTTTTCCAAATTGGCTTGTTGATCCTCGCGGGGCCGTAATAGCCTGTTCGATGTAATCTTTTCCGCAAGCTCGTCGTAAGTCTTTCGAAGGGCAAGCGTCTTTTGCGCTTCTTCCAACTGTTTTCTCAGCTCAGCCGTATTTTCCTTCACTTCCTGGGCAGTGGCTAAGATTCTAAGCTTTTCGGCGGCGTATCTTTCTCGCTCTTTTGCGTTGCTCGATAACAAAAACTGGATTCTCGCTATGCTGCCCTCGAAGGCAGCAAAGTCTAGTGTTACGTCCTCCTGGAATTGCCTCCAATCTTCCAAGAGCTTCTGTCTTTCTGCTTCATATCGTGCTAATGCGTCGTCGTCCGGGGATGTGGAATCTGGCGGTGGCGTGGGTAGGAATGCGGTCGGTGAGGAGATGAGATTGTTCGGGGTGAGAAGGCGTTTTGTAATTCTTTTAAAAGGCTTTTCTTCAACATTTAATAGACGGGATTTGTGAAGAGAATCTAAAACAACCTATACATTAGAGCATCCTTCGTGGGTAGTTTCTTTGGGGTGGGCAAGGTGTACCTTCATCTGCCTGATCGAGGAGGGCGTAAGAGTCCATGGTCGGGCGCTTTTACTATATTCTGCAAGATTGGTTAATTAAAAAGCCTGATGAAACCGGTATGCGTTGCTCAAGCACGCGAACAACTGTAGGCTACTATTCCGATTGTCCTTTGAAGCCGTATGATGTCTGCGCATCGGGAGACATCATCAATCATGCGTGAGACCTGCAGATCGGGGTCTGCGCTAAAGCTAGGTTTGGCTTAGCCTCAGAAGATCACTGCTTAGTAAGATAACTAACCGAAATTGTCGTTCCAAACGACATGTTGACGCGAAGAACATCGCCGGGTGTACCTCGCGACGCGCCGGATATCTTACTTGGAGAATTCTCGAATCTTTATCAACCTCCTCTTAAGACGCTCAGCTTTTCTCTCCCTACTATGGAAGGAACCTGTTTGCCTGGAGATCCCAATTCTCCCATGGTAACGTTGCCGGACATTCCGGCAATGGACAGTACCCATGCAAGGAGTTTTCTTGTGCCGTGAAGCCATTGCTGGACTTGAAGCGAGCATAGCTTGAAGCACACCATGCTTGGCATTTTACTATGAGAAGCCCTGAGCTTCCTGGGTCTACCCAGCTACCATTCCGTGGAACAACTTCTACAATAGAGATATGGATACCTTCCTCCTGGTGGTCACACTCCTACCCATTGTAAGGTAGAAGCTCTCTAGAATGGCGGTCGATCTACGCTGCTCACAATAATTAGTATGTCCAGTGGCCAGCCTCGACTTCAGAACCTAGCAAATTGCACTTGCACCTGAAGTCCAGTATAGTGAGTGGACCAATTTTCATGGTCGTTTCTTTTTCTGGGAAATGACCACAAGGAAAGACCAAAAAAAGGGGAAAAAAAGGGAAAGTGTCTGCTCTGTTGTTCACCTGCGCGAGTTGCAGTGGATATCCATCACTTTTTCAAACAGATTATGCTGGAGTATTCACATGCGGTACATAGCGTAGTGCCTATGATACCCTCACATCTGTATATCAATTACTTCTCTTCCCATAATGAATCATACATTGACAAAGAAAGGAGAGTTTGATTTAACTTCATTTCAGGCTGCTACGACGTCAATACATTGAGGGCTCCTCAGCCGGAAGCCTATACCTCACATTACTTGATTACATTCTAAATAACGGGGTGTCCGTCTCATTTCTCTCGTCCCATTTTCCTTTCATCCCAACTATCGTATATCTATGCCACTACTTCTTCGTCAGATTATAAATATTCCGTGCAACCCCTGATGTCGGTGGGATATCCTGATACCGAAGGGTAAGTGACGTTTTTCCTATCCAGCAAAAGAACGATATAATTGACGCGTCAGAAAGGATTCAGAAATCCGAGGTCGAAGCGCCCGCGATCAACCCTGCACATGAATCCAGCATGAATGAACCAAAAGGCGCTTCGGTTGATCCTGCTATTGGCTTAGTTGAAAGCGGGTCTGAGGAAGCAGATATAGATACACCTACTCAAGGCGACTTGGATACTCTGAGAAGAGTTGCAGGTCCGTTGCCATGGTCTGCCTTCCTCGTTGCTGCCGTCGAATTGTGTGAGAGATTTGCATATTACGGAATCGCTGGGCCTTTTCAAGTAAAACCACCAAGGCTCCCTTGACCGAATTAATGACGCATCTGATGCCATCTTCTAGAACTACATTGAAAACCCGTACAGACCTGGCAGTCAAACTCCGGGTGCACTAGGTGAATCATATTCTCAGAAAGGCGTGCTTATTTTCTAACCAACGATTGCAAGGGCTTGGCCAATCGGCGGCAACTGGATTGACGAGTTTCTTCCAGGTATGTCTACCAATCCTTTCTAGAATCTCAGTAATAACCGTGGCTTTAAATAGTTCTGGTGCTACGTTACTCCAACCCTTGGTGGCATGGTTGCGGACCAGTACCTGGGGAAATACAATACCATCGTTATCCCTGCAATTATTTACATAGTTGGATTGGCTATTTTGGTCTGCACTTCCTTGCCTGTGGCGATCACCCACAATGCAGCACTCGGTGGGCTCATCACAGCTATGATTGTCATCGGCCTTGGGACCGGAGGAATTAAATCGAACATTTCTCCTTTAATTGCAGAGCAAATCAAGGTTAACAAGCTCTCAGTTAAAACATTAAAATCGGGGGAACGGGTTATTGAAGACTCTGCACGGACTATTGAGCGCGTTTGTAAGTCCCCCGCTGCACCTCTTGACGAGCTGATCTTGACTATGTCATGCTAGATATGATTTTCTATTTGTGCATCAATATTGGTTCTCTTTCCCCTATCGCAACCACCGAATTGGAAAAGCATGTCGACTTCTGGGCTGCATACTTGCTGCCGGCGTGCGTATTCGTTATATCCTTTACAGTGGCCGTCATTGGAAGAAAGTATTATGTCGTCCGTCCACCAAAAGGTCCAGTCATTCCGCAAGCATTCAAAGTTATTTGGATCGGCCTAAGGAATAAAGGGAATCTGGACGCAGCAAAGCCCTCATATCAAGCTGCCTACGGACATGGACCCCATGGTATCCATTGGGATGACCGTTTCGTGGAGGAAATGAAACGTACCTTGGTTGGATGTAAAGTCTTCTTGTACGGAAATGCCTCTGGCTTGGTCATTTCCGTGATACTAACCAAAGATCAGGTATTATCCGATATACTGGGTTTGCTATCAACAGATGTTAAACAATTTCATCTCCCAAGCAGGCACCATGGAGCTTCATGGAATTCCCAATGATCTGATGCAAAACATTGATCCCTTGACTATCATTATTTTCATTCCCATTTGTGACCGGCTTCTATATCCATTCTTGCGCAAAATGGGTATCAATTCCCCAATGCCTCTGAAGACATTGAATCTTACTCTAACATAGACTAGGGGTTCCTTTTAAACCAGTAACTCGTATTACAACAGGCTTCATGCTGGCCTCCGCTTCTATGGCGTATGCTGCCATTGTCCAGCATTTGATCTACAACCGGCCGCCTTGCTACAATTTTCCGAAAAATTGTCCAGCAAGCAACGACGGCGAGCTTGGCAATCGCATCCATGTTGCGATACAAACACCGGCTTACCTCTTTATCGGGTTGTCCGAGATTTTCGCAAGCATTACCGGGATCGAGTACGCTTTTACAAAAGCACCACTTTCAATGAAATCATTTGTTACGGCAGTATTCTTGTTGACCAGTGCGTTCGGCGCTGCGCTTGGCATGGCACTCTCTCCAACTGCTAAGCATCCAAAGCTTGTTGTATGCTGTGGCTCATGCCTTCTAACAAGTGCCTTCTTGACTCTCAGCTAACGTATCTCTCCTAGTGGATGTATACCGGTTTAGCTGTCGCGTCTGCCACTGCAGGCGTCATCTTCTGGCTCCTCTACAGCCGATACAATGAGAAAGAGGAGGAATTGAATGCTCTTGAGGTGCCACAGGCGGAGGATGAGAAACCTGTTGCGGCAAACCAAATATCAATAACTGGCCGTGGGGGAACAAGGTCCTAAAATGAGTAAGAAAATGAGGACCATTTCCTGTGATCTTAGGCATTTTAATTCATGTAAAGGATGAATTAACAACCTGGTATGCTGTGAGAGGTTTAGGGTTGATGTTCTCTTTTTCTTTCGTCAGATACTTATGATCCATCGGTTATTCACTGTGCGCAGAGTGTATGTATACATATCCACAAGGACGAACGAAGACTACTCACTTTTGCTCTTTTTGAAATCTCACACAGATTGCATTGCTTTGGCTCACCCTCTGTTCACATTCTCCAGCAAACTATCCCTTGGCTGATGAATTCAATGCATTTTTGTGTCAAAAGGCGAGGCGCTGTGGCAGCTGAGAGAGTAGTGCAGTTATTTTATGCCAAGAACACTAAAATATTGGAAAGTTCAAGTGAAGAGACAACATGTGTCTCAATTAAGCTGAATTTATTATTCTAGGAACTTTATGCCTGCTCTTTCAGTTTCGACTGAATGGGTGCTGGTTCAGATGAGATCTCCAGATTTTGACAGAAGTCTAGGTTACCGAAGAGAAAGATAACGGCCAGCAAATGGACTTGTTTCCGGCCTTGCGATGGCGTTAAAAAGTAAATGATTTCCGGTCATCGAGAGGACAACCGGGGTCAGATATCTTCTCCCTTCGTAGTCGGGCTGCCGACTGATCCATGGCGCTATCATGATCTCGGCGGTTCGTCACACTGGAGCTAACTGGCAATTATTAACGCCCCCGGTCCCTCAAGCAGTGAGCGAGTTGGGTGTGGTCGATCCACGTCGAACGTGTTCTTTAAGCGAATCATCCATGAGAAATGCCCAAGGTTTCGCAGACATTTTCCCTTGGATACGGCTCCTTGTGTATCCAGGGCGCCTAAAAGTTCCTCCCGCCAGAAATAACATTTGGATTGATCAGTCAAGAGATCTATCCTTTGTTAAAGAAGAAACTGACCACTTTTTTGGTCAAGGATGAACCCTTTTCCCTTAGTTCATGATCGTCTTCTCCTGAAGAGTAATAATCCATCCGTCTACCCTCGTCAAGGTCGACACGCCGCAGATCAACGCCAAACTTCCAATTTCTCTTGTAGATTTTCCAGCCAAGCATTGCCACCAGAGCAAGTGGTGCAGCCATGCATGTTTGAAAAAAGAATTCCACTCTGGATGTTGCGTGGATGGGCTGGTAGAATCAAATAAGGAAGTTCACGTGGTTAACCAAGGCTTCGAATGGGATTTAGAAGGGAGGTTGGACTTACAAATATTCCAAGATAAAGCGTAGCTAAAATAGCGATTGTTGACAGGCCCATACCAATAATACTCCCAACGACCCCAAAAGGTGAACGATATGGAATATCCTCCTCATTCTTCCCTTGGAGCTTCCACGCTCGCCTGAATCTGATGTGGGTGAAACAGATACTTGTCGTCAAGAATAGACCGGACAATCCGCTCAGTGCCATCATCCACGTAAAGACAACTTCGCTAGATGCTGCTTCACTTATAAATGTTAGCATACCGAATGCAATCTGCAGTAGAATGCACCACACGGGCCGTCCTTTGCTGTCAATATATGCAAAAAACTTCGGCGCGTTTCCTGTGGCAGCCAAAGCTTGTAATGTGCGTGTCGAGCCATACGAGCAAAGATTTGCAGCGCCAATGATAGAGAGCATAATCACAGCGTTGATAATGGACGGCAGCACTTTGATACCCGCAAGCTCGGCAGCAATGACAAACGGACTTGCTTTGATATTGCCTCCCTTCGCGCCAAGGAGCGCGGGACTGTCACTGGGAATATTTAAACTGACGAACAAGATATTAATAACGTAAAAGAAAACGATGCACCATAGCATCTGTTTGGTCGCCTTTGGTATAGATTTTCGGGGATTTACTGTCTCGGCAGCAGCTAACCCAATCATTTCGGTGCCTGTGTAAGCGAATGCTGCAGTCACCAGTACCGATATAAAGCCTTTAGCACCATCGTGAAAAGCTCCTGGGTCATGCCAATACCTTCCGCCAATGTACCCTCGATTATCAGTAGGCACACCGCCAGCGTTGATGATGAGACCGACTATAATCAAACCAACACACGTTATGACCTTGACAAGAGCGAGGATATACTCGGCTGTGCGGATGTTAGTTAACAAACCCTCCCGGATTTAATATAAAACCCGGTTCTAAAACAGTAACAGACGGTGTTCTTACTCTCTCCATAGCCCTTGATGCCAAAGAATTGAATCACAGTCACCATTACTAGGAAAATAGCGGACCAGACTCCAACATTGATGTCCGATGTCCAAAAGGTGATCATCAATCCCGCAGAAGTAAGTTCGATTGGAAGCATGATTAGCCAGGAAACCGCGTACTGCCACCCCATAGCAAATCCCCTCATCGGACGAAATGTTAGCATATAATATCCATTTATCGGAGAAAATATGACCTAGAACTAATCACTTACCACGCCGGATCAATAAAGCGGAATGCATATGTGTAAAACGCTCCATTTACGGGATATATCACCGCCAATTCCGCCAAGGCCTGTAAATTGCATAGCACCATGGCACCGGTGATTGCAAATCCCAGAAACTACATGTGAGTGGTAGAATTAGTAACGAGGAACTTGAACTGCTGATAGAACCCCTTTCTTGTTCGGATTGAAAAAACCAATTGTACAAGGACCGTACCGTGCTCGCAGGCCCGCCGTTGCTCAATGCCTGTCCAGATCCAATAAACAAACCAGCGCCAATAGAACCACCTAGGACACATCCGTTTCAGCAAAAGGAGACTCTCGAGGACTCCTCCTACTTACCAATTCCGATCATCTGCAAATGCCTCTCGCGCAGTGCCCGAACCAATGAACCATTTCCCTTCTCGACATCTTCATCATGAGACGCTGATAGGTCCTCAGCGGAACTGTCAATTCTGGAATCGTCATTACTGGGACGAACAGCATGCTCTTCTAATCCCATCTTCTTCCTTTTAACGACAAAAATAAGGTTCTCACCAAGGAGAAAGTTCCGGAGTAGGCTTTGTTCTGCGATCCTGGAGCAACCAGATTAAACCGTATTCAGTGCTTTGGGTAATATATAGGCCAAACATTATCCACCACCATGGGGACATCAGCCCCAACACAGTGAAATAAAAAGTGCTGCTGAAAGTGAGAGGCCCCCCCCTTTTCCCCTGCCGGGAAGGGATCCACATCCGTAACAAGGTGCTTCGTAGAGCTGGGCAGTGTACGGAGTACCCCGTACTGAAAATGAAAAGCAACGAGCATCGGATGGTGCCAATGAACCCCTAATATCACTCGTGATATGCGTAGGGCGGCATAGGTCTGTGCGGGATGGGTTCGACACATTCATAGCATGTTGAGTGACCAGTCGGCTCTATTATATCACAGACGCAGGACGTATCTCTTCTAGCACGGGGAGCTGGAACTCTGCCCGTGCTAGAATTTATATCAACCAAAAAAAATAAAAAACATTGCAGCAAACGATCCAGCAATATTGCAATCTCCTTTCAGGCAAGAACCTTTTTCCAAGCCTGTAAGATTGACATGGCACGCAGCAATAAAATACATAGTCTCGGTCAAAACTGATCAGCGATTTATGCCCAACTGAATCGATGGTGAAGCTAAGAGCTGTCAGTAGTGCCTAACTAACATTTTCACAACGCTCTTCATAAGTTGGCATCAAATGTTGGCGCTGGGATTCAGGGCAGACACGGATGGCTTAGCCTGTTTGGTCTAATCTTAGAACACGTAGCCAGCTCGTTTCTTGACCAGAAGGATTCGTGGCTTCAAGTAGCGCAACTCTCTAGAGTTGTTAAATGTTAGTTACATAATTGTTAGTTATGGCTTTGACATTTGTCTCCCGGCTCAACGGTTGGTCTCTTCGCTCAGCTGGAGGCTGACCGGAAGTAAACAGACAACTGTGCACGTTGGTGTTCGGGTTTCAGAACTCACTAGTTAGTTAGTTAGCTATGCCCACTTCATTTGTCAACATTCCCTACACACACCAAAAAAAAAAAAAAAGAGGAGAAGAGCTTCCTGTTCGGAGTAAAATGTTGTGATGACAAGTGATGACAAGTCCCCACCGACCGCGCCAGAGCCTAGTGTCCGTCCATATGTACTCGGTTTGGCACCCGTGCCTATTCTGAGTTTAGTTAACTAGTTAACTAGGAAGGGTGATCGAGTGCGTGCATGTTACTTGATTCAGGCGTGGCGGGAAAACCTGGCAAGTCGAGGGCGAAAAGCCGCACGTAAAGTTTCCGGCCCTGTACGTGCCGTCTGATCGATTTTAATAGTAAATTCGCCGATTGATGTCCTGTGACTCCTGTTGGGCGCCAGCTGCTTGACTTATCTCATCCTTGTTCGCTCCTGTTTGCGCCGTTTGCCTGAGAGTTTGTTCTGTTCCGTGACATATGATTGGCCTATTTCGCCGTGACATTTCCTGAGTGTGAGTTCGAGGCTTTGTGCAACTGAGATTTACTCACCTGAATGAAACATGGTGGATGCCATTGGAGAGCCGTTCGATTCCTATGCAAAGAGCGTCGGCATTGTTGGGGTCACCGAGCCCCGGAGGACCCAAACGTCCATCAATGTGTGGTCTCGGGAAAGGGCCTCAAGGGGCCAGATCATCGAGCAGAGCAGCTGCTTGGATGATGGTAGGACGCCCAGTTGATGCATCTGTGGATGCAGATTAGTAGTTGTCTGTCTCCTGTTGCAAACCCAAGCACAATGCTAAAAGCTAGAAATAAGCCACTGAGGGGCAGGGAGGGTGACTTCGAGCTGCACCGCTGCCGTCCGGCCTGTGTCTTAAGATAGAAATGCAAATCTGGTCATCTCCAGCCATAACAGGATGAGGGGGATATTTCTCAGGCTGTACGGAGTATTCTCAGGTCGCCTTGCTTGTCTTGTTCCCGTGCCGAGGGGTGACTGCGAAGTACTGGGGTCGCGTACTCCGTACCCCAACGCAAAGTTGATTGTGATCACAGATCGCTGGCATTCACGGAGGACATACGCAGGGGATACATCCCCTCCTCGAAGTAATCTGTTGTCATATTGTAGCCTAGAGGTTCTAAGCTATCTTAATCGTACCTAAATGCATGTGCACATTCTTCTCGCAGACGCCTCGTAGAGCATCGTGGAGCAAATTTACCCCGCATTTTGAGATGGCAGCGAGATCGAGAGCAAGGTACTTTATGCGGGGGGAAATCTGTTCGACGATACCTCTGGGATACCCTGCTACTTGGAGGAAGGGGGTATCGATGGGCGTAAGAGAAGGCAATCTGAGTCATGGTTTGATGATGAGGGGAAGCTGGGAGAGATCGTTGGCACTTCCCAAACCTCCAACGCTTCCCCCGCGTCCTCGCCCACAAAACAAGCTGCACATCTCCGCCAGTCGAGCAAACAAGGACTGCGCGGATAGAAGTGGAGCATGCGGAGATCGACAGACAAAGACCAGACCCAGGGCGATGGGAAGTCTGGAGAAACAAAAAAGGTCGACCGTGCGCCGACATGCCAGGGCGAGCTTATTTAGGCTTCACGGAAGTACTCCGAGCATCGGGTGGAGATCTGCCCCTGTCCTGCTGGGGGAGAGCTTCTCTCCAGACTCTTCACTACCACGTGGCGCGAGGGAGCTTTGCTCCACAGCGCCGTGCAGCTAGGTAGGATGGATGTAGGTACGGAGGAGCTCGGCCATGGGTATGTAGGCGGAGCTACGAGACAGCGCAGGGGCGGGTTCGACTATACAAAACCCAAATATGTAATTCATCATTTCCTGGCTACATGTTAACTACCAACTACCCCAAAATTTATTCAAGAGTGAGGAATAGTCAACAGAAAAGAGCAGCAAAGTCGACAAAATCAAACCTTTAAACCAGGCTACAAATGCATCATGTAACTAAACATAGTCGGGGGGAGGAGGCGCATCCATGCACCTCTCCAATGTATACCAAAATCAGGATATCACGAACTTCCAAGGCGGGCAGGGTTTCAATACACCAAGGCATCAGAACATAATAGGCAAACACTCATGACATGACTTTTTGATCCCGGACCCTGCCCCTTCATCCCTACGTGAAACCGGGCCATGACCTCAGAATGAAAATGCTAGTTGGGGAAACATATTATGAAAAATGGACATCAAAGAAAAAAAAAAAAAGAAAAAAAAAGCGTGAGAGAAAAACAAATGGGCTGGGACCAAGAAACCAAGCAATGCCAAAAGGAAAAAAAAAAAAAATTTAAAGTTTCGAATCTCCATTCACTTCGGGCGCAGCAGAGCCTTCCTCTCTGTTTACATTCAGGCGGCCAATGGAAGAAAGGAGGAGGCCGACTTCCCTCTCCAGCGACTGGACTTCTCCATGGGGATTATACATCCGGGACTTGATCCAGGCATCCAGATCGGAATCGGAGAACGTTCGGATACCAGTCTCGCGATCTACCTTGGCTTCTTGGGCTGCACGGATTACTCCTCGGGCAACCAAAACGCTAACCTCCCTGATCCTGGTAATGTCCGGATAAAGGAGTCCTTGTTCAATTTCTTCAGATGTCAGGGCCGTGGAAAGAGCCTGGGCGGAGGCGTATATCATGGTGTCGGTGATCTCTACGGCCTTTGAAAGGATGGTTCCCAGTCCGATGCCCGGGAAGACATACATGTTGTTACCTTGGCCAGGGTAGTGTGTCTTTGTCTCACCAGCGTGGTTTGTGTAGGAGAAAGGTTGGAATGGAGATCCGGATGCAAAGAGACAACGACCGTCGGTGTTGACAACGGCGGACTCGAAATTACATTCCGAGTTAGCAGAAGGGTTCGATAGAGGGAAGATGATTGGCTTCTTATTCCAATCGCTCATCTTCTTGAGGATCTGAGGTGTGAAGACTCCGCCAAGGGTGGACAATCCCATGAGCATGGTCGGCCTGACATAGTCGACGACTTCCTCCAAAGTCTTGTACTGTCTGCCGCCATTATCTGTTCTCGCAAAGTAAACTTTGTGTGCGGCAAGCTTGTCACCACGGTCAGCAGTCACAAGGCCCTTAGTATCGACAAGGTAGAAGCAGGCCCGAGCTTCATCCTCGGTCATTCCTTCGCGGACAAAGAAGTCAACGATCTGTTTGGCAACACCAACACCGGCGCTCCCCGCCCCCAAGAACACGGCTTTGTGATTCTGGGGAGGAATTCCAGACTTCTTCACTGCGTTCATCACACCGGCCAGGATGACTGCACCAGTACCCTGGATATCATCGTTGAAGCAGGTATAATTATGACGATACCGCGCCAGGGCTGGGAATGGATTCTTGAAATCCTCAAACTGGATAACAATGCTAAAAGGCGGTTAGTTCTCGGAGCCCATGGACGGTCGGCGGACAAGTACTGACCCTGGCCATCTTTCCGTCAGAGCAGTCATCAACTCATCCAGGAACTCAAGTTCTTGTTCTGGAGTGACCTTCTCCCTCCGGCTCCCCATGTACAGAGGGTCTTCCCTCAGAGATTTATTGCTTGTGCCCAAGTCCAATGTGAGAGGAAGAGTAACCTCTGGCCGAATGCCAGCGCAGGCAGTATACAGAGCAAGCTTCCCAATTGGAATGCCCATGCCATTGATACCGAGGTCACCCAACCCCAGGATTCTTGAGCCATCGGTTATGCATGTGATCTCTACATTGGGCTGAGGCCAGTTCTGGATGACCCCAGCGATGTTGCCCCGATCTTCGTAGCTGATATACATGCCTGTCGGTGGGTGATTAGCATGTGATTTCCCCACAAAGTGACGAAGTAAATGATGAAAGGCGTGTGTTACCTTCGGGCTGTTGATAAATTTCCGACCATTTCAGACAAGCTTCTCCAACCACGGGAGTGTAAATCAACGGTGTCAGCGCCTGGATCAAGTTAGCTGGTTAGTCCCAGCGCACGTTCGGTGCAGGAAGGATTGCTGGATAACTTGCCTTCAAGTGATCTACAACCAAACGGTAGAACAAGTGCACATTATTCTTTCTAATGGCGCTGAGATAGAGGAATTTATCTATTGCGGTTGACTTGAGTGCCAATTGTGTGAGACCTAGCCGATTGGACAGCACGATCAGCACAGAGTCCACCATCGGTTACTTTCTCTACCCAGCAAGTTACGCACATCTCGTTTTCTGAACCTCGTAGCTATCAACGTGTGGAGGAGTGAGGCCGTATGTGCGAAGGTACTTGCGGATGTAGCCAGGGTTGGCTGTATCATAGTTCATCTCTCTGCAGCCCAAGGGAACGGTCAGCCTGATGTGTCAGACGAAACAGTGCGAGGGAGCGGGATACTCACGCAGGGCCAGTGGGCGGGTGGACAGCATGACGCTGCTGAAAGCGAGAGGGTGATTGACTCATAATGGCAAGTGTCGATGCCAACGGAATGAAGGATTGACGAGGGAGAGGACGTGCTAAAGGACTGGAATTCAACGCTGACAGATAGGCAGGAGAGCAAGGAGAGGGTCTTTTAAGAGGAGTAAAGGACAAGCGCATTGGGCTCCAAGGGAAAAGCTAGGGCAACCCTGAGGATCCACGCCCTTACATATGTGAAGCGAATTCGAAGGTGAAGGGAGGGGCGGCTACGGGTGGAAATGCTGGCTAGCCCCCGAAGAAGGGGATTCGAGGAAATTGCGCCGTCAGCCTGTGAGAGCTTCTGGCGGGCTGCAAATGGGTAAGACAGGTCCGATCGGGCGATATCGGGTTGGTCCAGCAAGGAGGGTTGGACAAAGTCACCAATTAACAGGCAGCATGTCTGGGGAAGTTTCTCGTGTGAGTTTTCGTGGGAAAAGGTTTTGGGATTCTGGTCTCCATGCGGAGAACCCGAAAGTCTGACGCACGAAAAAGAACTTGACTCATCGCTCCGCACAATTGCACCTGAACCCGATGAATCCTATAAAGTCAGAGCCTGTCTCCCTGCCTCCTCCCAACCCAGTTTCAGCCATGCCTCAGAAACCTCGGTTGAAGGCGTGCGCTGTATCTTTATGCTCGGCCCAAACTTTTCATACCCTGTTCATCTACGACATCCATTTACCCAAAGCAATTTTCATTTCATCATCATTCACTCATACATCTGGGCGAAGCAATCCCCTAGTATTACCGCTCCTGGTGATCCTTTTGTTCCTGTTTTAGCTCGATTTCCATACATAATCTCCATTGGTCTTCAACGATAATAACAGCAGGCATTATTATGGAAGTAAAAAAAGGACATCCAACGCAACAAGGCTCTTTCAGACCCAACCTCTGATGTCGAGCTTCCCTGCGACCTCTCCCCTGCACGAACTAGGTCCCCATCCAGTTAGCTCTCCGTCTTGCTACCCCAGCGGCCAAGCCGCGATGGGATACCACACCAATGAGCGGGTACTAATGCATCAGAAAGGAGCCTAAGAACTTTACTTTTTCTGCCCAGTGGCTGGCATCTCGTGTGGATGTCAGGGTACAGGGGGGCCAAGGACGCCGCCCTCTGCCGGTCGTCCAGTTTGAGCATCGCCGACGAATGATATGGGTGATGTCCAGAGTGTCGGGAAATGGTTGGGCCCCCAACAAGTCGTGTCATTCTGTGGGAAATTCCTTGATATGTTTCTCCCAGCAATTCTATGTGTTCTGCACCCGTCATCTGCACGGATTCCGGAGTCGTTTAGCTACTCGCAACGGAGTGTCGCCATGCTGCGCGTTAGATGGAGTTTATATTGCTCCGAATGCAAAGGCGAGTCTTATGCATGCATCAAAACAATGGTTACTCCCGTCGGAGTGCAGAGTACGACATCGTAATCGACAGAGAGTGATTTTTCGCGACAACGCTGGTTGAAAAGATGAAACAAATGCCACCTGTCCTTTCTTCTCGTCTATCACTTTTTATTTTTATTTTTATTTTTATTTTTTCTCTCTCTTCCCCTTCCCCTGCCAATTATTAATCCCGCGTTACAATTTCCCCCAGCTAGAGGTTCTCGGATGCGAGGGATCGTCGGGCTAAGAGCAGATCTGACACGCGGTCCAGGCACTGCAAGTCTTTATGCACTGGGGTTCCTATGCGCTTCGCTGACTTCCAACCCGGATTTCGGGCAAAATTGACCCCCAACAAGGCAAGATTCCAAGTATGCTACCAGTTCGGAGGCCTTAACCAACTTATATATTTTTGAGCCGGCCCACTCCCTCTCACAGTAACAGATAGAAGGACTTTGTGCATTCATCACTATGGATGGACATGCTCGGAATCGCTGCCCGGGTTCGGTCTCTCGATCCTTGTCCTTGTTACATTGTCACAAATAACTTCTACGACTCCGTACTCCGGACACAGGGTCTGAGGCTTGTGGACAACGGTTGAACGCTGCCGGGGTTATCCAGTTAAGACTGCTGGATGCCCGGGAAAAAATTTATCCCGTTGATAAGGACAGTCCTCGTAAGCTCAGTCTATACTCCGTATGGACCCTCACCTTTTTCTCCATACGAAAACCCATCTCTGTGTTAGGGTATAAATAAAGTCTCCATTCGCATATTTCCTATGTAATATTTTTCGTGCTCGTGAAATATGTTAGAATAACGTCCTACACCTGTCGAAGCACGCCATTTCGACACACAAGCGGCGATAACATGGAGTTAACCAACTAGGGCAGTCGGGCCGATCCTGAACTCTGATCTCATACTACGGTTTCATTGTCGCCGAACCGCAATTTCCTGGGTAAGGCCGAGGACCGTCATAATTATTTTCTCTCTTTTTGAAACCACACAATATTCAGACCGAGAATCATATCTTTGCCCGCACCACCACTTCCAGCACCCAATATAGGTAGCATGAAATTTCTACTACAGCTGGAAGAGGTGTCTTGTAAAATTCCATCCTACTGAGCCTAGAGACTAGCCAAGCCTGGGAAATATTAGCAACATGTACGGAGTAACCTAAACTGACCACTTCTTTAGCTCTGCTGTGACCATCTCTCTAACAGTAGGCACAAGATCTGTATGGCAATGAAATATCTATGTAATGCAAGATAAGTGAATGGTCTGAGGGAATTAAAGAAGCAATGAGGGACAGGGGACTTGGGGAACTGGAGGTGGATGAACTTTGTGCTGAAGCCCTAAGCCTCGGAAGAGAGTTAGCCGCATTAGGTAGCACCCGTCCTGGAGCACCAGAATTGGATGCAGACACCAACTTAATGAGCAAATCAATCAATCAATCTCTTTTTGAAACCGCACTCTGTCCATAATAGCACCTAAAAATTTCCCTCAGGCTCTCCGTCTCCAAACACCCCATTGGCAGTTTTAAAGAGTCACGCATCGCGAGAGTGGTGTGGCTTGTTGCTTGTGGCTGGGAAGTTCCAGAACGGTTCTGCCGGTCTTGGCATCGCGTTCCCTGTTTTTCCTGTTTGGGACTGGGCGCGTCGTTCTCCGCACGAGGTTTGCTGTATAATGCCATTGTTAGCCTTCATCCAGCGCTCGTCAACGAGCTTCATCGTCGTTCAATTGCCCTCAATCATATGACTAGAAACAACATTGCTGCCAAATACTCCTGTTGTCTCTCCACTATTGGGTGAGGATCGTTGGGCCAACTCCTTGATGGTTTCGAGCTCAGACCTTCCATGCAGAAGAGGTCTAGCCCGGCTCTTGACAACCAATTGCTCTAGCATAAGTTGAGAAAGTTTGTTATTCAATTGATTAAAGGATATTGGAAACTTATACTCCATTGGTCTTTGCTGATTTTTGACAATGATAGAGCCAGCTCACATTGCACACCATGCTCTCGTGTTGTAAACCCCGTAGACCTCGCCATGGCGAGACGGAGCCCCTTCTTCCACAGCATGAAAGCAATACCAGCCTGCAGCGGGACCTGCAGGAGAAATTGCACGGATACGAAATGCTTCGAGCAGTGTATTCCGGGTTCATGCCATCCTCTGCTCAGATCGTTTCACATCTTCGAGCCTTGCTTGTCTCGGATTTATTGAACCCGGATAACCCAACACTGAGCAGTTCAGGTCGACAGCTCGCCCAAGACTGCAGGGCATGGTTACGGGTCTTTATCCAGGTTTTACGTGACAAAAATGGGGACGATCAACTTCAAGAAGTTATTTGGAACCTCTCAAGGTCAAAAGTGTCCGTAGACACTGCTCGCCTTGCTGGGACTGCGTCGTCGGCCAAGGCGCAGGCAGATACTGCAGCCGGTATTTGATCTCACCCAGGCGGCGAGGTCTTCCGTTATCTTTGCACTATCATACTGACTATCGAACAGCATATGAAAGTCTGCGCACCATTACAAGTCTTTTGATGACAAATGCTGACTTCCGCCTCCTTGTTGGTGACCTGACGATGGTCTCTCGCCAGATATTTGCAGACACAGCCTCCTCTGTGTCCACTGCCGCTGCTCATGTCTCTGAAGAAGTTGAGCCTTCAGAGCGACAAAAGAATGTAATCGGAGCAGATGGGTCTCAAGAGGAGCAACGGCCTACGGGTGACGATGTTGCTCAAGAAGCCGGACGAATTGCTGATACTGCCAAAAATGCAGTCAAACAAACTGGCCGGGACGCCGTTGACAGTATGAAGAGGAACTTAGCTGAAAAACAAAAAGAGTCTCTTTTGCATCGTATTAAACAAACAGTGGATAGTTTACGCAAAAGGGAAGATTATTCCAACTCCGCGGACACAATATCCCGAATAATCCAACATTATTCCATGATATATTACCGCGCCACAGGGTCGATGGCTATCGATATTGAAGAGAATATAGAAACTAACCCCGAATTCGACAAAACGATGAGAAAACTCTGGTCATTTTTATCTTCTTTCGGTTGTCAGGAGGACTGGAGCCTCCTGGAACAAAAGTTCCAAAAGCTGATGGAAAATTATCAAGACGATGAAAGGTTCAAGGAAACTTTTGAAAATATCGGATTCACCCTCTTTAGCCTACTAACTAACCCAGGATTTTACGATTCTGCTGACACCTCCATCGGCTCTCTTCGGGAAAAGCTCAAGGACGCGAGTACTGACTCTGATCAGAGCCTAGTCGATTTCTACGATCAGCTAAAACAGGCTTTCTATTCTGCTTCTCAAGATGAAAGCATTGCAAGACTTATCGCCGCCACCAAAAAGGTAGCGGGCCATTTGGTGGCTGCTTTTCGTGAGGAGGGATCCCGTCTGCCTGCTGATGCCCTGCATATTTTCTTGCCCCTTTTGATACGAGCCGTTCAACATATCCCAATTCCAAGACTAGAGATGTCTGTGCCAGAAATGGACCTCCTTCTCGAAAATGTTATTCTGGAGCCTGGCCACACTCTTCATTCTTCGTCTTTCCTTCCATATCGCATTCTTTTGACAACCACGAACAGTCTAGAACTACGAAAGACACACTCCAAGGAGACAACTACGGACATGACAAACATCGTGAATGTAACGATGAATGGACTGAATATCAGCGCGCAAGAGTTTGGATATTGGGTCCGCGTTCACTCCCCTCCTTACATACCGTACTTTGGCGACGAAGGCATAGCTAGTTTTGCCCTTGACAAGCGCGGGATTGATATCTCCCTAGAGTTCGCAGTTGGCAGACAGCGGTTAGAGCAAGTTTTTGCTCTGCGTTCCGTCCGAGTTCATATCCATAAACTCGAATACACGATCCAGAAAAGTTCGTGGGCTTTTCTCTGGTGGATGATGAAACCGTTTGTCAAGCACATGGTTCGTCGCACAATAGAGAAGAAGATCGCCGAGCAAATTGTAGCCACCGCGCGGGCTGTCAATCGTGAGCTTGTTTTCATGCGCGAACGGCTGCGCGCAGCAAGAATCTCGGATCCAGATAACTTTGCGAACTTTGTAAGAGCTGTTTTGACAAGGATGACTCCTCAGTCTGATCCAGATGTATACACTAGGGTGGGAATTGATGCGCATCGCAAGGGTATCTTCAAGGATGTGTATACGCCAGCCAGTTTGATGAAGATCTGGCATGAAGAAGGAGAAAGAGCCGGGGAGATTGTCGACGCTGGAGATGAAAGCGGCGGTATTGGTCTGACGTGGAGGAATCGGATCTTCGACTATTCACCATCAAGACGTCATTCTCGCCAACCGAGCCAAACCTTTTAGCTTAATGTTTATTTTCTTCTGATTTCTTTATTCTTTGGTTAACGATTTCGGTTTCTCTCAAATTTAACTGAAAATGATGGGCACGAATTAATGAATTGGCTTTTCCTTCTATTGCGAATGATTTACTCCGTACATTAGTTAAATAATAAACCAGTTCAAATGACTGCTATCCACCTCCATGCCGTGCATCAGAAAATCGAATGGCATCGGCTTTATCCACAGTGTCGGGATCCATCATGGTCGCAGGCTGATTGCCGCGGATCAAATATGATCCTCTCCGAATATTCGGAGAGGAATAATATTAATCCATGATAGCGAGCTGGCCCCAGCTTATCGCAAAAGCTGCCACCTAGCAGTAATAAGGAATCATCATCGAGATCCGAATTGGAGAAGTGGCCAATTGTCCACTCCCTTATTTTTACACGCTATCTTCAGATTGGTCTTATAAAGCTCTTACATCATATTTGACCGTTACCTCTGTCACTCCCTTTAGGCTGCGAAATGTCCCTTATGTTGCGCTACCAGTAACGGGAAGCAACCGGTGATCCCACCAGAGAAACCTCGTCGCGAAGCGTGGTGTCTTGGAAGCTGAGATACCAAAGCGCCCCTTGACTTGATTCGGTGCTTTCCTCCCATTCACATATTACTTCATGATGCTCCCCTTACCACTTCTCCTAGGGCTATCACTTCTCTTCTTACTCCCGTTCACACTTTGCGCTGAAGACTACTACAAGGTTTTGGGAATAGATAAGTCAGCTTCAGAGCGAGATATAAAAAGAGCATATAGGACTCTAAGCAAGAAATACCACCCTGATAAGAATCCGTAAGTCTATAGCTCCAGTCCATTTGTCCTGGTCAAACCGCTTGATTTACCTTGAGGATAAGAAATAATTATATGGACGGTGCTTACCGTTTTTGTCTGTCAAATATATAGTGGGGATGAATCTGCCCATCAGAAATTTGTGGACATAGCCGAAGCTTACGATGTACTGTCAACCGCTTCCACGCGAAAGATCTACGACAAGTATGGCCATGAGGGTCTGAAACAGCACAAAGAAGGCGGCGGTGCCCCCACTCATGACCCTTTTGATTTGTTCTCACGTTTCTTCGGCGGCGGAGGTCACTATGGACATTCCGGTCAGCGACGTGGCCCGGATATGGAAGTCCGGATGCATGTACCCCTGCAAACATTTTACAGTGGCAAAGAGGCCGAATTTCAAGTCGAAAAGCAACAAATTTGCGACACGTGTGAAGGTTCAGGGTCTGCAGATGGAAAAGTAGACACCTGCAGCAAATGTGGCGGGCATGGAGTTGTGCTTCAGAAGCACATGTTAGCACCCGGCATATTTCAGCAGGTCCAGATGCACTGTGATAAGTGTGGTGGGAAGGGACAATCAATACGTAACCCATGTCCTGTTTGCCAGGGCAAACGAGTAGTACGAAAACCAGTGACGCTAACGGCGACCATTGAACGTGGAATGGGCAAAGGATCGAAAATAGTTTTTGAGAACGAAGCGGATGAGAGTCCGGATTGGGTTGCTGGAGATTTAATACTCGTGTTGATGGAGAGTGAACCACAGCTTGGAGATGACGATGCGGAGAGGACAGATGGGACATTTTTCCGCCGGAAAGGCAAGGATTTGTTCTGGAAAGAGGTTCTCAGTCTCCGAGAGGCCTGGATGGGAGATTGGACTCGGAATTTAACCCATCTCGATGGGCATATTGTTCAACTTGGCCGAAAGCGAGGACAAGTAGTCCAGCCACTTTCTGTTGAGACAGTAAAGGGCGAAGGGATGCCAGTTTGGCACGAAGGCCATTTGCATGAGCATCATGGCGAAGATTTCGGAAACCTTTATGTGGAGTACACCGTCGTACTTCCAGATCAGATGGAGAAAGGGATGGAGAAAGATTTCTTTTCCCTATTCGAGAAGTGGAGAAAGAAACACGGAGTGGATTTGCAAAAGGATTCTGGCCGGCCTATTCCTCAAAGAGATGAATTGTAATAGTACATATTCCCGTTTCCTTGATCTTTCTTTTCTTCGCCTTCTACCGCGAACCGGCGTATTCTATATATCGGTGATACCTTACTGCTTCGTTCCGGTGCATCGCTTCCAGACCTCCGAACCGTATACGATAGATTTCATTGTGACAGGCAGGGTACAATAGAGATGTCTCCAATACAAAAGCGCATTCTGGATTTATACTAACCTGATGCTTAATTTTTCTTCTTTTTTTCAAATCCACGCTTTTAATAGCCACTCTCAGTCTTGAGGAGAATTACATTCAAAAGAAATTGCATATGTGGACCTGTATAATACTTTGCTCACTCTACCTAATGGAAACGGCCATGAGATACCACTCCCATGCGCCAATCCTACGATTCCATTGCTAGAACCTTACACGCTTCCAAGAATTTGAATGATGCAGACGTTCATATGTTCTCCTATTCCCATCACGATAATATCCTTCCTTCTTGCACGCACAGGAAAGGCAGGTTTAAGGATGTCTCGGAATAGCGCATGGTATGACACCGGGAAGAGCCACGATACTACACCAACAACTTCCAACATTGTATGTCCAGAATGCGTTACAGATAGACTACTACCTCTGCGGTCGCTTCCAACCCACGAATATCGATTAGGCCAGGTACCTCAGTGCCGCTTTGCTCAGGGAGAAACTTTTGCCATTCAGAGGCTTGATAACTACATACCCGCAAACCCGACAGATGTGCAGAGAATTTTGCGGCGCCGGCTCACAGCTCTGTGGGTTCAGCGTGTCATATGGGGTTCGGAATTATGTTGATGTTATGTGCCATACTTTTGACGAGGTTGCCAGCGAGGTAGACATTGACGGGAAGCAGGCGAAAAATATAATATGCTTGAGGGCTGCGGTTATTCAGCCCTGCCAAAGTTCATGAATGGCGCCAATTGCATGAAATTTGGATACTCAGGTTGCAGTTGATTTTGATTACCCTGGTTGGAGGTAGATGATTTGGCTATTGAATGGCCTGCGTTTCATTGTGCGCTATTTTCCCTTTCCTTCTCGTTATTCGATCTCACTTTCTGTCTCTTCTTCCGCCCCCTTTTTTGCGGTTTTCTCGTTTAACTACCTCGAGTGTTTTATTCAGCATATAACCAAGTATGTCTACTCCACATTCGGCATCAAAAACGGTTTGGAGAACTTTTATAATTCCTTTCATCCATTGATCATTTCATGGTTCGGAGGAATCTAAGTTTCCACGAGAAGATGCAGCAAGCATCCAAGTCCGCTATCAGTATAGATAAATCCTATTAGCAATCTCTCAGCTCACACGGCCCTTTCATACCGTCGTGTCTTGTGATTCATCTTTCTGCATTGAAGCAGTAGACTACTTCATCGTGACATCCTCGGCGGTTTCTCAAGCCGGGGCCACCAAGGCAGAAAAGGAGGGAGATAAATATGATGGTAACCCCACTCCATTATAGGATATGAGCTCAATAACAATGAACCGGAGAAAGCAGGGCGCTCATTCGACGAACTTTTTTTGCAACTTGAGTTTTCCTGGCCGCGGGATCCAATCTTATCTTATCGGTGGCTGCAGCGCCGTGGATCACGCTGTGGGGCGAACATTTCCAGAAACTTTCCAAACATCCCAGCTAGCCCGTGGAGGTTGTCATCTACCAACCTATTCCAACATCCACAGACACAGCAGCTTGACCAGCTTTGAGTTTTTATGTCAATTGATCGTTATTTGGATATGTAAACAGCTGACTGCGGAAAATGCGCCTGACCGAATCATGGGCGAAAGGAATGAATTACATACTCCGCGCTTGATGTCAAATAATTTAAAGGATAAGATGCGGCTTCCAAACACCACGCTGGTCAATATAATATACGGATAGAGTTTTTGCATATTCAGTCTTGAGGTTGATTAGAAAATATTCCAACAAAACTGCAGGGTACCCCAACGCAAGGCAATCCTGGGCGGGTGGAAAGGACAAAGGTGCTTGAACGGAGTACCTACTGCAAAGAGCCGAGGAACTGAAGAATTAAATGCTGTTCTAATATGTTTTATCAGCCTATTTGCCCTAGATATAGCTTTAATAATAAGCACAGAGTATACGCTATATACAGCACACTAGTTGATCATCTGTTGCACAGACGCAGTGCTGAAACATGTTCCCGGTCCTCGACCAACCCTGGGAGATTGAATAAGCTGCCGTTCGCGGTAGTCGTGTGACCGCAGAAATGGACAGCCAAGGAAACATCAAACACCCATTCCAAACCTCAAGAGAATATAGTCCAACACTGAAAAGAAAAATTGCCACTATGCAGGTAATGTATCGCTCAATAGACGTCCAAACGAAGCGAAATCTCGAATTAAAAAAGGTAGGAAGTCGGTAAAAGAGAAAAGAAAAATTTGGTCGGAAAATCGAATGCTAGCCACCCGTATTGGCCTCCCAAAACACCGAAGCAGCTCCGTTTTTCATCGCTGATAGGAGACTTGCAAGAGAAGAAGGATAAGAAGGATAGGGTAAATAGTAGCTTTTATTGTTCGCACCGCATGATGCGGCTTTTGCGTCGAGCTTTAAGTCGGTGCTCCGTGTCCATCAGTCGATTCTGCACCCATCTCCGCACCTCTTGGTCTGACTTGATATCAGAGCAGTTCAGTAGATCTGTCAGGGCCAGCTTCAGCTGGTAGTCGCTATCGTTTGATTTATTGATATCTTGCTGGAGCATTGAGGAGATTCTCGAGTCAACTGAGTCGGAGAAAAGGGATGAGGCTGGAGGGGTTGAGGCATATCGAGAGTTTGGGTGAGGTCGAGAGTTGATAGCCGGCTGAGAGGGAGAGCTGCATCGTGTCGAGGGTTGTGTGAGCGAATGGCCCGTGCTTGTAAGTGGCCAGCGACTTTTTGAAGAGAGCATCGGGAGCATTGGATATGATTTTGTTGGCTTCAGGTGACAGCTTCCGGGGATCTGAGAAGCATGTGGCTGGTCGTTCACTCAGGGGTAGTGCAAAAGTCGTCCCGGAGGTGTTTCGGACGTTGTGCAATTGAAGGGGATTTAAGAAGGGTATTGTGTTACTCGATGGGGAAAAAAGGTAGCAATTGAGTGGGAGAGAAAGCAGCGATAAAAAAAGCAGCAATGGTGATGGGAAAGAAGGGGGATGATATTGAATTGAGGGCAGCTTGCCTGCGAATGTTTTCCAGGAATCGCCCCCCTACTAACGAGATAAGACGATCGGTTTGGCTTTCCAAGACACGATTAAGGTTGCGCAAGTCGAAGAAGGGCCCAGGCGCCGCTGGTGGAACCTTCATGACGTAAGAGAAAGCTGATCCTGCGTCGACAGTCCTGTGCTCTGCTCTGGTTTCGACCATTTTCATCGCGTCGAAGCGTTTTTGCTTCTCGACCACGAACACGAGAGAGAATGAGGGGTAGCTAGGCCAACGTGGCATATTTCTTCCCCTCCACAGCATCCAATACTCCGTATGCGACCGATAATCGCTGCAGATGAGGTTTCTTCGAAACGTGCGGAACCCTCCGTCAAATCGACCACGGGCCCATTTCTGGGATCAAATCAAGTTCTCAGCGGCAGGTTTTCGTGATTCAACCTTGGCAGCAATTATTAGAGTCTCGATGGCAACCAAAAAGTGCTTATCAGTGAAATCGCCTCCATCCCGCCAATCCCAACAGTTTAAATCAGTCCACCCCTACTGTAGTCAAATAGGCGCTAGTGCACTCAGTCCCACGGACTGGAAAAAATATCCACGCCAGTGAATGCTGGAACAATTGATGGGTGCGATGATGTCCGAATTCTGGAGGCCACCGGGAAAGGCGTGACGGAAGCCTTTAACCGAAGTCAATGGATCACCCCATGGTTGTAACCTTTCCGATCCCGACGGTGGCGCTTCGTAGAAGACGTTGTGGCAAAAGGTGATTGCACGCAAAGATTCTAGACCCCGTTGGGTTCTGAAAGAGGCCGTTACCTCGAGAATTGCTCTTCTCACGACGCATCAAGGATTGTCTCCAATATCAGGGTTCTTTGCACTGCCGACCAGTCATGTCCTATAAGTGTTCCCGGTCTTAATTTACGGCGGGATTTTGGCCACGAAATCGCTCGCAATTCAAGCCGCCAGCGGGTAGGACATGCCTGTAGAGGACACCTTTATTCGATTTTGATAAAAGGGAACGGATGCTCCGACGTTTTGCGGGCTTTCGGACGTACAGCAATAAGTTATCCACCCCGCAATTTTGCCCCGTCAAGCGTCTTGACGCCGTTGAGGCGTTTGATCAGCATGACCCGCAATGTGGCCAGAATATACATGAACTCTTGTATTCGACTCGAACCGGTCTAGGATACAAGATTATTACCTGGGATGAGACGCATCTGTACAGAGGAGTCCTCGTCATCTGAATTCGGAATGCAAATTCCTTACCATCCTGCCCCGAAGCTTTGCCCCAGAGTGACGTTAGTCCCTATTTACATGTTTGCAGAACCATTGCGGACAGAGGGATGTGGGCCGACTGTGCAACCGGATTTTTGAAAGCTATGAGTTCATGTCAATGGTTGGGGAATTGGTTGCTGGCAGCAAGTAACCCGAACAATGCTACCCCGCCCTCCCTGCGTTGTGGAAAACAGGGCTTGCAGGGAGGAAGGTCCTGAAGGCTTGCACTTCATGAAAGACTAATAAAAATAAACAGCTCACAGTTTGTCGTGTCTCTGCATCGAGTTCCCCTTGACCGTGGTAGAAAAAGCAGAAAAGCAATTGAAGGCAAGTGAGATTTGCTGCGGCTCCAAATCTAAAAGTTTATGGTTGGGGGTTATTTGGGTGCCAAGAAAGACTGATCTAGCACCCAATCGATCCACTCACCGCCTTTGAACCTGGTGGGCGGCAGTATGCAAAAAATAACCATCGCCAGCGTTCGTCTCGCAACACCAGCTCGACGGCCATCCCCTCCACGCCCGGCATATAGGAGTTTTTGAATACCTTTTCCAAAATGGTTCGTAAACTAAAGCATCACGAAAAGAAGTAAGTCACCTTTTCCAACACCCACACAGCACTCCAGAACAACTAACCCTTTTCGCAGACTCCTTCGCAAAGTCGATCTCTACACCTACAAATCCGACAACAACCACCGCGAAACCGCCGTTCGCCAACGCTATCACCTCCAAGGTCCCTTAGATTATAAGAAATACAATGCCCTCTGTGGCTCCCTGCGCCAACTGGCTCATAAACTCTCCGCCATAGACCCGGAGTCTTCCTTTCGCAAGGATATCGAGGCGCAGGTCCTAGAAAAGCTCTGGACGATGGGAATCCTAAAGCAAAATCGAGAGCAAGGGGCAGGGCTGAGTAAGGTTGAGAGAGAAGTTACTGTGAGCTCGTTCGCGAGAAGGAGGTTAGGTGTTGTTATGGCGAGGACGGGGATGGTGGAGAACGTGTCCACGGTGGGTGACCTTCATCCTTCCCCCTCTAGGACTCATCTATGAGAATGAATAGGACGAGACGCTAACTATTTCGTTCTTTTCTTTAATTAGGCCGTCAAATTCATTGAGCAGGGGCATGTGCGCGTTGGCACGGAAGTCGTCACCGATCCTGCATTCTTGGTCACGAGGAACATGGAGGACTATGTGACTTGGGTCGACTCGAGCAAGATAAAACGGAATATCATGAGCTATCGGGAGAAACTGGACGACTTTGATCTGTTATGATGACTTACGGTCTGCATTGTTATGAGTGTAATTTCTACGACCTGGCTGTGTTGATAGGCTTCCATCTGAAGCTTTCTTCCCTGGATATCGCCACACAGGGACAGTGGGACGGATCAGACCCGGTACGCGGAATTATTGTTTATTTTTGGGATAGATAAATCTGAGCCTCGCTCGGTGGGCGTTTTGGGCGAAGCATTGAGCTGGGTTGGGATATACCATTTTATGCAGATTAATGTCATTTATTTGAACAGCGGTCATTCATATTGTCATTTGCTGTTATTTTATATTATTTTTTTTATCACTATATGATTTATATTCATTCATGGTGCCAATTCTGGCAACCAAATATGGGATTTCATATACGCTCACTTTCTCTGTCTTCTGAAAAGAGCCAAGGGAGAAACAGTGTGCGAACTCCAAAATATGCATCTTGTACCAATATGGCTGTAAACATGAAACAAAACATTCCCCGGGCAGGGGGTGGGTATGTAATGCAGTAATGAAAGATGCAGGAATACTGACATGGTAGATGGTCGGTTCCTGCGATAGTGCAACATAGAGGATAACATTGACATTTCCCAAACAAAAAGCCAGAAGACAACAACCGCTCTATGATAGTACTCAGCTTGGGGTATCTCATGGATATGAAAGACACACAAATCAAAAATGATTAAAACGATTAGAAAAGGGGCTATGCTTTTGAACTTCGTCGGAATCCGAAACAGTGCCGAGTTGCGGAATCGTCAGAATCATCGTCGCTCGTCAAAATTCTTGTTTTCGTGAAACCAGATTTGGCCTTCAATTCACTCTCAATCACCTGTGGACCCTGCCCTTCGTCGACGTCTTCATCGGGAATATCTATCCTGAACCGTCGCACACTGCCTTCGTACAGCTGCTTCCCACCTTTGGTTTCATCGAAAAATGGGATGCGCTGGCTCTTGCTTTGACACCACTTTGGAGCGAATCGTCGCCACATCCCACGTATCCCGCGACAGGAACGGTCAATCTTCTCGTATTCACGCCTGCGAGTCGACGAAGAGGTCCAATGCATCACAGTGGGAGGTATCACTTTGTAAGCCGGGACGATACCTGATGGCTGTGTGTCATCGGGCAGCTGGGGCGGAGGGACTGTGTCCCAGTGATTTAACTTCTCCATGTTTGGCGAAAGATCTTCCGACGATGCCGGTGATAATGATGGTTGGTTGGAATGCAAAAGTGGAACGGAAGACGGCGATTCTGCTGAATTTCTCCTTGGAAGCCGCTGTCTTATCGTGGCATGGCCACGCTGCGTAGGTTCTGTAGAGGTACGAGTAGGCTGAGGTATCACGCTGTCCAGGAGATCGTTTGGCGGTTGGGATGTTGATTTTGGTGTGACACCGAAAGACTCAAACAACCGACAACTTTCGCGATGAAGCGCTACCAAGTCCCGTTCCTCTCTGTGGAGCTTGAAGCGGCGGTTTGATGAATGTGTTTTCGACGAATGGGGGTGGCGATGGCAGGTAGATTGGTTGCGACGTGACGCGGATCTCGAACCAGATACAGAAGACGATCTGGATGTGGTTGGTGTTTGGGTTTTTGGGCGATATTCTTTTGAAGAATCTGCGAGTTTTCGGCGAGACTTATGGTCGTTTTTTGGATCCTGCCCTGAAGGGGCCGGTAATTCATCGCCCGCAGAGGGGTTCTGGTTGGGTGGTTCAACTGGGCTCTGCATATCATCCTGGTCGTGAACACACCCTCTAGAAAAGGCAAGCAGCGGAGTAGGCATCTGAGAATCAGGAAAGGTCGGTGATCGAGGAGAGATGTTGGTCACCTCGAAGGCAGTATAAAAGGTCTTTGTGTCGGAGGCGAAACTCAAGGGCGACGGGAGGGCGCCAGCTAGGAGGAGAGGCGAGACCGCGATATCCAGTTTGTGGTCTGTGGAAACATTGTACTGAAAGGCAGTTGGTAGGTATAGAGCTTTGGATTCAACTGGAGGGTCTCTTCTTGTTGAAGCAGAGCCATGATTAAGTTTGTCGTCCTCAGGGCATGTGAGCGCTGCCATGTCGTTTCATTGCGTGGTGAAGCGGCGAGTGCCTCTGGGAAACTGAAGGAAGTCACCAAACAATAAGTAGCCTGTGAAGGTGTCAGCAGGAGAGACATGTGATGTTCTTCACTCTCAGAAGCAGGATAGACATACATCAAACTTAAAAGGTTATAGTTGACCTCAGGCACCCCTTTAAGAGAGAGACAGACCTGAGCTTGGAGGAGGGGGAGTTTTAGCATGTGAAGCACGCAGAGGCCAGCCCAGCTTCACTCCAACCAACGTCACTGGCCCAGGAGCTAAACTGTCAAGCAGAGGGGATCAAATGAATGGACAGTGCAAACAAAGCAGTCAATCAGGCTTCGCTTTTCTCCATGAAGATGCATGAACGCAGACTCCCAGTTGAAACGGAGGTTTGAGCACCCTTTGGCGCCTTGCTCCAGGGCAAATCGCGCAGTCCAGACAGAAAAAGAGATGAAGGACCCGGCGGCATGTTTGTTTTAAAAATAAAATCGAAAAAGCAGCGCCAGGAGCGGTGACCGCATTTTCGACAGGACAATGCTTCATGTTCGAGAGCGGGGTACTCCATCTGCCTGCGATGATTTGATGGGCTTCACCGGTTGGTCTGCTTGTTGTCAGCGAAAATCGCCCACGTTCTCGCCGGGACGAACAGAAACTCTTAGAGCCACATGACTCGCTGGCCAATCCCGGGCCTGCTGACAGCCACTGGATCGTGGGCCAGCACGGCCTGCGACGAATCACCCGGCGCGGAGCTGGTCCCGGCAGCGGATCTCTGGCATGGGCGAGGGCGTGCGGAAATAGATCGCCCATTGCCGCCCAACGACGGGGCCCGAGCTGGCGCTAATCAACCTCTCCTTACGTGGACGGCAATGCAGGGGGCAAAAAAAAAGAAAAAATGCCCGGCCGGGGGGGGGGGAAGTTTATCCTGGGGGTTGGCAGCCCGCATGTTCTTCCCGCTGTTGTTTGGGGCATCTCGACAAGTTAACTATGAGAACCCGACTGCGAATAATGTTCGTTTGGCCATCTCCAGGATGAGAATCAGTCAGCACCAGGACAGCAGTACTCCTCATCAGACAGGAGTTCCCGCACAGAAAATCAGTCTACAACTCATGTTCCGGAAGCCCATTCTCAGATCGCAAACACAAAATTCTATTATGCATTAGTGTCAAAGTTTGCTGCCTTTTCCCCCTTTTTTTTTTTTTTTTTTTTGACGGTTTGCGGTGACAAGCTCACACTCGAGCCACGATCTTCTCGGGTCAACTTATTTTTGAGCTAAAGATATGAAGTCTGGTTCACGAAAATTGGGCTTGGACACTTTGCTGGATTCCATATTGAGTAGTACAACGCTGCTGCTGCGACAATATCTGGTGCCGCACTGCCGAAGGGTGATGATCCATGTACGGAAGAGAGTTCGACCCATCTTTGTTTTGCAGGCTTCAGGGCGCTTCCAGGCTGAGTATTTGGATCCCTCATGGACTTTGCTGAGCCCACCAAAGAGAAAGTCCCTGTGATTTTGAAGCATGGGAACTAGCTTTGGATTGTCTTTGGCGTCATCTGGATGCACTTGAATGTTGGAATCTCTATTCAGAGGGAACTCGGCAAATGAATTTATCGTAAGGGGCGAGTATGCAGTCGGTACTCCCATCATCGCAGATTCAACAATAGCAATTACAGATACGGCTGGGGGGTCAGTTCCATCTCATTTACCCTGTACTCTGTCTCCATCCAATTTGAATGGCCCTGTCAGGCTTACAAGTATTGGCTCATACACTCGAGCTCCTGGCAAGACTTTACTATCCTTGTTGAAAGTCCAGACATAACAACAACTTAGCCAAATGAAGTGCTGTCGACAGACACTGTTGTGCAAAAGAATCCAACCACTTATGCTCTTCAGAGGACATTCATCCATATCTTCTCTTCCAGTCAACCCTGAGGTGTGAAAACCCTAATTTGGAGTCCCACACTGCGTTCGTTGCTAGCATGAAACCAACTCCTGTTCAATTTAACACGGGACTAGTATTTCAGGATTAGCTGAACGGATTGAGACATCAAAAACTCCACCAGTGATCCATTTACACTCCCCAGATATGAAATATATTCTATTTGAACAATATAAACAACAGAGGACTGAGAGTGACTTTTTGTATTTGATGTTTATCCTCCACTATGTCTTGCTTATGGTAATTAATAATACAACTGTCTTTTCTGCTCGGTAACAGGGACATTGTAGTTGCACACATTCCCGTCTAGACCGCCACAAAGCGTCGTTCTGTGGGACTAAATACCCCCACGGCTCAAGGCCCACCGAGGCGAGACTCTGAGCAACAGAGCGTGGACACAGACGTGATCTCGCAGCATACCATGGCTATCTGGCGAGCGGTCTCGGCGAGCCAGTCGGGCCTGGCTTTGGGACAAGCGAAGCCTTCCCGCAATCCCGGTCCCAGCTGCTGACACGATACCGCGCTGAAAAGCACTTTCCATCCCTTTCACGATGAACGATGGTTCGACTTGCTCAGAAAAAAACGAGCGGCGCACGAACACAATGCATTCACGTCATTTTGTTCGCATCAAGTTACTCTCTTCCTCGGATGCAGATCCGCTCCCAACGTATTACCCGAGCTCTCCTTGACCTGAGCAAGTCAGGCCCGGGACCTTACACAGAAGCAGCTATTTTATGATATCACGTTAATTGCTTCGTTGCCTCGCTGCCCAGATTGAGCGAAGAGAATTGGCTGAATTCGGCATCTTCGTCGAACACTATGCTTAAAGGACTGCATCATACCGTTGAGCACCATGATGCTCAGGTAGAGCGGGCCCTGTAACGTTTAGGGCGCGTCTCCGTCTCCCAATCTACTCCAGAGGTCACCTTATCTTCCCTCACGCACTGTTTTCCGCGGGCTACCGGTCAATATTCTCTACCTATCGATTTATCACCTGGCTTATTTTATGGCGCGTTCTCAGTTTGAACTTATACCCTTGGAAGTTATTTACAATGTTTCTGATTTTCTTGCTTCTGAATGCATGCAAAGCTTGTTTAATTTGGCTCTTGCAAGCAGAGAATGCTGTTCTATAGCGGATCTGCGACGGTTCCGGAATATTCGCCTTGTTTTGTTGACCGGCGAGCGGCTGAGGGCGGAATTACAACGCTTGGACGACACTCTTTAAGGAGAGAGGCAGCTTTCGCCATGTAAGTCAACATAAGCTCGAGCACGCTGCCTTCCGGACGCCACAGGCTGTTTTACCACTGGGTTTGGTGCCACCTGCACCAGAAAATCCCAACGACGTCGATGATAAATAAGTGTTAAGTTTCGAGGGCAATATCGAGACCTCCCACTTGGACCTTGAATCTTGGAGCAAGGTTACCGCGTTCTCTGAGCTGCGCATCCTCAAAGTAGCGACAATTATTGGCATAAGGTTGCTCGGATGGGCAAGACGTTGCGACTTTAGGTCTCTCAAATCGCTGCATCTGCGTTTAGAGGCCGGCATTTGGGGTGATAATATAATTGTCTCATGGATGAGGAAGCCAGCTTTCTCCTCCGGGCGCTCCCTTCCCTGGATAGTATAAAATTGATGCGCTACTGTGGAGATATGTCGTTCCAAGAAATCCTGGGGCACGGGACCCTGCGTCGGCTTTGCATTCTGCCAGGCGCTCAAAGAGCGGTCAGGCCATTTGTCAAGACCAGAGAGAAAATTGATAGCATTTTAGCATATTGTCCACGCATTGAAGAGTTAACTGTGTCTATTCCGGGCACCAATGGGGATTTCCGGGAAGTGGAGATCCACCGAGCCCTTGGCCGGATGCCGCGGCTCAAAAAGCTCGAAATATTCTTTGACTGCTCGGGTTTCTATGCCTGGTGCAAAGGGGGATCCTCTCTACAGCCAACTTCTCCGTTACGCTACGCAGATATTCAAGATATTCTGATTAACGCTTCTATCGATGAACCTTTAATCTATTCTATATTTCGAACTATTATCGAAGCGAGCCCACGAGAGTTTCCTCTCCAGCGTTTGAAGGCAGTAATATTCGACTTCGGCAATTTGGGGGTAGAGTACACAGCCGACCTGGATGCTATCGTTCAATTCTTATTTCGCAAGTGGCAGTATATCCAGGTCCAAGAGATGGTCATGACAACATTATAGTGAGAGAGCTTGGGGCAGTGGACAGGGTGTGGAGAGACAGGTTTCAACCGTTCCAACACCCAGGTAGCGCGATAAACTGGAAGGACGATTGGCATAGCGTCCCTCTTGAGTTGTAGGAGGCTTCAATCATGCTATCAGAGATGTTATGTCATGATATTCTTATTGGTTCACAGATATGCACATATTAGTTCCTATAAGGTGATAAAGGTCTCGAGAGCCCCCTATCACAGCAATGGTATTCCCTCAGATTTGTTTTTCCTCCGCTCGTCCAAGAGGTTGAAGGATGTCTTTTATATACTCGCTGCGAGAGATGTATGCGAGGAATAACTTCTGAAGCTGAAAGTTGTCATTAATTTATGTGCAACAAATATCACCAGGATCTCCTAAAATTATGTCCCTGGGGAAGCAATGCCTACAGCCCATTTTCACAGGACTCACAACACGTATATCAGTTCAGCGTTTTCTCTATCGGTGAGATCTAGCCATCTGTATTTTGTTGTTAAAAAAGAAAAGGGAAAGGTCAGCTTTCGCGCTCTCCCCGTTTAATGACAATGTGATATCTCTAGGGAGTTACGTACTCTTGGTTCCGAAGTTTGACGTATCCTGGCTGAGCTCTGGTCTGAGCTTTCTTTGCGTTTTCCCGCCGATACCACCACAAGATAAAATACAAATCGAAGATACACAGGATCCAGCAGGTCAATATGGTGATTTTTGCCGGGACGTAGTCTGGTGCATGCTCTGGACGGAAGGTTTGGGGTCCTAGACGTGGGATCTCAATTAATATTTCGAAACCGTTTGTCTTTGTTTCCTTTTCTTTTGGGATTGACTAACCGATGATGTTTCCAGCACAATATCCCATAAGGAACAAGGCAGCAACAGTGGTCTTTTTGGTATAACCTGCCACATTGGACGAGATAATCGCTAGCATGCATACAAATGCGGTAGTGACAGACAGAGTGAGACTGTATCCAGCCAGGCGTCCTGTGTTATTTGACTCAGGTAGAGCGATCATTAATATTACGCCGAGAATTCCTAAGTATAACCCTCCTGTTGCAACAATAAGTCGCTGCTTGAAATAGTGCGCTGCGACGGCGTTGATCATAAGCGTCAAGACTTGCACAGCTCCTCCGGGGGCACCGTAGAGCAGACTTTGCTCAGGTGTATAGCCAAAGCTCACAATCTAGAAAGATGTGAGACAAATTTGAAATAGTTGAGAATCATCTTTCTTCGGTAATACTCACCAGTTGGTTGAAAAAATTAGTGATTCCCCCTGTTCACAATCAGCGATCTTTTTTTTTAAAAAGGAATTCTTGAATGGTATCAAAACCGCGTACCATTGGGAATCGAGGTGACAATCCCATAAAACACAATCGCCCAAGTTACCGGGTCTGTGAAGGCCTCTATGAGCTGATACATTTTGAATTGCTTGTTTCCAATTCCCTGCTGATTGACCCGGACTCGTTCAACGGCTAGTGTACGGTCCTCCTTGTCAAGCCATCTCGCATTCAGCTGGTTGTCAGGAACAAACCACCAAAATAATAATCCCATTGATACGGTCAAAAGTCCAGTGGAGATGAAAAGGGTTTTCCAAGGCGCGACGGTGCTTCCATGTATGCGTGATCCGACAGCGATACCATATGCGAGAACGGCCCCAAAGATCTGCGCCCAACCGTTAAAGGAGAACCAGAGATTCACTCTGATTGCCTGCTCAGGTTTGGTATACCACTATTGTTATATCAATAAATGCTTGATAGCAGGTAAAATGCCCTATCTACGCCGATCGTAGCTGTGTCACGCACCTGGGATGTGAGGAGCGCAAAACCGGGAGTCACTGCAGCCTCAAATACTCCAAGGAAAAACCGGAGAGCAACAGCGCCAGAAAAGTTTTCCACGGCAGCAAAGCATGTGAGCACCAAACCCCAGGCCACCATGCAAAAAGCTGAGTACTTTGCCAATGGCAGTCGTTGCAACAGTCGAGTGGTGGGCCATTCCCATGCCAAATAACCTTACCCCCCAGGTCTTGTCAAACAAAGTATCTTTGCGTATATTCCAGGATTCATATCATGATGAAAATTTGCATACCGAAGTAGAACATGCTCCCAAGCCATTGATAGTTGTCGCCAACAAGATGGATATCCTCTTTTAGCCCCATGACGCTCGCGTATGAGAGAGTTGTCTCTGTGATACGAAGTCAAAGAACCATCAGCGTTCGCAATGGCCATATGAAGAGGCATCCTAAATTCACCACCACATCACGTACTATCGAGGTAGTTCAGGCCATATATAACACACATCAGCGGCATAAGATGCCAATCGATGATCCTCAGCAGTCTCTTGTTCGTTTCTTCTGTCAAAACGAGTGGCTCGCCATCAGTGTCGGTAAAAGCTTTCATCGCCTCGTCCGCATCTCGCGCCGGCTTTACAACCGCAGCATCTGAGCATTCCTCGTTATTCTTCTTGATATCATGTTTCTCGACATCACGATTCGCTGCTGCCTCAACGGATACGGCTGCACCCGGCTTTTTGCTGTCGGTCGCCATCATGTATTGATTTCTTTCTTTTTTCTTTTTTTTCCCCCCCCTTTTGTTGGGCGTTGATTCCAATTGCGATCAACGCCGATTCTAAAGGGAAATGCGGGGTATATATAGTATGGAAAGGAGGACAGGGTGGTATCGTCTCACGGTTAGGATCGCCACTCCGCTTTGTTTACTGGCATAGCTAATCATCTTATTGGGCCACCTCTGTGCTCCTTGTGATGCACCTGAAGAATAGCTCTCTGTGTTTCTGGGGTATCTGCATCTCAATGAGTGCTTGACGCTGGGATTGCTAGGGGATCCCTGCTCTCAAGTGGAGATGTCAACTGGAACAGCTGCCATCCCCTCAACGAACTTGTTGAGGGAGCAGTCGTTGAAACGTGGAGAAAAAAGAACTTGGCGAATCGTGGCTCTTAGATTTCGCCGATCCAGGCAAATGTGCTAGGCCCGAGGTATTGATGCCATGCTGATAGAGCAACGCCATCCAGAACAGTATCTGTCCCGTCTTCGTAGTGCTCGCACGGGATAGCTAGTCAAATTCCCGTTAGCAACCGAAAATTTCGCCTAAACGAACCTTCCAATCACGACAACAGCATTTCGGGAACAAAGGCCTAATGATGTACGGAGAATATGGATGTTGGTTAGTTTTTGATATATGGCGTTGTGGGCTTTGTCTAGCCCCAATAACGGACAAGAGAGATAGTTCGGTAGATATTACCATTGCCCTTTGAGAACTAACTATGCCAGCGGTACCAACTTAGGGTAGAGTTGAATATTATACGAATAGTTAAGGGCATATCGAACACGTAGATGAGGCTTGTATCAACATCAAGATGCTGATGGTGCCCCTATTTCGGCTCGTTCTGAAGCTGCGCGCCACATCCTGAGCAGGAAGCAAAAATCCTCTCTATTTTATCTGCCCACTCTTTTCAAATAAGCATCCCAGCCCGCTTTTTGATACCGCCTAGCGGCATCAACCGGGTCAGGAGCCGCATAGATCCCGCGTCCACTGATAATAAAGTCCGCACCGCCTCCAATGGCTGATTCAGGGGTCTGATACTGCTGTCCCAATGCATCACCCTTGGAAGCAAGGTTAACACCTGTCGTGAAGAGGACAAAATCCTCATCATCCGCCTTTCCAGCCGTTTCAACTCCTTCTAAGGACCTGCTGGCCACGAAGCCTAGGACAAAGCCCTTGTACTTCCGCGCCAGCTCAACCGACAACTCAGTATACTGACCAGTAGCAAGACTACCCTTTGATGTCATCGTCGCCAAGATCAGGAGCCCTCTGTCTGAAGCGTGGGGGAAGTCTGGTGCAGAAGCAACTTGCGCTAGGGCATCTATGATACCTGGGCCCGGAAGCACGGTTGCATTAACGATATGAGCCCATTCCGAAATGTGGAGTGCGCCCCCATGGTATTGTTTTTGCACTGTGTTGCCAATATCAACGAATTTCCGGTCCTCAAAGATCAGGAAGTTGTGCTTCTGGGAAAGGGATTGGAGTCCGGTTATGGTTTCGGCGGAGAAGTCGGCGAGGATATCGATGTGAGTTTTTAGAACGACCATGTAGGGGCCGAGTCCTGTCCAGTGAGTCCTACTTATCAGCATGCAGAATTTCGCACATTGATGAGGTGGGGGCGGGGCAGGATGTCGAACGGGTTTGAAAACTGAGAAAGTGAAGGAGGATCAATAAGTATCATACTGTCAGCCAGGTCAAGGAGCTCCTTTGTAGTTGTGACATCGGCCGAGACCACGACATTTGACTGTTTCTCGGTCGCAATCTGGAATAATCGTCGTGCAAGTGGATTGGGATGGTCGCGCGCACGGTCTTCGTACGGGAATTGTGATTTGGAGGCCATGTTGGCTGCAGACTGGATGAATAGAAATCAGCTGAGATTGATTTATCCCGGCGAGATGAATTGGCCTGCACGGAGTAGTCTAGCTGTTGTTCGTTTTGCTGTGCTTCAGTAGAGCGATATAACACCGACTTTTTCAGTGGTGGTTTGTTTTGCGTTGAGGTGCGAGGGTTGCGGGGAAGACTTCCAAAGGCCAGTCAATTGGCGACTTGCGAGCCTCTCTCCCGAGTTTGAACAAAGATCCCATCTTATTTCGACTTGAACACTCTGCCATTATACCGTGTGGATAAAAATACATCAATCGTTTGTGTTATGTACATATATGACATCCTCAATTTGTCGGCAGGGGACAACCCTTCAACAATTCGGGCCCCTATTTCCTCAAAATTAAGTCATATCCTGGAAATCCCATCCCGAGAAAACTAATACCCCAGAGTGCGCCTTGGACAAACCAGAAGGGTACACCGATAATGCGTCCATTGCCCTTCTCTTTCCCTGAATATACATATCCGGCAAGGAACAGTACTCTGAGAGCAACCCACGTTGTTCCGAGGAGCGTTGCGAGACGCGGATGCTTAATACCGGCGACAAGAATAGATACCATGGTCTGGGACATGTTTTCGAGGTAATTGGCGTGTGCCCGTTGAGCACAATTGAATTTGTAGGCTGCAGGCTGTAGAAAGAGAATAGGGTTAGGTTCTGCTCTTGGTGTGAAGGGGACAAGAAATGTGATGGAGGCCGAAAGAAGGGATAATTACGTTTTTTGCACATTGCTCTGGGGTTGCGTAGGCGTTAGGGTACTCGACGCCAGCAGGTCGACGAAGGCCTGTCGTGATAAAGCCGTGCACAAAGCCTAGGAAGGGAATTGCGCCGAGGGCGACAGCAGCCACGTTACTGTGAACATTGGTTAGCAAATATTTAGATTCGCATGTTAGATTCGAGGCATTGCATATTTATTGGGCCATCTTAAAATGCGTGGATTCATGGGAAATACGTCTCGGTCATAAAGGGGCAACAACGAAATTCGAGGCATTTGAACTTGGAGGAGCAAAATACCTACCCATAGTCGCTCGGGAGGGTGAATGTCAATGCCATTGTCAGTGTTTGGTTACTGAACAGTTCTCAGAGCTGGTGTTATGCGGGCTTTTAAAGCTGTTGGGGATGAAGAGAGATCTTCCTGGAGCTTGGGATCAGTCACCAACTTCAAAGAATGAGTTGTTCACAAATCATTAATGATGGAGGAGCTAGCGTAGTGAGTTATATTAAAGCTTCTTGGAGAGTGAGATGAGACGCTTTGAAATCAACACCTGTCCATTTCAGCTTATTCCCCCTGCAATCCGCCAGGCTGAGGCAACTACTATGTCATCTTATAGCTGCCTGGGCGCCTTCACTGCGCCTCGGGGATAAGATTTCATGGGTTACAGATAGTTTTGAAGTTTCCACTGTGCGGAGTCTCAAGTCAAGGGTTGGTTCAGCAAATGGAAAGCTTCGGACGGGCTTTTGTGTTGTTCCGTTCGGCACAATTAACAAAAGTTAACGCACCCCGGAGCCGGTGAAGGCCGACGCGCGCGCAGGATTACCGATCTTCACATGGACTAAGCACCAGTGAGTACAGAGTACTCCAAGATCTCTCTTCATGGAATAACTAATACAGCCGACATGCGACCAGCTCATTCGGTAATCTAATCTGCTTTGAACTCATCTGCGACCTTTGCTTCATAGCATATCCAAGCCCACACAGAGTATAACTATCAGGGAGTACCCTCCGTAGTCACAGGGTTACGAATTATCATTATAAACGACCAAGTGAATTCCACCGTAAAAAGCAATGCACCAATTATTTAGCCGCTCTGCTAATACTGCCATACTTGGCTTGCCAGGCAAAGAAATACAGCAGCGCTGCCAGCGGCTGACCGACAAGACAGAAACTCAACCAAAAGAGAGCGTTGCCTAAAATCTTCCCCGTTTGACTGTTCATCTTTTCCAGCGGCAGAGTCACCGCTATAAGGGGAAGTTGAAACATCATCCCCCCGAATGCGACACCTGTTGGTACGTCAGAGACGGTGGTAAGAAAATAAAATGAGGATGGGACGAAAGCAAGTGGTGACCTTACCAATTATGTTATGCGTGGGAATTCCCACTGCCAATTCGTGGAGTACTGCCGAAACGGTGAACACCATTACGCTGGCCGTAAAGGGACTCCAGCCTCGTCCGACAAGCGGTGAAAAAATGTGTCGCTTCATAAATTGATAGACAGGAATATTCCATGTTCGCCAGTACCTACCAACGCTAGGACTGTTCCACCAATCCGTATAGAACTCGCGATCACCAAATCTCATAACTTCCGCCAGCGCATTGAGGAATGATTGGAAGAGCGCATAGAATCCAGCAAGCCAGATCACAAGGGAAATTGTTGACAGCTTCATAACTCGTTCTGCAATGGACGCCCATTCTCGTAACGCGATCTTTTCGAGCGCATTCAATAGCGTCGGCGAGGCGTACTGTGCAGATATGATCCACATAAACACGGAGAGTCCACAAAACTCGGCAACCCGTTTTGCAACGAAGTTCCATCGAATATAACTTGTTGTGGGATATACCGGCTGGTAGACAAGGGTGGGCGCCAGCCAGAAATACGTCAAGTTTTTGATCGTAATGTTTTGTGGGTACGGGCAGCTATTATATATTTTTGGGAGATTGTTCTCCGGGGATGGATGCAGAAGAGCGTGGCGAAGGTCGCGATTTGTGAAGGCATACGAGCAATTCTTCAACATGACGACGATGGCATGGACCTCGCACAAAGTTCCAATGCCAGGGTGGTTGATGTAAAAATAGACAGCATAAGATGTCAGCGAGAGACACAGAGTGGCATTCACCGTGTGCGCGATAGCGATATATGACCATGCAAGTTGAGCGGCTGGTTGCTGCCGTGCCTCGGGGCCGTCAAGCTTTTTCCTGAGACCAATTACTTCTTTCACTCGCTGCGCAGCGGCCAGCTCTATCAAATACGCAATGAAGAGATGACACGGGACCAGCGAGAAGAGAAGGACTCCAAGTATGAGATCTTGTCTTCGATAATCGTGACAGCGCAGACAGATCAAAACTCCGTACTAGTGCTATCGTTAGTAAAGGCTTCGAGCAAGCTGGGGTCAAAACATCGAGCGGACCTTCATGAAATTTTCAATAACCAACCGTAGATTCATAACAACTAGATGGGAGTCTGATCAGTGTCTTTCACGTGCATCGGGGAGCGCGAGGGGGGATTTGAGGCTCACTCAGCACGATCACCATCAGATTCCGGAAACCAAAGAAGCTTGGTGAGGCATTTGACTCGCGGCTTAGGCATGATGGTCGTATTTCTGAGTGATAGGCAGCGACATGGCGATACTTGCTTCTTCGATTCGACCCGTGCGTCACTCTCTGTAGCCTTTTAGGGGATTCTTCTTCCGAGGTTGTTGGAGGCGTGGATAACGTGCTGCTCGTGCATGAAAGAGCTGAGGGAGTAGAAAGGGCTGAGAGGCCAGCCATATTCAATGTGAGCGGTGAATAATCAGAGAAAAACGAAAGAGACAGTGCAATGCGATGAGAAGATTTTCATTTCGCTCGGCTTCCAAGCATGTGGGCAAATGGAGCTGCAGCAGCTTGCAACCATCGCTGATAAGAGAGAGATCTTCAAGCAGAGTCACTAGATGTTGAAGATAAGTTGTGTTATGTGGTCATCATACGCCGACAGCTCGAATTCATTCCTAGCGAGAAATCAGGTCATCATGACTGTTTACCGGGAGGCGGAGCGACAGTTCCACGGGTGGAATTTGGGGTTTTGGAGGGGGAGTCCGAGCCAGCAAGGGGAGGTATTAATTTATGCTTTCTCGGTTCCATGCTGGATACGCTCGCGCTAACAAGAGTGGCGATCATTTTCGGCGTCAAGGTCGAGCTGATCAATCGATGTCCTTTGCATCTGAATTGAAACAGCGGGAAGTTTGATGTACATGGCGTCCAATCATCCAATGAAAGCGGGATAGTATTGTTAAATATTGCTCTGCCTTTGTCAATCGTTGAATTTCACGTCCAATTTTTCTCATGAGAAGCATCATCAAACCTGACTCGCTTCTTCACCACCGCACATCTTCGCGATTTCGCACGGAGAACTGCACCGGAATCAGAGATGGCATTTTACGATGAAGGCGCAACAGAAAGCTCGTTCATTCCCCGGCCGCTCGGACCGCGAAGACCAAGTCAGCACCCCCAGCCGACCGTTAGGATTCTGAATCCCATGTACTAATCAACACCAGGACCTGTGACGGACTACGGCTCGTCGCTAGTACAATGGATGCGTGTGCGCCAACCGAAATACAAAGGAGGCCATCGGTTAGAATGGGAGCGACCGAGCGCGAGTTATACAGTGGATGTAAGCAGCTGTCCACGTTCCGAAGAGAGCTGGTTCAACTCTTAAGACGCTGACAGATACCTATTATTATAGATGCTCCCTCCTTTTGCCGCTATTCATTCTCCTGCAGACACAATTCCTGTACGGCACCTACATCAGTCGATCGGGAAGTCGAAGAAGCCAATTACGGTCGTGAGATGGACACCTGAGGGTCGACGATTATTGACTGGTGGACATACCGGAGAATTCATGCTATGGAACGGTACAGCTTTCAATTTTGAAACAGTGATGGACGTAAGATCCCTTGATTGAAAAGTGTCTGCGGCCGTGACACGTTCGGCTGATAGATTACAACCCACAGGCCCATTACGATCAATACCAAGCGGGAGTCACGTCGGCGGAATGGTCACATAGTCATGAATGGCTGATATCTGGTGGTCAAAAGGGCGACGTTAAATATTGGCGACCAAATTTTAACAACGTTGAGACCGTAGATGATGCTCACCACGATGCCGTCCGGGACTTGGCATGGTGTCCTAATGATACGAGGTTTCTTTCCGCCTCTGACGACACGACATTGAAGATCTTCGACTTTAACGCAAGGGCCTGCGAACTGGTATTAGCAGGTCATGGGTGGGATGTCAAATCCTGCGATTGGCATCCCACTAAAGGACTTCTCGTCTCGGGCTCGAAAGACCACCAGGTCAAGTTCTGGGACCCCAGGACAGGAAGATGTCTCACTACTCTCCATAGTCACAAAAATACAGTGACAACTACGAAATTTTCTCGAGTAAACAATAATCTCCTCGCCACGTCTTCGCGAGATCAGACCGGACGCATTTTTGATCTGCGAATGATGCGAGATATCTGCATTCTCCGAGGCCACGAGAAACCCATTTCTTCCCTGACCTGGCACCCTATTCACAGTACCCTTGTATCAACGGGAAGTGAGGACGGATCTTTATATCACTACCTATTGGATGAGCCCAATTTGCCAGCCGGACAGGTTCCCACCGTTGCACCATACGATACTACCGATCCCAGCAACACTCCTGCCCAAGTGATATTCCCGGCCCATCGCATACAGTTTGCCCACAGTTCTACCATCTGGTCACTCGATTGGCATCCTCTAGGCCACATCTTGGCATCTGGGTCCAAGGATAACTTTACCCGGTTTTGGTCTAGGACTCGGCCTGGCGAGACTACCTATCTGAAAGACAGATTTCACATTGGCGAAGAAGCGGCCGAAGCTCAAGGGACATGGAATCGTGGATTCGGTCGTCGGCAGATGCGAGAAGAAGAGGAGCAAGAAATTCAGGATGAGGCTGAGGGTTTGGTGGATCAAAAACGACCTGAATCGCTGTTACCCGGTATTCAGGGTATGCCGCCTCCAGATGGTCCCGGTCTACCGGGCTTGATTCCTGGAATTGGTGCTGTACATCCACCACCACCGCCGCTTCCCGTCGATATACCTTCATCCATGCCTCATATCGACCCCGGTCGCCTTGCTGCTCTGCTGTCTTCCGGCGCAATACCCCATCCTCCGCCACCTCAGCATCTCCTTCCTCCTCAAAACCCGGGCCAGATGCCCTTCCCCATTCCGGGTATATCTGGACCATTCCCGCCTAATCCTGACTTTCCACAGTTCCCGAACCAAATGTTTCCGCCACAGCCTGCGCATCAACAACCAAAATAGCAACATCATTTTGGTAGCGAATTGATCGGCCCAAGTGTGAGACTGCATAGACTGCATAGACCTGAAATACAATGCATGGGATCCTAAAGATCAATCTCATTTATGCCGATATATTTTGAAAATCGCACGTCGGGGCTATGTGGAGGCGTTCAAGTGATACGGTGCTGCATTCGTGTAAAATATGCGGAGTTGGTTTCTGAGAAGGCCGGGTTTGGGGCTGGCGCATGTATGTTACGATACCAAAGTATCTTGAGCATTCATAATCACATCTTTGTAAAACCGATCTTTGCATTTGTAGCGGGTTTATGGCACTAAAGTCCACCTTGTATGGAGAAACCGGATAAGATTAGAACTAAGGTGTTGATGCAGCCCCATATGAACGGTAGCCAGGTGATCATTTTGAGGTTCCCAGCCTCATAGACGGCTCCGATGCTGTAGGATCATGTTTCCGTTAGCCATTATAAATCCCGCTACCGTAAAATTTACGGCACGAGGATCAATCTATTCCTTACAGTAGCCCCACAACACTCCCTGCTAACAAACCCTCCAGACCAGCAATCAGAATATAAAAGACAGGTACTGCCCATATAACCTTCCAACTATGCCATTGTGTTATCACGACACATGCGGCTGCGGCGATATGAACACCGGAGTAGAGTATCAGTGTCCAGAAGAGCGTAAACCGCCACATATCGCCAGTAAACACCAGGTATTTGGCTTCATCGCGGGAGGGGCCGAGGGGAGTATAGAGAGAAGGAAACGGCGGAACGCTATAATCGCCCGGTACAAACATCGTCACCAGGAGCTGCTGGGCTCTCCGTCCGCCGAGAAAGGCGAACGTCGCTCAGGAGAACAGGTCCAGAATTGGCAGGGAGAATGGGTTGGTTACGTCAAGAAGCGATCACGTGATGCAGCGTTCTGGACCTCGGCAGCTTTTTGCATCACCTCCTGGCCGCCGATGTGCATGTCTGCGCTTCGTCGGTTCAATGGTCCCGCGAGCTGCCATAAGGATTACCGCTCTCCAGTTTCGATGGGACAGATGGCTTGAAACAAAATTGCACGATGGGTACTGAGAGATCTCTCGCAACGCTCCTGCGATCCCTGCAGACTGCTTCCGTGCCTGAAGATGCGTACAGGTAATTTAAGCTCCCTCATCTCGTCTCATCACCCCGATACTAACATGAGCACACCAGATTATTACCGTCAGCAACCGGCCTCTTGTCCCTTCTTAAGAATCCCCTGAACGTATCGCTGTTGTCGTCGCAACTACTCTGCTGTCCGGCTTTGTGGGAAGGGCAGGTCGATCTCCAGACCTGTCGCAGGCTGATTGGAGTCTTCAATAGCGCAGCGTTTACAATCGTACAACATGAATCGTCCAGTAACCCAAAACCACCATATCTCCAGCGGCGCGGGCTTGAGCGAGAAGAATGGTTGAAGGCCGTGGTCAACGGCGCAGATGACAAGTCCCCACGTTGGAGACATCTCCTCCTCATTGGCGGAGTGTTGCTGGGCTTCGAAGGCCAGAATCGCCAGGGTTTGTCGTTGCACTGGAGAAAGAAACTTGAATCGGCACTGATCAAGGGGCTACAACTTTCGTTGGCAGAACTGGAAGAAAATCCGAAGGTAGCGGCACACGCCAGTGTCCTAGTCTTAAACTATACATTTGAGTTGCTGTCCGATTGGGAGCGAAGCCAGATCGATTACGATATCCTTCTTCCTATCCTAGTTGACTCCGCCTTTTTCTCCGAAGAAGGTCTTAGCTCAGGATATTTTCTAGGCGCCATCGACCAGGACGTTCGCGAGATCGGTAATAAGAAGTTTGCCTGGGTCGAAAGTTCACCGACTTTCTGTCAGGTTAATACCATCCTATCGAGGCCGCTTATTACCTCTCTTGGTCCACTCTCCCGTTTGATAGCGCATTCTGTCGATAATGCCAGTAATCAGGCTCTAATCGCAGAATTGGTGGACCTTTTACTTGAATATTCTCGCACCGCTCTTGTCCAATGGCGTCAGAACAAGTTATCGGAGGTTGACATGTCAGAAGAGGCCGAATTCTTGGATGAAATCACCCTGAAATCAACACTGCCTACGCTGTGGCGGCTCTTGAAGACCTCTTTGTTTTCTATGGTCATTGTGCTCCGAGCTGCCATGGGCAGAGTGCTAAACGACCCGGTGTTAGCCGCTGATAGATGTAAGACGTCTGCAATACTTCGTCTGTGCGGTGGCTAACAGATATAGATGCGCCTTACCTCGCCTCCAAAACTCTCCAAATTCTCCGAAATCTCTTTTTCATAACGAGCCGATTAGGGCATAACTCGTCTTCCCAGCTCGTTTTTGTTAACCTCACCTCCCTTGACATCCTGTCACAATATCCCGCACTCGCACAAGAATTCTTAGAAAATATTCGACCCTCAGACAATGGTCAAATTCCGGCTCATCCAGTGGACAGGTGTCTGGATTTATTTTTCTTGAATACTGCCGAACATTTCACGCTTATCCTCACTCCGGATGTCAATGAACGTTTATTAGTATCTGCAGCGCTGCCTTATCTCGCAGCTGGCGGTAATAACAACCTCCTAGAGATCTTCGAAGCTGCTCACAGCGTCGTTCTAGCCGTCCTTGCGGCGCCAAAAAGCGCCGATATGGCAGCTAAACATCTGCCATACTACGTTGATACCCTGTTTAATGTGCGTACTGATTCTTTACAATTTATGTTTATTTTTGATAACCAATTTGAATAGGTCTTCCCTCAGAACCTCTCTGCGAGACAATTCAGACTTGCATTTAAAACAATCCTTCAGATCACCGCCCCTCCTTCACCATTAGCAAATAGCCAACCCTTACTCCCGTCAATCCTTCTGCAGCTTCTCTACGACAGGGCATTAACGGCCCCAACGACTCCTCTCCCTCACCCAACTTCCGCAGTTGATTCCACATCCACCGAGGAACCCCTTCTCTCCGAACAAGCGGTCCTTACACTAACTATAATTGACTGTTTATGCTACCTTCGGGTTGACACACTAGAAGAATGGCTTAATCTCGCTGCCCATTTGATAAGCCAAATTGAAGACCGTACCATGCGAAGCACGTGTCAAGAAAGGCTTTGGGACGCGCTGAGCAGTGGGGAGATGGATGTTGAGAGGGCCTACTTTTGCGTTACGTGGTGGAGTACGAGAGGAGGGAGAGAGAAGGTACTTTTTGGAGCAGAGGAAGATGTCCAAGTTCCATACATGAGCGGAGCCCTAGGCACTGGGGAGCCTGAACCAAGGGAAAACAAGCTGTGAGGTCGAAATAATCTAATGTGGATCGACTATTTGTATTTATTATGTCCAAGATACCAAGGAAGGGATATGACCAAACTTTTGCTCCTTGCTAAGTAGCTTTCACTTCCTTGATAAAGCCATTTGTCGATGATCTTTAGATAACTTTTCGGCCATCGGTTTGGCTGCATATCTGGGAAACTCCAGCCATATGGCCTGTCTCCTCAGCTTGAACCAAAGCGCACTTTCGCTCGCCTAGACTCGATAAAGACACAAACGAAAGGCCGGATAGGAGTCATGGTATGGGGATAAATCATGCTGCCATTCCTCGACGTCCGCTTTATTTCCAAGGTATTCTCGCAGCGGATGTAGTATGTCTATTTTCTCGTTTAGGGATCCAGCAATCCCCAAAGATTCCGAACTCCCGAACATTTCCTCTTCTCGCTGGCGCGATCGTCTGGCAGAGACTCATTGTCTTGTCGCCGTCCCAATTTTCGGAGTCCTGAACGTTGCCATTTGCCTGACGTTTCCGAAGTGTGCTTGGAGTCAATGCTCGGATTGTCATTTTCTTTTGATTTACATCTTTGTTCTGCGGATTCCCCTGAACTTTCGTTGGCGAAACCATGTCGACCATCTGTCAGCGGTGGGCCTAGAATGAGCGCTGGATATTCTTCTAGAAGGTGTTGATGCTTGGAGCATGGATATGGATCCACGATGTCTGGATACATGTCGAGATTGGGACAGCGCGATAGAATGTCGACGACGAAAATGGAGTTTCGAACTTGAACAAATCGGGAGTCTGCAGCTGGATATGAAGGACATGGTGGGACTTGGAAGGTGCTGCAGAGGTAAATGTAGTCTGTTTGGCATCTGCAGATTTTGTGGAGGTGCTTGCGAATGTGGCACATTGGTGGTTAAGTAGAGAATAGGGCGAATGGGTAAGAAGATAGCTGAATCAGGCAGGCCAAAAGATAGATATGCAGGGAATTGATATGCTGAATGGCTGATAAGAATAATCATCAAAGAAAGTTGCTGTGGGGGTAGAAGAGGAGATTATCCATGAGAAGGAAGTTATATCAAGGAGAGCCATAGTGTTTCCTGATATAAAAAGTGCTGGAGTCATATGGTTGGGCAATTGATGATTACGTCGTCAAGAGCACTGAAGAGGTAATGTAGTCACGAAGCGCTTAGGAAACTAGGGGAACAAAGGCTGATATAGATGGATGAACCTATGATTGCGTTGATTTGCAGCCATGTACACCCCATCACTTTCCAGTAAAAAAACAAGCTTGGAGAGGAGCGAAACATATATGATAAACAGAGTCAACAGGGAGGGAATATCTCTGATATGGAATCACCTCCTTTCTAGACCCTGTGGGTTTAGTTGGTTCCAAAAATATGAACATAGAACATAATTTGTTCTTGCCAGACGAACATGACCTTAAATGGAGTCAATATGAGAATCAGTACGAAGATGAAATAAGTCAGCGTATGCCTGGAATTCCAACCCAGGTTTTGCTTCGATACTCAACGTATTCTTTACCAAAGAACTTGATTAATAGCATCTCCTCCTCTACATCGGGCAAGTAGTCAGCATTCTTTCCTCTAGCCATAATCATGGATGAAAACGTACTTCGAATCCGAGAAGAAAAGAACTCCCAGAGCACAGCGGCATAACCTAGAAAGCATACAGCATTTCCCAACACCAATTGCGTCCCCAAACCCCACCAGAAGAATCCGAAGTAGCTTGGATGTCGGAAAATGCTGTAAATCCCTTCCTTCACCAAGCTATGCTCCTCCCTGCGATGATGCTGAATAGTATGAGTGAAACTAACGCCTGCCTGTGCCATCGCCAATGACCGAACAATTTGGCCAACTACCATCAACACCAGTCCCACCAACACCTGATATTTTATGCCACCAAATATCGCAGCCGTCCATTCAAAATAGCCGTCGGGGAGGAATAGATGAGCAAGCAGGCACTCTGCAACTGCAGACCCATGGGCGATATTATAGGCGGCTCCGTTTTGAGTCAAGAGAAAAGCGGTGACCGTTGCGAACAAGTTGTTATAACGGGCAGTGATATAGTATTCAAGAAAGTGGAATAGGGCCAACGATGTGACGAAGAAAGGAACGCGCCATAATGGATTGGAAAATGTGTAAAGTAACACGGTGAGGACGACACAGGTGCCTGCAGCCTGGCCAAGGAGAAACGAACGAATGGAGATACCGGAGAGGGACTTTTCTCCGCCTGGAAGATATGCGGGGTCGATAACTCGAGACTTAGTTGGACCATTCGCGGTCGGGCGGTAAGGTCGGTAATCCGGACGGGGTTGCCCGTCAAGCCCTGGTGTGGGAAACTCATCCAATGGAGAAAATCTAGAAGAAAAAGACGCTACTGAGTCCATTGTGAATCGTCGTTGTATGTTCAATTGGCCCTGTTGGCTGATAAGTTGAAAACACTCCAGAAGCAAGAGTGAACGAACAGCAGTGAGGCTGTCAGCAAAGCAGATATAAACATGTAATCTACATTCAGACAAAGAAAGGGGGCAAATGCTCCCTACTGGCAAATATTTCAGAGAATTTTGGCATGATAGCTTGACACAAAGAAACGACAAATTAGAGAACAATATGCTATTGTTGTCTCCTGGCAACGAAAATGAAGCTGTCTGAACGCAGTGCCGCGACGAGCAAATTTAAGGTTTGGTGGCCGAATTTGGCTTAGCGAGATGAACCCCACATGGACGGGAAATTAGTCAGCCGGATTGATGACGTGAGGCTGAGCGGCGTCGCAAGCAGCCGCAATCTCTCGCCAGGTCGCAACCAGTGCGAGGAAGTCCAGAAGAGGCGGGTCGATTCGTCATGGCTGAGAAACAGGGCTTATCTGAAAAGGACAAGATGCTCCGGGGTGAGCTGTACCATGCTTTCACCCCGGATCTAGAGGCGGAGAGGGCGCGATGTAAAAGCGCTTGTGATAGATTCAACAATGCCGGCGATGTATCTCGACGACGACGGGTGCAGCTTTGGAGAGAGTGAGTAGTTTTACAGCCAAAGGCTATTAATATGTTCTTTGCAGTATCCTACCATTCTGTATGCGATAAGAGCCTATTATCTCAATCTCTCTCTTTTTTTCCTTTCGTTTTCCATCATGGTTTACGTTATCCCCGAGTCTCGATCTGACTGGTATCAGAAATACTGACTAGTGTAGCATCGTCCAAGATGAACGCCCCATGCCACCTCCGGCGGGAGATCCTGTAGCTGACGCTCGGCTCTTCGAAGATGATCCTTGGGTCGAGGCTCCCATTCGGACAGATTATGGGTACAACGTGAAGCTTGGAAAGGGTGTTTTTGTCAACTTCAATTGCGTGATAATCGACACCTGCCCGATAACAATTGGGGCTAGAACGCTGTTAGGGCCCTGTGTAAACCTCTATAGTGGAACTCACCCCCTGGACCCGGCACTCAGGAATGGAACGAAAGGGCCAGAGCTAGGAAGTGAAATCCATATCGGGGAAGATTGCTGGATCGGAGGTAATGTGGTCATTTTGCCCGGAGTCACCATTGGAAAAGGGGTCACAGTTGGGGCTGGCAGTGTTGTTACTAAGGTATGTCCTGTCTGTAGCATCGCCGTCCGGATATGCTGCTCCGATACTCATAACCATAGGACATCCCGCCCTTTCATGTTGCAGCTGGAAATCCTGCAAGAATTCTCCGCCGTATAGAAACCGCGATGGCGGACGCCCAAGAATAGTGCTGTCGTATCTTGAGGATGGGTATCATATATCAAGAACCAACCTTGTACATGTGTTAGAAAATTTTGATGTTCTTCAGCAGTGGAGTAGATATCGCATACCATGCCGGAAAATTCCACTGCGGGTACATTGTGCCGAACATACTCTACTAGAATTGAGGCAGAAGAGCATTGAGCGACACCAACAATGCATACTCTGGGAACACCCACAGCTGCGGACAACTGTGTCTCTGAGCCTTTCGGTAGGCACACCAGCCTAATTTTCTGCTCAGGGGGTAGCGTCTGGGATGCGGATGCAACGAGAGAAGACAAAGGGGCAAGGAGGCTGACAGGTAAAATGGAACGGCAGACAAACACAGCAACAAGCTTGCTTGGTTTTCCGGCTTGCTTGCGGTCTATTTTCTCAGTTGCCATTTCAGAAAGAGGTTCGTTTATAGCAGCAGATGGGACTTTGCACATTGTTTCAAGAGCTCGAGCTGTAGAATTGAAGCCCACCGTAAGGTGCTTTGATATGTCCGGTGGAATGGGCGTCACAGAAGCCCTGGTCTGGATTCCCAGGGACGAGCTCATCTTGCGCTTCCGCTTCTTCCAGCGGCGACCCCGTGAGGGGTCAATTTCATGCCGATGTTCACCCACAGGGGTAAGCAACCTGAGACAAGTCAGCCCCTGATATTCGCACCTTGCTGTGTCCAGAACAGCACATTTCCATTTGACGGAGTGATTCAATGCAAGTCTTTTCTGGGTGTATGATGTGGATGATAGGGAATGGGCACGCATCATCCCGGTTCCATACCGACAAAGCAGGTCTAAGATAACCGCTTGGTGTTTTTGGGGTATATCTTGTCTGTAAGATATTAGCTGGATAGAGCAACCAGTTAAAGTGGGCTAGCTACTCCGTACATAGAGGTTGAAACCATTTTCGCTAATTGCTAGTTGAAAAGCTGTTTGGTGTTGGCTGAGAGGGAAGAGTTTCGCAGCACGGATTTGGCAGCTCAGAAAGCAAATTAATATCTCCGGGCGATGATTGGCCGACAGTTAACCCCACAAAAATACGCGTGTACGACGGCCGCCCACAGCAGTGAAATGGGAGTAAAGACAAATCCCTCAAAATGTCAGAAATCGTCTATCTGTGTTCAGTCTGGCCATAATGGAACACCAGTCAGCTGTGATTTGAAAAGCCCAAGACTTGTGCATGTTCCCGCAAACAGTCCCTTGAAACCTGGAATGCATACTGTGTATATTGACCTCCAAGCACCATTAGCTTCATCCAACTACTCCTCTTTGTCCATGTGAAGTGAATATTTCCTGGCACTCATACAACTATCAGCTACTCAACAAGATCCTTGGGGTCTTGAGCAAACATTTGCCCACATCTGGAAATGCCAAGAGCAGGTTTTGCATGAAGAAAGGCAGAGTTGGAGGATTGCCCGTCCAGCTCTTTCAGCAAGGGTCCGAAAACCGTGCCCAGGGTCCTGGACCCAGGATCCAAGACAGCTCCATAATACAGCAGAGACAACAGAGTTGGCTGGGCCTTATATGAACTGAAAATACAAAGATACATACTCTGCTGTTCTATGGGGTGCTGGCACAATACAGGGGAAATGCCCTCTTCTCACATCAAAGGGCAGGCACTTTGTACTCTGTACAGAGTACTGTGGGGCAGCCAGTCCAGTTTGGCTCCGTGTTGCGGAAGCATTGTACACACAGGTAGTTATGTGGGGACGATGGGGTGGATAGAGCGTTTACTATTTACCTCTGCCTGGGCGCGCTGCTCAGGAATGCTGCATAGAGTGTGGGCTGAGCATGATTTGTTTTCAGCCAGTCATATCGGGAGTGTTCTGGCCCCATGGAGGAGTTAAAAACAATGTCTCTATGTCTCCTGCATCTTGATAATTACAGCTCTGAGCCAAGCGTCACAAAGAAAGGCTGCATCACCGTAATTACAGTACAGTAACGGGCCGAAATATTACAGCTGACTGGCTGCCCGCCGACCAACCAGGCAGCAGAGCAGCAGGAAGCTCCCACGAGGTTCAGCCAATCAGCGTGCTTCCTCCGATAAACGGATAGCAGCCTGTTCGTCGGTCAACCGTCCAACAACCACCGCTGCTGCTCGCTGCCGTTCCTCTCAAGTGACAAGGCTCGGCACAGCATCAAGACATGCCAGTCCCAGACACTGTCAAGCTGCATTCATGTTCACATTAGCTTGAAGATCTCTCTCCCCTGCTGTTTGTCCCTTTTCCGGTCTGGTTTTCTGTGCGTGCTGAGTTCGTGATCAGCATTTGGATTCCCGTGGGAAACCAAGTGCCTTCAATCTAACTCTGGTCCTTGTTGACTTCTTTCACCCCCACCATTCCAATAACCTCACTTGTCTTCCGGATGCCTGGATGACGCGTTAGGCTGCTCATTCGGCACGACTTCCCTCCTTCAGATATTTGCTGCGACGGACGGTTCTTCTGACGGCCCATTCCACTCGTGCCCCCAAGCCCCGTGTCCCTTGGCCTCGGAACATTTCGTTTTCTGGATACGCTGGATAACGACCGTGGGTGGAAGATGCCATGGTAGCTTGCCCGCTAGATGTATCTAGCTGCTCACAGCTTGCTGCCTCCAAAGAAGTCGACCCTCCGTTGTCTCCAAACGAACTCATGGAAGATTCAGACCCGCGCTCTACCCGGAAACGACCTCGTCTTGACAGTGGGAACGATTCACTTGAATCCATGGCGATGTCCACCCACAGTCCCGTTGGCGGGGATGACGATCGGCCAAGTCAATCCAACTCGAACCCTCCTGCTCCTCTTCCTCCCACCTCGCGCCCTTCCACGCCAGAGTTCCCGTCTCCTCACCGCCCGGCCAGCAGGGTGACAATTAACATGAAATCTCCTGTCCTGTCTAACCCACAAGGCACGGTGTCTGACGAGCTCTCAATAACCCCGAGCGCCGAAGCACAAGGTCACGATCCTTCGTCTCCACAACGCCATCCCTCTCCTGACGTACCAACACAGAATAACAAGGCGATCTCAATAACTTCGTCCCCTTCACCGACTCCAAGCGTGAAAATCGAAGTGGCCGAACTGGAGGATATAGATCAGTCCCCAAGCACGTCGAACTGGAGATCACTCGGGGACGCTCTCCAGGCACCTTCTATGGTAGAAGAGGTGGTGCAAATTCAGGAACAATTTTCTCCTATCGAATCATTTCCTCGTGTTCGACAGAGTTTTGACAATCGAGAAGTAATAGATGACATCCGGAACGTCATTGAAAAGGGTAAGTGGTTCGCTTCTGATCAGCCACCCAGTTTATGAACCCCTTACTAACCGAATTCGGTGCCCCATTCATAGGCCATCTGCGCGCTACACCCTTTTTCGTAGCCGTCAAGCAGTGGTTCGATCAATGCGTCAACAACCTAGATCAGATAACTTACGAGACGTTTGTCGAAGATCGTGATTTCTGGGAGGAAATTCCAGCCGTAGTGGAAGGTCTAGTGCGACGGGAGTAAGACTACCTCCAGAAATTAAGTATTTGCCTTGGGTTAACACCTTGGTAGGGCGGAACTTCTCCCTGATGAAGGGGACGGCCCATGGCAGTGTTTGCATGGGTTCTGCGTCTCCTATGCAGAACTCGCCCTCCACATCGTACAGTTGGACAACATACTCCTGCGAAGCTATACACCGGAGCCCAACCGTCGCTTGGACTTGCTTTCGAGGACATACTGGAACCCTCTAGGTTGGATTCTTCAAGCCAAGCACATTCCATTTTACAAGACAATGGAGAATGAGTACGGTCTAGAGGTTGCAACCCTCCTGGCTCAAATAAATGAGTCTATCTGTCGGCCAGAGATGAACACACTTCAGGTCATCGCCGAGTTTGCCAAGTTAATATTGGAGGTGCTTCCCCATCAGCCAATACAGGCACCCAATTTTGCCAATGCTCTATCCGTCATCCACAACATTGTTGAATCCGGATGTGAAGCCAAAAAGTTCGCGGCGGATGGAGCATTGTTCAAGCCATCGACATTCGTGGAGATCATTAGCCAGGCTTACGAATTCTTTCGTTCTATTGATGTCACGTACCAGGCACTTATCTCCAAGAAAGCAGCATGGGTTGCCGGTGACATCAGTGACACCATCCTTCGTGCAATCAGCTGTACCTACTCTAACATCTGTGCGTTTGACCACCAATTAGGTATTCAGATCGGCCAGGATCTTGAAATTATATACCCCGAGGGCACCACACCTAGAGATTTCGCCCAGATTATCCATTTTGGCTGGAAGTTCAAGGTCCTCAAAAAGTACATCACAGATGGAAGGATGGAGTTACGTGTCCTGGGGGTAGATACAATGCAACAAGATCTTGTCAACGTCTGGAAAACCAATATCAATGGCAATCCAGCGGGAGTTGATTATCCAATTACAAGGTATCTTGTGAATTTTATCAAGGACAATAAAATAGTCGACTACATTGTCGGGGTTGATTCACATCCTCAGTTGATTTCTCGAAGCGGGAATATTGTGGGATTTCTTCTTGTTACCGGCACGTACACGGACCAAGACACCGACATCATTTGGAAAACAGTAACCGAGAGCCATGATCCACGCACTGTTTCTGAGGTTCTGTCGATGTTAACTCGTACATTTAGCATGCATTCCCAGGGCTCTTCCTCTCTCCTTTATTTATGCACGAAACTGATCGAATTACCCTTGAACCGATTTGACGCAAGAATGATAGATTATTGCGAGCAACTCTTGAGCACCTTTAGAATGAGGTATGGGGATAGGGGGAGGAACACTCCCGACTACACGCCTGTAGATGTTGTGCCCCTACGACTGTGCGTCCGTTTGATTCGAGAGATTACTTCTGTTCAGGAAATTTCCCCGGAACAAAAGTCTCACCTTCAAAGATTCGCCAGTCGGCATCTCTTTCTTCTGATCGAACACGGAATTAACGATCGTGACAAGATGGAGCTATTTGAACAGTGCATTCAGGATATTTCTGAGATGAATGAATTCACTGTCGGAAGCATAAACGCTCTAGTTGCTTTGATTTCGCCATTTGATACCCAGGACATTCGTCGGCTAGCATTAGAATTTGATTTTACCAGCTTGATTATTGAAGAGCTTGCCCATGCTCTTAATTCTGATCCTTCGAGTTTCAGTGAACCGGAATTGAGCCCTGATTTGACCCCTCGAATTCAACTCCTTCAGCGAATTGTGGAGAAAGTGCCAGAAACCGTCAGTGCAGATTTAGCTGATAAGTTGTGGGATAGCCTTTTCTCTTCAAAAAAAATCGGCGATCAAAATCGAAGCTTCGCCTGGGACATATTGTCGAGGTGTGCATCCCGCTGTGGGAAAAAGAATCCGTTCCTGGAACGATGCATGAATGAATATCTTCCCCGCATTTTGCCAGACGACTTCACTGCGGATATTCTCTCCTTTGCAGAACAAGCCGTCAGTTACGACATTCGATTTCACGAGGGCCCAGTCCTTGAAACGCACGAAGTCATAGCTGTGCCTGGGATGGATCGTATTTGGCATATCATTCTCACCGCACCATCGGTTGATATTGGAATTAGAGCTATCAATTTTGCTATCGAGATTTACCTCGACCATCCGCTAATACGCAAAGCCCCAAGATCGGCAGCGGAGGTGACACACGTGTCCCTGGTTGATCGCTGTGTTGATCAGCTTAGAGAAGCTGCTAACAAGCTCAAGACTTTCACCGACGGACCTGCTAGTGGAGAAGATGAGGCTATGGTGATTGTTCCGTCCTCAGATGAGTCGCGGATGGAGGAGCTGAAGTTCAGTCGTTCTCTACTCTTCTTAAAGCAGCTGCTCCACGGCTTACGGACCAGGCCCCAGTATACTCCCCCCCAAAGCAGTCCACCAATATTACCGCTGAGGAATGAGGAGATGAAAGGAGAAATAATTCAAATTTCATATCAGGCATTCAATGGAAACTCGCAAACGCAGATCCGTACTCTTCGCACCGGAGATCTTGCAACCTTGTCCGAATTATCGCAGCGCATCGCTCGTCTAACTGGATTCTCGAAGTTTACTTTGATTACTGGCGGACGATTCCTTGATCTAGTAGGAAACGGTAATCGCACTTTGCGTGACCTGAAACTTCCATCGACGGGACTGCTTATTGTTAGGAAAAATTTCGATGCACTTGAAGGCTCGTTTGGCGGCAGGAGGCAATCTCTGACTCTGGTTGACTCAGAAGTGCTGAAACATTTCAACGATCTCTATGAGTTCTTGAACCTGGATGAAAGATTGTCGAAAGAAGTACGACCTGAACACTTATTTTTCAAGTGGATGGCTGGCTAACAACAATACTAGATATTTGACTTTTTGATTCTTTTCCCGCCGCAGCAACGAGTTCGAGAGTTCGTGCGGTCCGCGGACACTCCGGAATCTGAGATGTTTCCTCTAGACAGGCCGTACAAACTTCTCTACTCTATCAGCTCCCTGATGGTATGCGTCAGGGAAGAAGCATTGGAAGTAAGATATATCTCCTTCCTGACAAACACAAGCAAACATAGTAACACACGAACCAGGCCAATCCTGACCAAGAATTCATTAGCCGCACTATCAAAAATTTGGCTACCTTTTTGCTCCACCCTGAGATGTCCGAATCTTTGGATAGCAGCCTAGTGAAGCTGACATTCGCTTGTAATTTTGTTGACTGCTTACTGGCAGCACTGACAGGTATTCCTACGACATCTGTTTCGTAGATGATCATTACTGCTGACACAATTCCCCTTAGCAAAATCAACCGCCGACAACTCCGAACCCTTTTTTGATGACCCTTCGGGACTGGTTACCTGCCTTCTGAAATTTGTGTTTCTCGGGAAAACCAGTTCTCAGCTCCCACTCGCCGAATTTCCACTTCAAAAATTGATATCAAATTCATTTGCTGCCCTATTAGAAGCTTCAATGCATGATAAAAGAGTTTGGGAAATATTCAAACAGAATACCGACATGGATGATATCGTGTTGACTCTCCTGCTACGTGATCCCAGACCTGCTGTTCGCCAAGACATTGCAGGGATCATTTTTGCCCTATGCGGCATGTCACCGCAGCAAAAGCAGTCATCAAAAGCTTCTCCGAAGGAACTAGGACTCTCTGAAAAGCTAGAAACAACCACCGGGATTGATATTGTAGGGACTCTGTGGAAATCTCTCACTTCGTTGATTCCCCGGAGTATCGAATTTCCTCGGACTGCTCAGCAATTCTTTGAGGTCGCTTTGGTTGTTTTTCAGACGGTAGGAAGCTTGTCACCCGAGGACTTAGTTTTCGGTGATTATCTGAAGCAGTGGGGAAATGTTCTTCTTTGCCATCGAAGTCATGAGGTGAGTTGACCTTCAATCTCCCCCTTTTTGGCCCACGATTAATATGTTCTAGTTTGTTGGGCGGGAACCCATGGACTGCATTGTTTTAGGATTTGCACACCTCTTGAAAAAGTGCATGGAGCTTTCGCAGCCAAAGAGCATCATAGTAGACACCAGGTAGTCTTGTGTTAGGCCTATCCCAATCTATTATTCCCTACTAACTATGAACTAGAGATCTCATGGACCAGCTCTTCGCGACCTATTTATTTCCTGATTTGTCAGAGCAAATCGATACCGAGGTCATTGAGCCAGCTATACCAGTGATGCACACGGAAACTCGCCAGGAGATTTACAATGTATTACTTTTGCTTTGCGAAGACGAAACGAACTGTGAGCAGATGCTCGAGATTTTGGAAGATGTAATCCCACGAGGTTAGCTACATATACATTCGAACACCGGTACTATGGCTGTGCTTACTTTGGCAGTAGATTATACCTATGATCCGAGTTGGGTCTTCGATCGTTATAAAACAATCCGATCGCCCGAAGGATATGCCGGGTTGAGGAATTTATCCAACACTTGTTACCTCAACTCCCTATTTACCCAACTGTTCATGAATATCGACTTCCGCAAATTCATGCTGCAGGTTCCAGCGGAGGAGACAGATCCAAACCAGAGACTTTTAGTAGAAACGAAAAGGCTATTCGCGTACATGCAAAACACATGGCAGAAAAGTGTAGACACGCTTCCTACGGTAGAAGCTATTCGGACTTTCGAAAATGAAATGATCGATATAACTATTCAAATGGACGTCGACGAGTTCTATAACCTTTTATTTGACAGATGGGAAGGCCAGATCCAGTCAACGGAAGACAAGAAAGCATTTCGCTCTTTCTATGGTGGTCAACTAGTCCAGCAGATCAAATCAAAGGAATGTGAACACATCTCGGAACGAGTGGAGCCGTTTTCTGCAATTCAGTGCGACATCAAGGGGAAAAGTGGCTTGGAAGATAGTCTGCGGGCTTATGTGGAAGGAGAAATGATGCAAGGAGGTAAATCTTGTTTCCTCAGTATTGAAGCTTGTTTCAACCAGCTGACTCGACGTGGCCAGATAACAAGTACTCATGCACATCATGTAACCGACACGTTGATGCTGTTAAAAGGTACAGTTTTTTGCGCTCAAGGGGCGAATCAAGCTAACGGTTGATAGGGCGTGTTTGAAAGATATTCCGGACAATCTAATCTTTCACCTGAAGAGGTTTGATTTCGATGTCAGCTCTATGATGAGAAGCAAAATCAATGACGAGTTTCATTTTCCGGAACGCATTGATATGGCCCCGTTCAAGGTTGAACATCTTAGCAATGCGGATGCACCTGTGGAAGCCGATATTTTCGAGCTCGTTGGGGTTTTAGTTCATAGTGGTACAGCAGAGTCTGGCCACTATTATTCCTACATCAAGGAACGCCCAAGCCGCAATTTTGGCTCGTGGGTGGAGTTCAATGATGCCGACGTCAGCAGATTTGATCCTTCCAAAATCCCAGACCTGTGCTTTGGAGGCATAAATGATCCCTATCACGGACCGAACTTAGGCTCAGTTCGCTTTAATAAAGTTTGGAACGCGTACATGCTTTTCTACCAACGCGTATCCAGCATGGAGGTTGCCCAGTCCGAGTACAAGCTGTCTTTGACTGACACCCCAGTTACTGTACCTCTCCCTCTGGAGCTTGGCAATCATATCGCCATGGAGAACGAATTATTCCTTCGGGCCTACTGTCTTCTAGATCCTAATCATACTCGCTTCATACTTGGCCTTGTCCAGCTGTGCAGGAAGGCTGTCCTTTCAGGGGGCGCGAAAAATTCGAAACTCCAAAAGGCGGCAGTGTACGTTGCTCTAGACGCATTGGATCAGCTTGTGTCGAGAACAAAGGAGGCACCAGCCTTGGAACAGCTGTTCGCAGAACTCGACCTAGCCACCGAGGAAAATCCCTATGCCGCGTTCTGGGTTCTTGAATGGACGGCGAATCGCCGGTTTGGAATTCGAAACCTCCTTCTAAAGTGCCCAAATACCGTCACTCGTGCCGGATTTTCTGCGTTGCTAGTATCCTCCCTGGCTCGTCTGAAGGATCGGTTAGCTGACCCAACTCTGGAACCAGTCAGGGCGACGCGCTACTCTCAGGAATACACAATCTTACTCGAAAATATTCTAACAAACCTTCATCATCTGTGGAGTGGAATCCACCTGTATTACCGAGCGTGGGATGACTACTTTGAATTCATCTTGAGCATTGCCAAGTTTGGTGAATTTGAGGTTGAAGTAATTCTGGACCATGGATTCATGCTAAAGTGCCTGGAGATAATCTGGCTGGACAAAGAGGATAGTAAGAAACTGAAATGCCACTATTCAAACTACTTTCGGCTGATCGAAAAAGGGCGAAAATTTTCACTGTTCAAGCTCATGGAGTTGCTCTATTTCCTTTTCAATTATATTGACTGGAGCCTTCCTCCATCAGCTGAGATGCAACAACGGACAAACCAAAACGGAAAATTTTCTATGTCAGTAGAAGAAGCTGACTTGATCTGTCCTCTTGGGCGGCACAAAGAATTGGCTATTGTGAGGAAAATTATTGAGCAGCAGGCGAACCCAGCCGTGACCAGGCAGATTCTCAGGCTTCTTGTCGAGTTGCCTTCTCCCAATGTGCTCCTGGACAGCGTCTACAAGGCTATAGAGGAAGGGCTAGCGTCTGAACCTTCAGCGCTCATCGTGCCATTCCTTGAAGCAACACTGGTGTTCTGTGAATTTGCGCCAGATGCCGAAAGAATTCTAGGGCTTGTGGATTTCGCTATTAAAAGCGTCGAGACTCTTGATGATGCTGGTGCGGAATTTATCGGGTTCTTACGAGGACTTCTAGAAATACAAAATAATAAGATCGGACAGGATGACGCCTGGTTCTGGTGTCTTGTGCTTGAACGCACTCCAGAATGGGGTCCTTGCCTTCTCCTATTTGAGGATCAGACGGTTCGAACTGGTGTATACGAGTTCCTGCAACAACTCATATTTTCAAAGGAAGACGAAGAGTTGCCAGAACCACATCGTCAGTATTACCAGAAAATTGGTAGAGGACTTGCACAAGCTTGTCTTGAGAAGTTACAGGCTTTGTATCTTGGAGGAGTATCGTCTCCACTGACTATCAATGCTCGATTGCTCGAAGCTATCACTCTTGTGGTCAATCATTGCACGGAAACGTACTTCGATGAGAACGAGAACGAGGAAGACTTGGAATTTCTTCAGCAGGCATCGAGTAAGATCTTTCTCCGTTTGAAAACACTGAAGTCGTTTAACTAAACAAACCTGACATAGGCATCCTCGCATCAGTTGGACAGATGACAGTGGATGTACCCGAAGAGTTTATATCTGGTACGTATTGATGTTTTTTTTTTTTTTTTTCTCTTTTAAGTGATTTCTCTGCCCAGTGGTTAACGCGCGTTGTTCCTTTCTCTGTCAGGATCTGACTTCCCTTCAGATGCGTGGGAGGATAATTCAATGATGGGAAGCGACTCTGACATTGGATTTGCCGGCTCACCATGAACACAAATTGGCATTGGCATTCCTTTTCTCTCTTCGATTCATTACAGCGCAAGAACGTGGGATTTCCTGACAAAACGGACACCGGCGTTTATATGCAAGGATTCGCTCATAGACATTTTACTGGAGCAGAATAGAAAGCTTCAAAGGAGAACCGGGTTTTATATGGACAAAAAGTTGGCAATGGATTTATTACAGGATGATGATTATTCTTTGATGCGGGAGTCCATTTTCGTCTACAGATCCTACGATGACACGAAGGGAGCGCAATGAAAGCATTTGCACGGCGTTTTTTTGTTTCCTATTCTCCGAAGAAAGATATTTCAATTGAAGATTTCCTGCCTCGGAATTTTCTGGACCTTGGGGCGCCTTTTACTTACAGAAATAGCGTTCTCTCCGGGAAATCAATTGAAAACGACTGTGCACTTGACATTTCAGAGTTGTTTCATGACTATTAGCTATCAATTTCTTCACCTTTGCTTTCTTCTTTGCCCTTGAGTTTGGGAGGGTGAGGCCTGGTCATTTAACGTTGTTCCTCCACCTCTGTTGTGTTTTTCCTGTTGGAGAGATCAACATGCTGTGTCCATTTGTTTGTGGTTGGGACAGCACTCTTTCATACTCACTTTGCAGGCAGGTGTATGTGGGCGTCGAAGTCGACTCTCCCAGCAATCAATCAGCCACGCAAAGATTCATTATGTTCCCATTTTGTTCCCCCTTTTCCTTTCATTTTTCGGCCAGGACGTTAGGCGGAGAGTTGCGACATGTTATCATACATGTTGATGTTAATATGGTGTGCATGTATGTACAAATAGTACAGTTCTTGACAGAATGTATAGTACTCTTTGTACAGTACAAGGAATGCTGGGTTTCCCCGATACATATCAATACGTACATAGCATTGAGATTGGGGCATAAGGCCGCCGGCATTCAGGGAGTTTGAGATGTCATCTAGTATCATTGTCGAGCAGTCTGCTCTGCTAGATCTTTTCTTTTCTTTCTTACCCCTAAGAATATTAGGTGAGTGGAAACTATTTAAAGATTGGAATGCATTCATCTATTGTCATTGCTTGCGTTGGTGCTTCAACTTAACATGGCGTCCCGAACATATTCGCTGCAGATTACCGACTAAAATGGTTTTAGTCTTCCCTTACCCCAGAACACCCATAATATGATCACGAAGTATGAAATAACGGCATCCTTTCCAAGGTCTAAAAGCTTTGTCATACATTATTCAATTCTTTTCTTTCTTTTGCATCAAATATCCTCCCAGAGAAAAAGGGGGTCGTTAAAAAGTCGACTGTAGTTGACATTGGAGCGTCAGTTGTGGTTATCGAGAGTAAAAGCCCAGGCGTATTTTTGTTATTAATTGGTATGTCGACGGCTTAAATTATGGCTCATAGCTTCAATCCTCGCGTCTTCCTCGACGATGCGTTTCTCGCCAGGCAGGATAATCTATGAATTAATTAGATTTAAATTTTGACGCCCAAGCTCCCGCAGAAAGCCGAAAAAACTTACAGCACGATCCACTTCATATGGCAGGCCACGATGCTTCCCACGAATCATCATGGCGCATATTACCAATTTGCCAACGATGCCAAATCTTCCTGTCAACGCAGTATTTACGTCTGGGTGACCAAGACTGAGGCCGACGTTTCCGCTGGGGTGAGTTGTTAGATATTGCTAGGGTTCATGAGGCCGGAAGGGAATGAACACATACTAGGCAGAAATTACTTCGAAGAAGATGGAAAACATGTTGAATCCCTTTCAACAAAAAGGGGTTTGTTAGTCCTCTTGAGCTTCCAGAGTTGAGTTATGAGGGAAATTTTCACTCACAGGATTATTCGGATCGGCTATTTTACTGCCCTCGGCGATGGCGAGCACAAAAACACCTAAGAAGACATACCACAAGTCGAAGGCCAGCTGCATTTTGATATGGACACCCAGATAAGACGTCCGCTTCATCTCTACTAGTTCTTCTGTAGAATCGAATATGCCGAGGGATGATTCTTCGTATGTATTGGTTCTAAGGGTTAGTTATTAGTTAGTCGATATTACTGTAAAGCAGAGGCAGTGAGATTATGCTTACCCTCTGACACTAAGAGCAATTGGAAATACGGAAATGTACATCATTACTGAGATAAACTAGTTAGAACCTGCATTCGAAATAATACGTGATGGGGCCGCTTACCCATCAAGCTGAACTGAGCAGCAGGATGTACATTTGCAACGGCGAAGCTAGAGGTTCCTGTAGTGCGTGCAGACGCAGTTTGAAACAGTGCAGCACAGAATCGATGCCATCCGGATTGAATTGCGGTGACCTCCGGGTAATGGAGATCCAGGATTAAGAACAAGATGACGTCGAAGCCATTGATCAAAACCAAGCTGCCAAATAGCAACCAAGTCACCTTGCTTGGGAAGAGGACGGTGTAGCAACGTCTAGGATGGTCCAGCAAAAAGTTCAGCGGTTCTTTAATCGAAGAACTTTCGGGAGTAAGTTTGAAGGCTATCCAGATGATCAACCGCAGCATGCATGGGTACGCAGTATTCCCAACATAGATCAAAAAGGTCATCCACAGCATTGGGAAAGTAGAGTCCCGAAAGCTGATCATGGAGTCTGGAGTGAGAGTGAATCCGAGGTTATTGAATGTTGTCATGGACGAATAAAACGCCCTTGAAGCTTTGATTAGAGACCATTGGTGGTGAAAAGGTAGAACGCAATTTCTTACCACCAGGTAGGATTGACTGCACACTCCCCACGGACGTAATCCCGGTATTTTGGATTGGAGTTCCATATCCACGCAATGAGGCCTATGGCCCCAATGATGTGCCCAATGACATAGTAACCTGGGATAGAATATTTAGCATGGTGACACGGATGGAGGATTTGCCAGCGCATGCGGCAAGGGCCATGGTACTCACCGCCGGCAATTTTCAGCAGCAATCTCAAGCTGCGATATTCAATGCCGCCAAGCTCCTCCTTTTGATCCTCAGTCAACCCCAAAAATTTGGAATTTCTTCCTACCGTGGGGTTATAAGAGAGATACGGCAATGCTTGAGTGGCGGCACCTCTGGATGAAACCCTGTTCATTGGGCCTCTGGACCTGGACCTCGATCTACTTCTGGAGGAACCTCCAATAATGAAAGCGGATGAGGCAGCATGTTCAAAGGAAGCAGCATGAGAAAGCAGTCTTTCCATGGCAGGGAGCTTTCGATAGGCGTCAGAAGGGCCGGCACCAAACGGATCATCGATGCTCTTTGTCATATCAGCTAATGGGATCAGGTCAGCGTTTAATAATTTTTCGCCTCAGGTTGTAAGGAGGAACATGATAATACCCACCATCGTCCTCATCATCAACCTCCTGCACCTTGTAGCCTGGTTAAAGCGGGTTAGTTTGAAATTGCGTTACTTAAAAGGATATTGCAGTAGCTACCCTTCTCAAACTCCCGTGGGCCAGGGATTCTGAGTGCCTTCCCACGGTTCGGCTTATCGAAGGTGTCAGAGGAGAAGGTGATGTGGCCAGGCTGTGCGGGCGGTCTTTCAGCGTTGTTGTTCTCGGACGACGGACTCTGATCCTCTGCCGTTGGAGAGTCCGATGACTCGTCCCTCTTGGCAGCTGGCCTCTGCCGTAGATTGACCAAATCGGCCTCCTCATGAGCAGGGTCGGGACGCAGGACTCTGATGTTGTGCGGGTACGCTGTGTCGTCGCTGCTCTGAGCTTTTGGGCTCACCGAGAGCAGTTGAGCACGAGAACGCTCTGAGGACGGCAGCCGCGACAATTGTACTATCTTTCAATCAGTATCTATAGATATGCATATATGTAGTATGCATGAAAGGCCAGGCAAGAACAAGGAAGTGGGACAAGCTGGGGAGGAGTACCGATGTCCTTGAACTTCTTCTCGAACCAGTGCAGACGGACGTAGACGACGACGACGTTGACGAAGCACATGTTGCCCAGCATCGGGAGGAACCAGACAGTGATCTGCTGGTAGAGGCTCATCTCCTTGAGGTCGACGCTGCCACACATGATGATGTCAGGCCACGAGCCACACATGCGCAAAAACCAGCCACAGCAGCGGGAGCCGCAATATCAAAAATATCATCAAAACGCATCAAAGAAGACGAAGAAGAAGAAACGCACGTGTTAAGGCCCGTGACGGTGGAGCCACTGACGGCCTGGAAGAAGGCGTCAATCCCCCTCATATTCTTGATCGGATAGAGGACGATGGTGCCGACGATGCTGAGCGCGAGTATATAGACATCTGGCTTTTGCGATTCCCAATCAGGACCCTGTCTCCGGAGGCAGCCGGGTGAAACTGGGGGGTGCTTCATGTAGCGCACTCACAGTGTATCCGGATGAAGTTGAGATGAGGCATACGCAATGTTGGGTACCACATCTTGACGACCGCACCCACAACACAGCCTCTTCAGACCGAAGAGAGCTGGATCCGAGTTGAGGTTTTAATATGGTGAGTGAGGGCTAAAGAAAGATGAAAGAAACCTCGACGATCAACTTTCCAGTGGAAATAAATGTCAGAGATCCAAGCCGGACATGGTGAAGATGGCGAGGGCAGAAATGAGTTCCAAAGCAAAGCAGTGCGGCCTGGGAAAGAGATGGAGGCAAGGGGGGAAAAAAGTATATAAAATATTAATAAAATGGAATGAGGAGGGGCGAGGTATTCAGCAGGACGGCAAGGCCGTGAAATACGGGATTAAAATAAAGAGGAACAGAGACGAATAATTCAAAAAAATAATAAAAAATAAAAAATAAAAAAATTCATATGCTTCAGCTCTGTGAGCCATTCCAAGGTTTTGCCATTCAAATACGATCGGTTACAGAGGCTGTATGTCCCTGTTCGCGGTGCTATCCTGACCAGCTGCGTCGGTGACAAGCGTCCGTCCACTCTCCTTGGCCGCTCTCCCCCTGTCCCCTGCGCACGAAACCCGTGGTTTTGTTTTTAGTCTTTTTTTCTTCTTCCCCTTTTTTTTTTTTTTTTTTTTTTTTTTGGTTTTCCCGCCAAGACGCGAAAAATACCTGGCGTCGCTACAGTGCTCGAAGGTTTGCTGGGAAAGTTTCGAGCGGTTCACGGCGACCTCACCCTGGCTAGCTTTGAAGCTGCAAGCTAGGGCTGTTACAGCCACACCTTGCAACCGGACGATGGCGTGGATGCCCACCCTCCCCAAGGTATGATACTCTACCGTACATCCAGCACATCCCTACATACATACTCCGTCCACCGTACGGAGTACAGACCCTGACGATCTGGTTCCGGCCTGTAGATGAGCCCATCTGCCGGCGCCTCTGGCTGTATCTGCAGTCTCCCAGCACCGCCAATGGCAGCTCTGTCGAGTACCACATGGTGGTACGGAGTCCCTTGTCTGCATCAAAGGAATCCGAGGACGACAAGCAGCTTTCGGGGGTTCGGAAACTCCCACTTTTTTCGTTGGCGGCTGTTCCTTTTGGTTTTCTGTCCCCGAAAAGCTTGACTCGCGATTCACGCCATGCATTGGCGCATCAGCAATTAACCTTGTCACATCCGTTGGTGGTTGACTTCACTAGCGCCATGGTTCCTCTCTTCCCCATCAACAAAATCCCTCACCGCGGCAAGAAGAGTGAAAAATTAAAAAAAAAAAAAAAAAAAAAAAAAAAAAAAACAAGCAGAGAGCTCCCACTTGTGGCCTCCCAACCCTCCACTCCCGTCGCAGACCAATCTTCCGCCGGCCCTATTTTGGTCTTTCCCACATTATGTTGACGCTCAGACCAAGACACCGTGGCATCCGTCCCCGCCCCTTGTTCCACAGACAGCATCCATCTCGGGTTGACCGCTTGTGGCTGTTGGACAGCCTGGAGCCCGGCCCCCGCCGTGATTTAATGCTGATTTTCTTTTTCCTTCTTTCACTCCTTTCTTCCTTTTGTAATTTTTTTTTTTTTTTTTTTTTTTTTTTTTTTTTTTAATTCCAGGGATGATGGAGCCCAGCAGGTGACTAGACTGGGGATGTTCCAATCTCAACGGAGTGTTTCTGCGCCGCCCCGCAGGTTAATCGTCACTCCAACAGAGATCCCAACCGTAGCGAAGCCATCTCCGCTTTCGCTAGATATGGGACATAACTACGGGTCGCAACTAGGTATCCAACCTCCTAGCGGATCACCGCAACTTGAGGCCCGGCTGCGGGCTCCATCACTTGGAATTTCAGCCTTCCATAAACATGATTCGACACAAAATATCATCCCATTTGAAAACGCCATCTCCAAGCAGCGGCCAGCTGCTGGTATGTGCGTTACGGATGTACGGTACACGCAGTGCCTTTTGGCTGGGCATTTGCGCCTTATATTCAGGGTGCCACATCTGGGATACACATCGTGCAAGAGTCTCTCTAGGGTCATTGGAATCTTCTGATGACGCTGGCCCGGGCCGCTACGAGCTCTTTTCCTTCAAGCCATCATTTTCGTGACCCGCCAGCGAGGGCAAACGTTAAGAAAATCCTTGTTGGCACGAGGCTCTTGCATCAAAAGCAATTATTTAAGGTTCCTCTTCCGCCTTCCCTTTGGAGTTTGGGCCCGATTTATGATGATCTCTATCACGGAGCATGAACCACCATCTCTGACCAGTGCCCTGCCTTCAAGGAATTATGGATATGAGTGGAAGCATTCTCCGCAACAAAAACTAACTAAGCAGTGGACAGCTAACGTCCATACTTCAGCACATGTCGGTGCTGCTAACAATTCTCTAGGCTTCATGAGTCGCGCATCTAACACACGTCAAGGAACGCTCCAAGAGAATAGGAGTGACTACAGTGTATGGCCGGTTTCCATAGACCAGGGTGTTCTTCCTGGCGACCTTGCCCACCCGCGGAATCATCTCCTAGGAGGCCATGCCCTCCTTTGTCTAGTCCAATCCAAAAGTACCGAGATACTTCGCGCTGTTGGGAGTAACTCAAGCCCACCTCCCAACCACGATGGATCGGGCAGGGATTATCCAAGAAGAGCTCACCCTGTGCCTTGGGTCATTCAGGGCACTCCAATCCCAAAATGAGGAAAAACAAAAGAAAAAAAAAAAAAAGAAACCAGCCTGTCTGTACCCGGTAATTCTGGTTCCATTTGCATCAATTACGTGTCTGCGCTGCTCCCCTCGGGTTCCAATCGGTCGTAGAGACGTTTAGCTGCGATAAGGACTAAAATAATTTCCGGCACGATGGCACCAATCATGCCGTGCTGTATGTATGGGCAAACCCCGTACAAGTATGGGCGACGGGCGTGCAGATATGCAGATATTCCAAATCCGCCCACCATGTTCAATTCCCCGGAGAACCCTACTATCCATGTGATAATTCAGGCTTTATCAATTTCCCACTCACCTGAAACAAGCCTCGTAACAATAGAACTCATTCGGGAATGGCACCCCAAGAGCTCATTTTGGTCGCTTGACCGTCTTATCAACGGGAACCCCGCAAGGCTCGAGACATAGGTCAGGGACGGTACTCACTCCTCGATATACATATGTAGACGGACAACCGTGCAAAAAGCGTCATAAATTCCGCTTTGTCCAAGGATCTACATTTGCCACTGGCCAGCTGTCGACATTGCCAACCAACCATCGGTAACCCGCAGCTCATCGGCTCGAAATGCCCATGACGTGAAGTGAGCGGGGAACGAAACTGAAACGCCAAAGCATGATTTTCCCACTTAACCAACTCCTCCGTAGCCTGGAGAGAAAACACTTTTCGTCTTCGCTCCTTTTGAATGCTCGCGAACCCGATCGATCGACCCGAGGAGGCTGTGCATCTCCACCTCGCTGGGATCCAGTCCCATGATGTTAGTATTGTATTTTATTTTATTTTTTTTTTTTCCTCACGCGTATCTCGCAAGACGCGAAACTAGCTTGGGGATAAGAAAGGAAAGGGAAGGAAAGAAAGCTGATTCGAGGGAAGGGAGGAGAATCTTCAGCCAGATTTGACTCCATGTGCTGGGCGGAGAATAGGTATGTAAATTAGAGTAACTCGGCCAATAGCTTGGATGACGCGATCCAACCGGCTGTCGGGTGCGTCATTTTAGGAGTAGGGAGACGTGATGGCCGAAAGAGAACAGCTACCTTTTTCCCTTTTTTCTTTTTTTTCTTTTTTTGTTTGGCTGGTTTGACTGTCGTTGAGTAGCTGAGCGAAGTTGTTCCGGCCTGACTCCCTAATAATGAACAATAATAATTCTTCCTCTGAGTCGGGAGTAGTTGCACGGCATAATTCCACGGACGTTGCATGGAAGTCTCGGGAAGGCCAATGGTGCCGCGAAAAAAAAAAAAAAAAGGCAGAGGGCAAAATAGTACTATCTCTAGCGAGTAATCTCGAAACAGTACAGCAACAAGGCAAGATGGCCGAGCGGTTAAGGCGTTGCACTCAAGCTGCCAAGCTTAGCCACCTTAGGTGGTTAGCATTGCAATGGGGAAACCCGCGGGAGTTCGAATCTCCCTCTTGTCAACATCAAAAAATTATCTTTTTTTTACGTTCGCTAATTTTTTTCCTTTTTCCTCCTGATCACTTCTGCATTGGATAATGGTCTTTGGAACATACACACCACGTAATTTCGAAGACCGGTGTGGTGTGGGAGATTTGTCTTTGTGGCGAAAAACCTACACAGTCCGATCCTCATGGTACAACACCGTGCATCCGTGACTCATCTGGTGGAAAAGCAAAAAAGCTGATACGAAACTTTAGGATGGTGACATTGGAGGCCGTAATGGGGAGAAATGAGAAGAAAAGCGGACGGTTCACTCCGTGGCCATACCCTTCTTCTTGCACACGTCAAATTTATCCCGATAATCTGGTCTAGATAATTTACAAATACCAATCCTACCAGTCCAGAAGAGGTGTCTCAATGCATCTATGTAGCCATCCATAAACCGGCCCAAATCCACAAACTCTCGAAAACGAAACTAGGGGAAATGAAAACCAATGGAAGATGAATTCAATCAACATACCTAAAAGCTCCCCTCCATACCATTAAGCCCCCGTTGCTGCTCATCGCGATGCAAGAAAACTCCGAAATTTGACTTTTCGACCAATTCAGCACGCTGACCTATAGAGTAGAAGCCAGCCAGGCTTTCCCCTTAACTAAGGCGGGAATAATCTCGGGAATAAAAGCAAAACACCCATATTGCCGTGCCAAGAATGGAAATTTATTTGTCGCACAGGATTACAAAAGCCGAGTCACCTCTAAACATCCTCGAATTCGTCCTCTTCTTCGTCGGATTCCTCCTTTTTAACCTCTGGTTCAAGCTTGATTTTTTTGGCCGCCGGCCCTTCGTCGCCCGGCGTGATAGGCGTGGGCGCGTTGGTCTGAGGCGCACTGCTTCCAGAGTCTGACTCTAACTCTCTCTTCAAGGAGCCATTGACGGATGGCGCTTTGGTCGCATCGGCCTGGTTTGCAGGCGTACCGACAGCGCTCGGTGTGATCTCCACATCTTCAAATTCGTCTTCTTCCTCATCGGATTCCTCTTCGCTCACATCCTCCTGGGCTTCTCTCTCCTTCTCGCGTGCCATCTCCGCATAATATGCGGCAACGCTGTCGTCTAGACTGTCGATATCTGGTTTCTGCTCCTCCTTAACCTCGGGCTTGATGTCCACCTCAGGCTTGATGCTCACACCATTAGGCTCTGTTTTAACCTGGGGAAGTCGGACATCCGTGCTGACAGTGGACTGCGTATGCCAAATAGGAAGAGCGTTCTGTTTTTCAAGTGCTGCTTTCCTAGCTGCTTCTCTGGCCTGCTCTTCTGCACTTTTTTCTGCAGTCGAGGTAAGCGAAACCTCAAGAGTCGATGCATCGGTCTTGGAAATCCCTCTCACTGCAGATTGCTTCGATACAACCACACCAGGCCTGGATGGATTTGTATATTGATTTCGAATCACATCAACCTTGTGATCCCAGGCCGTATCGAAATCATTTGGGGGCACCTCGACAGAGTCAATCTGTTTCAGGAGTTTCAGCATGGGATCCAGCTGTGCCATAAGCTTGCTGTTCTTTTCATGTCCGGTGCGATCAGCCGCGCCGCCACCCTCGACTTCATCCGCTCGCGAAAGCAAGTACCCACATCGTTGACATTCAAATCCGTCCAGGCCAACGTGGCTGAGAACCTCGAGCTGGGTCCATTCCGCTTGACACCGCAGACAGATGTACTCCTTCCTCTCTGCGCTCGGTGTGTATTGAGTTTTTATTGTCGAAGTAAGGCGGGATACGCGGTACTTGATGGCATCAATGACGGGATGAAGAGGGATATAATAGTATTCGCGGTTCACGGGGCGCGTTTGGCCCTCGCGGAGCTCAGGGCGTGAGTGGCTAGTCAAGACGGAAATTAGGTCAGCTCTCGTGGCATAGTAGCCAAATGCAAACAGCTGCGCTCATACACTGCGATAAGGCGGTCCTCGCGTAAACGGCCACAGAGCTTCCGAAGATCCTTCTGCTGCATCCCCAGGAGGAGCGCTAGATCCTCCGCATGGAGGCTATGAGGCACATTAGCTGGGGAACCAAATGAAGCATTTTGCAAGAATGCAATGGCCCATACACTGAGTGTATGAAAAGAGCATCGATCACCAGGATGTGACGGGTCTCGTAGAACGCGCGAGCTACGATCCGAATGAGACTCCTTGCAAGATCCATTATCACGATGAGTTGTGGCTATAGCAGGCAGGGTGAGGACGGCGCGAAGTCGGCAAAGCACGTAGTCATACGTTCGAAGAAGCTGTTCGCATGGCGGGAACGGTGGCGCTCCCTCCTAGCAGCGGTAAGCTGATAGTGAGGGGGAGAAGACGTTAAAGTGACCGTTTCGCCGGTTTCTAGGGCCCAGTCAGTGATGATGCAACGAACTGGCAGCCAACCTTCGCGGACGTTGACGGAAGAATTGAAACTTGCGTGACGGCGAATCGGTTGAGGCTCCTCAACAACCGCCGAAATCGCTGACTAAGCAGTATGCCGCAGCCAAAATTTCGGTGGATGACTGAGACTGGGAGTTCAGACCACCAAGACGACGGTGACAATCAAGTCAGGGTCTGCAAATGAACGTCTGCGCAGTTCCAGCTTCACCATGGATGCGCCTACTTCAGTTCCCGCTGTGCCGGCTTCCCAGGACCAGTCAACGCAGGGCTCTCCATCTACCCTTCCCACCACTGCTCCAGACACTCCGTCTCCCTCGATATCAGACAACCCTAAGCCCCAATCTGACTCAACAACGACTGGAGGAGATCGAAGAAACAAACGAAAGGATCTGGGAAGGAAGGCTTGGAGGTACCGCTCTCACGCGAACAGTCTCAAGAGTCTCTGCAGCTAACTAATCCAGCCGCCAACCTTTAGATAGGAGACGACGAAACGAAGAGCAAGCCGCCAAGCGCCGAAAGGCTGAAGATGGAGAGGATATACCGATATACGCGACCCAGTTTTCGAAAGAAGACATTGAGGCGGATAAGCGACGACCAAAGCGGAAGGTTGCCGTGCTGCTTGGATACTCGGGTACTGGCTATCATGGAATGCAAATGTAATGTCATCGGCTGGTTAAGGATTGATTGGATAATGTGCTCTAACGAGGTTGCTTGGTAGGAGCGCAAAAGAAAAGACGATAGAAGGCGAAATATTTCCAGCTTTGGTTGCTGCCGGCGCGATCTCCAAAGCCAACGCGATGGACCCGAAAAAGTCATCTTTCGTCCGATGTGCAAGAACGGATAAAGGCGTGCATGCTGCAGGCAATGTGATTTCTTTAAAGCTGATAATCGAAGACCCCGACCTGGTAAATAAGGTCAACAACATTCTCAGCCCGCAAATTCGGATATGGGGTATCGAGCCGACCAACAAAGGGTTCAGCTGTTACCAATTCTGCGACTCAAGGATATACGAATATCTAATACCGACCCATTGCTTTTTACCCCCTCACCCGAGTACCTTTCTAGCAAAGAAATTGCTAGAAGCGGCAGAGAAAGAAGGAGACATTGGAGACTACAAAAAGCGACAAGAAGAAGTGCTCTCTTACTGGGAAGATGTCGATCACGAATATATTAGGCCGATTCTGAGTACCCTCCCGGAATCTACACGATTAAAGGTTCAGGAATCCCTCTGTATTAAGGATCGCAGCCAGAGTATTCAGAATGCCGAAGGAAAAGAGGAATTGGACTGTTCATCAGACGTCAATGCTGTCAAAGACGAGAAGGAAGGGGGAAACTTGAATCCTGGAAACAGTGACTCTGAGGATCAGAAGATCAATGAAGTCATCAAAACCGTTCGGGCGGCCTACTTCAAAGCGAAAAAAGCCTATCGGATTCATCCTGCTCGCCTAGCTCGCGTCCAAGAAGTGCTCGACTTGTACATTGGCACGCGAAATTTCCACAACTACACTATCCAAAAAACATTTCGGGATGCCTCCGCCAGAAGGGTCATCAAATCGTTTAATATATCGAAAGATCCCATCATCATAGATGGCACAGAATGGCTCAGTCTCAAGGTGCACGGCCAGAGTTTCATGATGCATCAAATTAGAAAAATGGTTGCGATGGCGGCGCTGGTCGTGCGGTGCGGCACCGATCCGCAGCGAATAACACAGAGCTATGGACCACAGAAGATACCCATTCCCAAGGCGCCTGGGCTTGGTCTCCTTCTCGAGCGGCCTATCTTTGATACGTACAACAAGAAAGCGACCAACGAACTAGACAAAAACCCGATCGAATTCGGCAAATACGAAAAAGAAATAGAGGAGTTCAAGAATAGAGAGATATACCAACGGATTTTCCGCGAGGAGGAGGAAACCAATGCGTGAGTTTGTCTCCTTTCTTGGCTTGCCCAAGCCCATGCTCCTTTCTATCACCAATCTAATCAATTTGCATGCAGGTTTGGAAATTTTTTCAATCATATCGACACCTTCCGCGAAGACTCTTTTCTGTATGTGACATCTTCCGGAATACCAGCGGCGCCAGAGGGTGCGACGCCTTCCACCACGGAAACTGGCAAAGACAAGGAGGCTTTGGCTGAAGTTGAATCCGAATCTGAGGATGAGGTCGTAAATGGCGGCGAAGAAGGAGGATGAAGGGGGTTATGACACTTTCTCGTCGTCTCCTTTCCTCTCCTGATCATTAAATGTATATAATTAAAATGCTTGCAATCGATCTTAAGCCCAGAATAGCATGTTTGTTGCAAATCTCTTCTCATTCCATCTCCTGGCCTATGGTGCCGAAACTCTACCTCAAGCACCAACATACCCTACCAGTCCCAGCGAAGTTATTGGTTCGGCTTGCAGACACACACATCCAAATACGATAATATTGCGCGCTGGTGGAAAAATTCCAATTTTCTTTATTTCTTTATTCAAAAGGAAAACAAGCCAACTACAAACAGAAGGGATGGATCAATTGATAGGTTCACTGCATTAATGAGGAATTCAGGAAAAAACAAAGGGAAAAGAAAACAAAAAAGCTCCGGGAAGCGTTGGGTGAGATTTAGATCCGAACCATAAAAAACACTGCTAGCTTAAGTCAAAGTTCAGTCAGTTAATCTTCTTAATCTCGTCTCAAATTCATCTCGACATTCGAAAGTCCGATTTTCATCCAGGCTGGCGAGGACAAAACATGCTTTGGCTAAGGGACGGAAAGATTCGAGTAACAAATTGTCAAAACTAACAACTTCGCAGAACAGAGGGGAATACCATGGGGAAAAAAAAGAAAAAGAACGCAAAAAAAGAGGAACAGACATGTACGGGGTAATCGGGGTCAAGTCATTAGGTGCATGGCGCACAGCGCAAAGCAAAATTCGAAAAAAAAAAAAAAAAAAAAAAATCACAAAGAGAGCCAGGGTAACATGGATATGACTGGAAAGAAAAAAGAAGGCCAGGTTTTCATACAGCGAGAGAAGACGAAGAGTCACGAAATTGATACGGGGAACAAATGCGCGGGAAGATTAGAAAATAAGCGACCGGGCCTTCTGCCTTCTCGCATCATCCCAACTAATGTTAGGCTGGGATTGGTGATGCTTATGTCGAGGCTTCGGCGGAGGTGCCATGGGAGGTCGCGACGACTGCGAGTGAGCGGTATGCTTGGCGGGAGTTGGCGGAGCCGGGGGCATTGGATTGCGAGCACTCATCGGCCGCTCGCTTGAAGGCATATCCCGCTGGGGCTGCTTGGGCTTCACGCTTCGTTCTCGTCGCAAAACGAGTTCCGTCCACGCCTTGACTTGGCCATTTCCTGCGGAATATCCTTTGCCGACTGTCTCTCCAAGGACCCCCATCCAACCTTCCTTTTCAACTCGACTATCGGCATAGAAGTCAATAACCTCACCATTCCCAAAGCGAATGCGGAATCCCTCCTCGACAAACATATAACCTTCTTCCTCTTCGGCAAAGGCAGACTTGCGTCGCCCGCCACCTTTAGCGGAGGTCTCCCTTTGAGTCAAGATTGAGCGATCGTCAATCAATTTGGACGCTTTTGCGAGGTTGATTGTAGCCCGTGGCTGCCGAGTGGTCTCATGGTACGCAGTCAACTTGGAGCCTTGGAGTTTGAAGTAGCGCCGACGCCAGTACTATCAAGGGGAATCATGTCAGAAAAGTCAGAATACGCTGCAGGGGGTGCGAGATGGAATACAAACCGGACAATCTCCGCCCTGTTGCGACAGGAATCCCTCCCAACTCCTCATCGCCGAGTTATCAGCGTCTCTCATCTCACGGATACAAGCATTCATGCTCTTTGGCATGTCATCGTCTGTCGCGCCTTTAGGTTTTGGCACATATAGGAGTTGAAGTTCCAGATTTCCAACCATGTATGGGGGCCGCCGTTGAACCCCAGGCGCCATTGTATTTCGTTTGCTTTTAGAATTACTGGAGGTAACCGGGACCTCATCGACTGCCCATTCATTGAAACATGCAACGTCCACTGTTAATGGCCGCCCAAAAGCATATTGTTCATAATCGCCCAGACACACATATGCGCGGGCAAAGCTACCATCGCTGGCAACCAAGTTTCGAAACTTAGCCCAGGGATCGGGTGCGGAGTGGATCTCCTCTTCGGCCTTCTGCTTGAGCTGCTGGGCTTCCATCTGCTGGCGCAGTTCCATTTCCCTACGCTTCTTGGGGGTTGCAAAGACGCGACTGAATGCGGAGGCTTTCTGGGGCTTTTGTGCTTTTGGTGGTGAAGGTGGAACAACCTTTGGCTTGGGCTTAAGTAGTTCTGGTTTGATCTGAAGGGTCAACTGGAACTCCAGCTCATTCATCACGACCAGTTCGAACTCTTGGCCAATGGGCGCGGATTTTCCCAATTCGAGCCACGAAGTCGTCACACAGTGAAGTCCATTGTCGAGTGTCAATGAGAAAAATGATCGTTCCCCTGCTATGGGTGTTAATGCGGCTCATTAGTCGTCAATACCAACGAAATCTACTTACCTCTAGGAAGAGGAAGATCTAGATCTTTAACCCCGACGACTTTCACGAAAAGACGACCTCTGTCTTTTCCATCTTCCATATCGTCTGCTTGTCCGTTGACATCGGTTTCATCAACCGAGCCTAATCCATCTTTCACAGCACTTTCTTGGCCTGGCAAAGGTGGAACTGATTCCGTTTTCTTCTTAGTGGCGCCCGCAAGTTTAATGCTCTGGCGCCGCGCCTTTGGATTCCAGGGCTCTGTTGTCCAGGTCTGCTGGCTTGCCTTTCGTGGTGTACTACCTACGTGCGGTGCACCCGCTGTGGATTTGGCGTTCGCTTCATCGCCATGGCTGGTCGCAACGATCACTTTCGTGTTTTGTCTCATGAGATAACCTCTCTGTTTCGTTATTTTTCTGTCAGCTTTATTGTCCACTTGTGTCTCAAGGGTGGAAGAGCCATGTCCTTCCGCAGCGTCTGCACGCGGCATGGGTTGACCGGAGTTTTGGAAGTCCTTATAGAGAGGGAGCTGAGAGAGGGAGAGTTCAAACGCAACCTTTTGAGCTTCAATGACACGATCAAATTCTTCGTCAAGTCCGAATCCCAAACCTTCATCGCTATCGCCGACAGGAATATCGAGTTTCACGAGCGAGGGCTGTCGTTTCCCGGCTCCTGGGATGCCATTAAATGCCGGCAGGTCAGATTTTACGGAACCAAGCGTCAGTTCTGATGCCGTGCTGGGTCGATTGCCGGTCGCATTCTCCGAGATCGACGGTATTCTTGGTCCCTGTCCGCTCACTTTTCGCCGAACTGCTGCCATAGATTCCGCGTCTGCTGGAGTCAGTGAAGGTCTGGTCTTAAGGCCAGCGCCAGGTGCTTTAACGGTGGCAAGAGGACCCGGAATGACTGCAGCAGGGTCTTCTGGCGCATCTCCCGAAACACGGTGCCTGATGACGGATTCCGGGGTGCCAGGACAATCTTTGTCTCCATCATTCTCTTCGGCTGATTGTTCAGTGTTTTGGTCCGGTGTCTCCGGCCTGTGAAGAGAGTCGCGAATAGCTGCCATGTCAAGAGGAGGTGGGGCATCATCGGAGTTTTCAATCGGAGGAGTGGACCTATCTACGTAAGAAAGCAGGTCCAACTCAAACTGGTGTTCATCGTCAGGAGTTTGTGACCTAGATGGTGAGCACTGTTGGCTGTCATCAGCAGGGGTTTCCTGTGTAATATGCATTGGAACAGGAGTGGATTGCCGTTCAGCGTCTTCAAATTGCTCGATACGCGAATCGTCCTCTTTTGAAGTCCGCGAGTAGTGACTCTCATCATCATAATCACCGTGCGTGCCCTGGTCATGCCCATCATGTGTGCTATCATCACCGTCTTGCTCCGGGTCATATTCCGGAATATCGTAAAGATCAATTTCGTCCTGTTCTTCCTCCTTGACTGAAGCGTGATCTTCAACCGCATCATCGCTTTCAAGAGATGGAATAGGAACATCAGGATCCAGGGGGAGTGGACGATGTGGGCTGGAATCGCCGAGTGAAGAGATCCCGCTAACATCGTCACTGAAATTCTCTTCTCTCTTCAGATTGCGGAGGATAGATTCTCTGGAAATTCGCGGAGTTGGGCATGGCTCGGAAGACATACTAAGCTCGCTGACGATGCTATCATCCGGCTTTCCATCGGTTCTTTCGGGAGTTTTGTCCTTGTTCAATGCACGCCGCATTCGTCTCTCACGCTGGGTTTCGGCTTCGGAAGCTTGATGGTCGTGTTCCTGGGTCATCATCAAACGAAGCCTATCTTCCAGTGACAGGGAGCCTGTACCCAGACCGCTAAGGTCATCTTTGCTGCAGGAAGCTGGGCGGAGAGGTGCTGGCCGAGAGACACTGCTCGCTCTTTCCAACGTCGCAGTGAGCCGTCTATGGTGATCCGGGCTCCTTTGTAGATTGGCCAAAGGAAGAGGTGGAAGTGGACGACATTCTCCGTTAGAATCCATAGACTCAATTTGAGACCGGAAAGGACTGGAAGCGCTAGAAGACGGCGGACGAGCCTCGGGGTCTGGAGTGTCAAAGTCTGGGCTGAATGGATCATACTCATTTTGAGACATCTCGTCGTTAGTATCATCCGGGCTGTCATAGCGCCATTGATCAGGCAGCATCACGGGAGTCTTGTCGGTGTCTTCAAGACTCGCATCGAAGCTATCGTCGTGGAGAGAAAAACTGGCATCGAAACTTTCCTCGTTCTCTGTTGATTCATAGCTCCCTTCGCGTGAACTCGATGCGATTGACGAAGGAACGGGAGTAGTCATCTCATATTCGTTAATCTGGGGAGGCGCCGCGTCGAAGGTGACACTTTTGGTCTGACGATGAAAGCTACGGCCCTCTCCAAACGACTTGTCAATGGCGGTTGATTCATCGTCAGACCATATTTCGCTGTGAGGATCAAACGACCTGCCGCTATAGCGTCCATTTTTATTCAGAGAAGATTTTGGAGGAGACGGAGGCTGTGGCCTTGAAGGTGACCCTTGGCTTGTAGACGCGTTACTACTTTGCTGCGCTGGGCGCGGAGTTGCAGCTTCTTGGGAAGCGTTCGTCTCCGCCTCCTGAGTAGTGGTGGTGAAGGTGGTGGTTTTGCATGCAGCGCTCTGAGAAGGCAGTTGGCGCCTTGCATCGGTTGGAGCGGTATTGGTGGCAATGTTGTGGTTACGCTGCTGGCTCAAGGGCCGCCCACTGGCCAAAGGACGCTCGAGTACTTTAACATGAGCGGGATCATACTCC